CACCATGTCTGCATCTTGACCTGCTGTTGACCGACGCACGCCATCTCACAGCAGGGAATAATTGGTGCACAGCGAAAAGACACCGGTAACTGAAGTTGTCGCGATACAGACGGGACTCTCGATTGTCGTCTGCTCAGGTAACTGCTACTTGTGGGTGCAAAGCCAGAGTCCTGCCTGCCTGCCTTGCTGCACTCCCTCCAATCGCTAGGCTAATCGCTTAGCTCTGTGGGCGTACCCAATACTAAACCTTGGCCGTTGGAGCCCATCGGACATTACCTGCTCGATTTGTACCTGTACCCTCGGTCGCCTATCCACGTAATCACGCCCGGGCATCTTGAACGGTTTATGCCGTGATGAATCATCCGTCTGGCATCATGAGACGGCCTCAGCCTTGCCTCAACAAATCGACACTGAGCCACAGCAGTGCAGCATCGTTGCCTCTTCCAGCGCCATTGTGCCTTATCAGATCATCATGTGATGGGCGGCCGTCCGTGGCAACGTCGACCTCACCTAGTTCCAGGGGCTGTGCCAACAAGCTTTTGCTTCTCCTCACCGTCTACAGACCGTAACCCCGATCCAGCCGTGCTGGCGGCAACATTTGCTCCGCGCGGGCAAACTCCAAACCACCACGGACGGCCATCACGCCCCTCCAGCGCCCAGACAGCGAAATTCAGGGCTCACCTTGCTCATCGACTTACAGCTCGCTCGCGCGCCAAAGGTCATCGCCTCTATCGCAACAAAGCCGTTCAAACCCGCCACGAGAGGCCGCCCAAGTTTGCGAGACAGCCACGTCACAAAATAATCGACGGCCAAGCACTTCATCTCCATGCGCCAAGGCCCCAGCACTTGACGCTCTCAGACTACTGCTCATCGTCATTCCAGTCGTGGCTTATTGTCCATCGAAGCACAGCCTGGGTGACTACGCGGCCCGGCGAAGCGCCTCCTTAGAATCCTTTGTTAGGAGCAAATCAACCGTCTCTTCATTTCGACATTGTCGACTGACCCGGTGAGGATCTGAGACAGAGGGAAATTCAACTGTCTCTCGCTACTTTCGCTGATTCATTTCTGGCGTGGCGCTAAACACATAATACATACATCGGCCGTCTTCCATCGCCTCTAGACTTCTCAAAGCCGTCTGTTGCTCTCTGAGGACCAGCATCTTATTCAGAATGTCATCCACTGAGCAACGTTACCGCGCGTTTGGGTCGGTCAGGGCATCATCGGTGCCCGGAATAGGTGCCAGTGCCGACAACGGTAGGTGGGATTGATTGCTTCTCACGTTGTTTGCCCATCAACAAGCATCACGTCGTCTGCCCATCAACAAGCATCACGTCGTCATACCGTCATCAGCAGGTTCCCGCGATGCAATTCCAATTCTCGATGCTATCACCTCATACGCCTTCCGTCGCCCTTATTTTAACTTTTCCGCTGCTACGCCTCACCTCGGGATGATAAGCAATGTCAGACAATCGGACAGCTGGTGTTCCTCATGTGGAGAGGTCGCAGAAGGGTGGAAACTCGCAATTACAGTGATTACTTCGACATGAATCAAAGTTCCTGCCAAGCTCATTGCCAAGTTCACCAACATAATGTGGCTCAGGGCGAAAAGGCACCGGGATGCCATGACAAAACAATGTCAACCGCTGGTCTGAGCAAGACGCCAAGCTTCATCTTCGCAGCCGCTTAGCGGCCTTCAATCGGCTAGCCATCGACCCCCGGCACACCTTATTACAGTTAAAGTGTGCTTCTATGGTGATAACCGGTATAGCGTCCTCGTCACTCCACAGCCGGGCGCACGTTGTCTGGCTGGAAGCCATCTTCCGGTGCTTCACCCTCGCACTGTATGGGGTTGCATCCAGGGAACCCCCTGGCTGTTGTCTCTCGGCGCTCTCACGATCTCAAAGAGCCAAGAGCGTATTATGTATGCTGGCGTGTGTTTGTGGTTAGCTTCTGCAAGCCGCCGCGCTGCTCAACCTTGTTTTCCTCGCCGTTGAATATCATATCATTGACGATATCAGCCGTCACTTGGATCCCTACCGAATACGCCAGAAGAACGGAAGAAAGCAAGATCCACCCGCCTTCTTGAGAGCGAAACACAAAGACAATGTCGTTTCAGCATACAAGCTGCTGGGGACCAGAATGGTGTGTTCCACAGGTTCTGGCCTGGTGCGCTGCCTGTTAACATGGAGTCCCCCTTCCTCGGCAAAAAGGGCGACAGAGCGCAAACAACGGATTGAGGCTGAGCAATTCTCTGATATCATCAGGAGCGAATAATTTTCTTGCCCGCTTCCACGGGGCCACTAAAACCTGCCATTGTCGTTCCGGAGGTCACTGCCGCGTTGTTGAGATAGTATCGCCATGCCATGCAGTCCAATCGCGCGAAATTTTCGCCGGTGATCCACGTTTCTGATAACCTCCAGTCTCCAACCACAAAGACGAGGGAAATGTCCGTTCTCAGGGCAGACCTGAGCAAGTTTCTTCCTCCGGCAGGTTTCTGAGCTGGGAAACTTGATCGCTGCGGGGGAACACCATCAACCTTGTCCAATATTAACACAGCCTCATCAACGCAAGAAGTCCCATCTATCGCACCGTCAACGATGTACCTACTCCATACGCGAGCCTTGAATGGGATTACAGCTTGGTGCTGTCCTGTCTCATCATATAACTCGTAATCAACTATCACTAATACAAACCTAGGTACCGCACTGGGGAGCCCAGAGGTTGTGGTTGGTTGCACGCATATGCGCGGCTCTTTGCATGTCGTGGCCGCCAAAGCACCACATGCGGTCAGAGACGGCCGACAGATGCTTCAATTTACTTGGTCCCAAGTATGCCATGATGTTAGCCATTTGGCACGGAGGATCTTTTTTATCCAATGACTTCTCGGATTGACAAAAACACGGGAGATTGAACGGAAATTCGCGCTTCTTACCGTATGTGCGTAGACGCTGGTGGCCGTTTACATCAGGCATACCGGTTGAAAGAGGTTCTATAAGTCAAGGACGAAGGATCATTGCCTCTCAAAGTAAGCCTATCGACCGCTGGGAACTGAGACCTTTCCAGGCAATGCGATCGACTTTCTGAGGGTAAACCCCCAAAGAACGGTAAAGGGCCCCCAAAGGCAGCAACAGGGTAGCTTAAGCCCGCATGTAGGGTTTGATATCTCGAACAAATCCCACCTCGGCGCTGCGTTGGTTTCAACCTTACTACGGCACGGTCCCTCGTTTCAACACAGCCTCTCCTGGTATGTTTACTTGAAGGATTGGCCCCATCAGTAGAAAGTAACGGTTACGGTTTCTTTCGCTTAGAGGAGAAACGGAACATGGCCAACGGGCATGGCAGACTGCAACATTCAGGGGGAGTGAACAAGAGCCCTGCCTTCTTCAGTAAGTAGCGCATTAACCTTTCTACTCGAGCGTATAGGATTAGACGACTAATCATGACCAGGCTTTCTCGTGGTAGAGTTGACCTTCGGGATCCTGCACAATTCGGGTGTTGGAAGAGGAAATCGCCTCGGACAAGACAAACTGTGCAGCATCATCAGGAGGAGGCTCCACGATCAAGGTGTACAACAAGGCTTCCTTGGACCATATTTCGACCCTTGTTGGCAAAAGATACCCTCTCATGATGCTTTTTCCCGCAAACCCCAGAGGAACAATCTGCCCAACAAGCTCACTAGATCAGATCCAAGCCACTCCCGGACCCAAAGCCAAGGACCATTCCTCATCTCTGTGCAACGGGCGATACGCCGATCTCACGATAGCCTCTCTAAGCCACCTTGACGACGTACGTCCATGCTCCTTCCCATGGCCAACCCCCCCCCGAAGATAGAATCCTCTGCACAATTCCTCTTTCAGTCGAAACATACAGAAGCACGCCCCCTCCAGCGTTTCGAGTTGCCGCAATGAAGCCTCAGATTCTGTCCAAGGCAGCAAGGCCCGCTGTTAGCATGTTAGTTTCTCCAAGATCTCGCTGCCACATGTCGAATCTGGCAAGTTGCACGAAGGAGCGGGAAAGCGGGCAACAAATGGCTTGAACCAACTCACCCAAGCTTCGTTGTCAGATGCCCGAAACCCACATTATTGAGGCTGTGCAGCTTGTATTGCATACATACATACATACATACATACGTACGTACCCCATAGTTTTGATTGACACGTACTTGCTAAGAAGTAAGGGATACTGTGAGCCCGGGAGAAAGGGCGTGAGAATAGGTGGATGTGCGTATATGAGATTTCCCGACAAGGGCGTGGCTTGCCTAAGGCAGTGTTTGCTATGTGGACTTGTTATAGAGATGGGATTGTGCAGTTTCGGGAATGGCTATGGAATAAGCTGCATTCACAGCTTTGAGGATCGAGTAAGCATTACATGTAATAGTAAACGACGTGGTTTCGTCTTGAGATTGAACTTTGCTAAAATCATTCCAAGCATTTCCGGTATCACGGGCAGGGGGATAGAAAGGCTTGTGGTAGGGCAGTGAAACATACAATCAAGATCATACAGGGTAATATCCAGTCTTAACATGAGCATGCTATACGTTGCTCGACTCAATAAACATTGCAGCTTTGCCTCTTTATTCACTAAATCACATGTAAAGGTGGTTACTGCGTTACTGCAGGCTGCTCTGTTGGAACCATACTCGTAGCTATTGCTTCACAGACTCTCCTTCATGAACGGATAGTTATATAAGACGAGAAGCAAATAAAGATATTCAAGGCTTCGAATGATTGGACAAACCAACAGCACGAACGACAGGGCTTTAGAGCATCGTAGCAAGACTTCCTTGACATACAAACCTCGTCTATAGGGTAAAACAGGCAACCTCATATCAATGAAGCATCTCATCAACATATCACGTCTATACCTTAACCCTTTCTACAAAACCCCTTTCTGCATCTATACAATCCCAGAACCCAGGCGTACTTCAGTATATCCCAAAAATGTACCCACCTCCCTCCCCATACCTAGAATCCCATTCCAACACAAATCACCCAAAACTCTCACCTCCTCCCCAAATCAATCCTCCTCACAGAAACCATATCCCCCTCCTCATCATCATCACCCTTCTTCACCCCAAAGAACCCCCCAACCGCAACCCTCACGACCCCCCTCCAAAACCCCTCCACAATGCCCCTCAGATCACCCCCCGTCTGCTTAAAGTCCGGAAACGCATTCACCTCCAGCAACCACGCGACGCCATCCCCATCCACCAGGAAATCCAGCCCAAACACCTCAAACGCATTCGGCAGCGTCTGGAAATGGATCGGCATCGCCCTCGCCGCCGCCTCAAACAGCTCGCCCGTCGTCCCGCAGATCTGCTCAAACACGCCCTCCAGCGTCGCCCTCTCCAGGGGCAGCTCCCAGAACCGCCGGACCGTGTTCTCGTTGGGCGAGTCCTGCAGGCAGGTGTTGGTCAGGAAGGCCTCGATGTCGTCGGGCGCGGCCCAGGGCGGCGTGTACGGCTTCCCCGCGAAGAGGGCGAGCATGTGCTTGTACACGTAGACGTCGAGGCTGCCCGCGCAGAGCACGTAGGTCCGGATGTGGAACTTGTGGCCGCCTCCTCCTGGGGAGGAGAGCAGCAGCGGAGGGTGGATGTACGGCTGGGCCACAAAGTGACGGAGATGGGACGCCGTGATGTAGTCCCCATCGGCGGCATCCTCGTCCGCTGCTGCTGCTCCGCCTTCGCCGTCTTCTTCTTCCTCGTCGTCGCTATCCGGTCGATCCGCCTCCCACCCGTCGAAAATGTCCTGCAGCTCCTCCATGGTGCTGAACAGGCGGATGCCCTGCCCTCGATCACTCATGCCGGGCTTGAGGATCCACCATTCGCGTTCGCTAGCCTCCTTCTCCTCGTTGCGATCCATGCTTTCCCGTAGATCAAACGCCTCGACAAGGGCGTCGTCGAGGAACTCGGCATAGTCTACTTCAAATGCCTCGCTGCGCTTCAGATGCTTCTTGAGGATGGAGTCGGGATTCTTGGCCGCCCAGTGATCGAGCGTTGCGGAGAGGTAGTGCTTCCTGATGAGGGCCTTTCGAATCATGTAGCTGTTGATCAAACACGTATTTGTGTGAGACGTGGCAAACTCGAAGTCGATGCTTTCGTAAGGGAGGATCTGCAGCACGCGGGTGTCTGGAGAGGGGAGCGTGCTTGACAGGTTGAAGTTTTCTGGTGATATGTCGGTGATGAGATCGAACGTGTCCTTGGGCAGCACGGCGTTGAGTGCGGATACGATAAGGGGCTGGACATAGGGGTCGTCGTATGATACAACGGCCTGAATCTTGCTGTTCGACTCCTTGGGTTTCTCCCGTACCGCCAACTCTGCTGTAGAAGGTTCCCTAGAATCGGGACTGAAGGAAAAGCTGTGTGTGAGAATGTCTTCTATTTGATCTTCGATTATGCACAAGTATACAAGCAATCCAAATCATGATTCGTAACGCATCTCCAACTTGATTCGCAAACAAGCAGAATATCCAAAAAACGCCATCGCCATAAACACAATGAGGTTACTCACAGCTTAATCTCCTTCGTCGCCTTGTCTCCCGCACAGGTAGCAAAGTTTGCCTTGAGAGGCGTAACACTATACGAGAATTTCAGTTAGCCAGAGTCCGGTGCCAGTAAAAGACAATCCCAATGCCTGCAGCAACTCACCTCGTCTGCCCTTCTTTCACAGCCCATCCATCTGATCCAGGACCAGCCTCTTCCACAGACTTATACACGTCTGCGAATTTCGGCGCCCACTTGAAGAGCTTGTGAGTGTGGCCCTTTGGAACATCAGCAGTCACCTCACTCTTCCCACCATCGACCTCGCCACCAGGCCCCTCCCGTATCCTCTCCTCCTCGAGGTCCTCATCAGCCGAACCATCGACAGCATCGAAGCAACCGCCCTTGGTCCAGTAATTCTGAAGTATATCCGTCCACACAGTCTGATGCGCCTCCACGCCCTCAACAAGCGGAACGTTGACGCTATAGAGGTCCGCGCTGCCATCCGTCGGCCACTGCTTGTACAGATACTCAATCACCCTCACGCTGTGCCGACACGCCGCATCGATGATCACCGGATCGTGGTTCCGCGAGAAGAAGGCAAAGCTCAGCGCGATGGCCTTGTACCGGGAAGCAGCCGCCTCCAGCGCCGCGCCCAGCGTCCCCGAGCTCAGGGCGAATATCGCCGTGCTGTTGCGCCCAAAGTTGGGTCCGCTGACGACCAGGTCCACGGGGCCCTTGTCCTGGAAGAAGTGGTTCAGCCCAATCTGCACGCACGAGGCCGGCGTCCCGTCAATCAGGATCCATTCCTCCACGTCCCCCGAGGGCGACGGCCGGGCGTGCGTCGTGCCCTCGGAGTCTTCGCCGTGGCTGTGGGCCGAGGGCCGGTAGTAGACGGGCTTGAGCGTCTGGCCGATCAGATGCGCCTTGCCTATCCACGAGCGCTGCGTGTGAGGGACGCAGACGGAGACGGTGTGGCCCGCTCGCTGGAGGTGTCGGACGAAGGAGTGCACGTAGGGCGAGGAGTGAGGCGACGGCGGCCCGTCGTCGTTGGACACGAGGATATGCATCGTGGAGTCGTGGGAGCTGGGAGTTGATTGCGAGTCCCGGACGCCGTTTTGAGTCTGAGGAGAGCTACCTTATAGTAGCTGATGACTTCCAAAAGTGACGAGAGTTCCGGCAGAGGTCAAGTCGTTGAACGCGGGAGGCCGGTTTGGGGTTGGCCAAGGCGAGCACGCAATAGCTTCAATATCGATCCAGACGATAAAAAGTTGATGGCAGTCGGAATGACGAGCTGGAGGAGGGGCAGATGGACGTGGGGCAGCCCACGCTAGAGGGTAAATACAGTGGAGGGCACAGCAGTAACAGCGGATCGTTGCAGTGAGTATTGGTCAGGGTAGAAACGGCACAAGCGTGGCGGGAGTTGATGAGGAGACGAACTGCAGATACCATGATGAAGACCAACATTGATATCATAAAGAACAAACACAAAGAGTTCTGTGCAGCAAATCATCATCACCAAGGCCGCAGATACACACAGTCTCACGTATCCATCGACGTCAGATCAACTCAATTGCCATAATCACCGAAAAAAAAGTACATACATACATTCAATACAAGACATGAAGCCAAACACAGCCGCACAGCATGACACATGAAATATAGGAGAGCCAGACCATCGTGACATAACCTGTAATCTCTTTTCAAGTAGCGCATCTGCTATTCGGATGCCACATATCCACGTTGCCTGTTAAACGCCAAACTGACTGACCGGGTTCCATCCATGTCCACTCGCGGATGTCATGGATAAGAATATTCAACATGCCAAGTGCAAGATTAATTCACAACCAGAGGACGGAGCTGAACCGACTGGCTTGCTCATCTTTCTGCGGTCCCAAAAAAGAAAACAAGTGGAAAGAAGGAAAAAAAAAAAGGGAAGAAAAGAGAAAGAGCTATTATGGTATAGTCGGGAAGAAGGACAACAGACAGAAGCAGACAAACACCGTCCTGCAGCGTCTAAGATCGAGTTCTCTTTGCGTGAGCCGGTGCCAGCGGCTCTGCAGCTGCGCGCTTCGTGCCTGATCGGTTCGCATGCTCCTTGGTACGGATCCAGGAGTCAAAGGGACTCTTCTTGCCGGTGCGCTTGATCGGGGCGGTTTCTGCGGCCAGCTTGTTGGTGGACCGAGTGGTTCGCCTGGTTTCCGGCGGAGATACGGGTGCAAACTTGGGGGCGTCTGGCGTCTTAGCCCTCTCTTCCTTGGCTTGCACGGGCGTCTCAACAACGGCCGAGGGCTTCTCTGGTTCCGGCTTGGCGGCATCCTCGACGTCAGTTGCGGCTTCTTCTTCTTCAAGCATGGCCTTGGTCTTGGGGGCAGGGGCCTTGGCGGGGAAGAGAAGCCGGGGCTTGATGGAAGATCGCGTGAGGGGTTTGGCGAAGTGAGCCTCAACATCCGAATCCAGTTCTTCGTCTTCTTCGCCGTCATCAAATTCCGAGAACTTGCGGAAAAACTTCTTGCCACGGCTAGAAACGCTAGGTTAGAACCTGTTTGATCGTCAACAAGGGCTGCGGATATACTCACAACACGTAAATCATGCCGTCTTCGCGGCGAGATACTTCGTCAACCGACTGAGAGCCTTCGCCGGGAACGTGAATCTTGCGCTTAGTGCGGCGTCTGGAGGGTTCTGCACTGGCGGCATTGCCGATGAAGGGATTCGACTTGCTGTCGTCTTTTTTGGGAATGCGGTCTTGAGAGTCGGTGAAAATTTCAATGTCCTCCGCGGCAACCTCAGCCCGGAAGCTCTCCAGCGTCATGGCAGAGTACTTCTTGGAGCGCTTCTTACGCGGGCTTGACAGCTCCGTCTCCTCGGCAACAGGGAACAGATTGCGGGCAAAGGCCTGAAGCTGGGCGACGTCCTTGGAGCTCGGGGGCTTCTGGGGCGTCTTGGAAGGCGTGGGAAGCGGGAGGGAAGACGAGGCGACAGCTCTACCGGCCACGGTCTTTTCCTTGGATCCCGACGCGACGGTGGCTTCTGCTGCCAGAGTCGCGGTCACGCGTCGGACAGAGTCGGCGGCAGGCTGGCGCTTCTTGCGCGGAGAAGCAGCAGCCGGTGAGGTCATGGCTGCTGAGCTCTGAGCGCTGGATTTTGCTGCGGTGCGAGGTGAGGCGAGGGCTTTGCGGGTAGTCGGCGGCGGCGAAGGCGTCCTAGCGGATGCGCGCTGTGCAGATAGTCTCGCGGATTTGCGTGGTGAATACGGTTCCCAGCTGTCGTGATAGCCCAGGCGAGGCGCGGGCGGCGTTCGGATGGAAGAAGAAGGAGGGGAAGGCGTCGAGGGTGCAGCGTCGACGGCGGCCATTGTGAAGGCGGAAAGAAAGAAAAAAAAAAATTCAATCCAATCCGGAAAAACAAAGGATACAGATACTGGAGCGTGAATTGGCTGTCTCGACGCGACGACCACTCGGTACCATAGAGCTCGACGGCAATGCGATCTGGTGGCAATGATGGTGATGCAGTTCTCTGGGGACGTCCGTGGTGTTGTCGCGGCGGCAGAAGCGTGGACTCGGAAACGGCCAGAAAACACTAACAGCCACAAACAAAATAAAGGCGCAGCGGATCGGAGGGTGAGATGCGGTGCAAGGCGACGGTGAGCGAATTCGATACAATCATAGGGCGACACGGCCGTGCAGATGCTGTGAGCGACAGGGACGGCAGGGCGGACGAGCAAGCGTGAGCAGCGATTAAACGATAATGCGGCGAAATCGGGTGACGATGTTTGGTGATGGATGGCAGAGGAGGAGAGCAGGATTGCGGGAGCTAGACGTGGGAGCGCTGGGAATCCGAGAGGCTGGGGGGGACAACGGCTGGGCTGGAATGCTGCCGGCCCTAGACAAAGGGACTGCCGACCACTGGAGGGTGGGCCGGCCTCCCTTGGGTTCAAGGCCGTACCGACAAGTACCTGCTGTGCAGACGCGTTGAGGGCTCCGCTCCAGGGTGGCTCGTCCACAGCGCGTCCGTTTCGCGTCACCGGGCGGCCAATCAGCGGCCGGCCATGCGCTGGAGCCGTCTTGCGATGGCCGCCCTGGAGCGGCTGCGATTGGCGCTCCAGGGGCTGCGGGCCACTGACGGGGCCGCTGGCCATCACCACGGCAGCAGTGCAAGATGTGCTGTAATACAGCGCTGTGCTGTGCTGTGCTGTGCACAACTCGCGATCCTCTGCTGCATTGACGCCCGTATCAGCTTATCCGCGGATGGCTTGTCGATTGCCAGCAGAAATTCCCCCACTCCAGACAATTGAACCCACGACAGACGACATAACGTCACTTGAAGCGCGCAGCTACCTGACTTCATGTTCTAACCGATCCGCGAATACTACTTTCATTCTTCTTCAGCTGCAGCCATCTCTAGTAGATCATCCGACGAAACCTCGCAACCATGTCTGACCCAATGGACATTGACGATGATTCGGACCTCTGGACCTCACCCGTGAAAAACGACCCTTCAGAGCCTCGTGCAAAGACGCCAAAGACTCCCAGAACACCTCGAACCCCAAAAACGCCCACAGCAAACGACCACCGGTCGGAGCCGCTCGATCGAGACGCAATGCTAAGAAGGGAGCTGGAGGGCGTGCGCAAAATCAACCAGGTCATTGAGGGCGTCATTGGCACTCTGCAGCGGGCAGGCGGCAACATGAATGCAAGTCTTGAGCTTGGTGATCCCTTTGTATTTCAGTCCACACCGTTATAGCGTATTAACATGTGATGCCCGCAGTCCGTCAACAACACCGTCTCAAACGCATCCGCACTGCTCAACACATGGACGCGCATCCTCTCCCAGACAGAACACAATCAGCGCCTGATCCTCGATCCAACATGGAAAGGCGCAACAAACGACCTGGCCGAGATTGAGGCCGAAAACCTGCGGAGACAACAGGAAGAGGCGCGCAGAGCGGCAGAGGAAGAGGAGCGGAAAGAAGAGCTTCGCCGGCGCCGCGAGGAGGAGGAACAGCGGAGGAAGCTGCCCGCATCAAAGTCTGCTCGGGGAGCGCGTGGGAGTGCTAGAGGCCTCCGCGCAGCTCGCGGACGGTCCAGGGTGGCTTCGTTGTCATCGCGGATTGCCAGCAGCTCAAGATATAACACCTCTTCAGCTTCTTCCAGTAGCCGTGGCACCTCTGGCATAGGGAGGGGGCTCGGGACGACTAGGAGTCGCTATGGCGGAGCCAAGTAGCTGTGTCGGCTGGAGCCCGTATTGTCTCCTTTCTGTTTCCTCGCATTCGATGTCGATATTGCTACGTAGATACCCCCAAAATTGCCAAGTCGCAGACGCTATTTCTTCTGGAAGAAGTGACTTAGCTTTTTCATCCCGCTTGTGTTGACCTTTTTGAGCTCTCTGACACCCCGGCTCTCGCTGGCCTTTTTCTTCTTCTCCTCTTCCATCCTTCTCTTCTTCTCCATCCGAGCCTCGTCCTCTTCTTCATCCAGGTTTCGCTTGCGAGAATAGTCCTGCGCCCTCACGGCCAGCGTTTCAGACCGCAGCTTCTCGAGGCTCGCAATATAGTCGTTCAAGCGAGAGAAATCCACCGGCCCGCCTGCCCCTGTGAAGCTCTGCTTGAGAGTATCCGCTAGTCCGGGAGGCACGTAGCTTGCGCAGATGAATTCGAAGGCCGTCTTGAGCTTTTGCAGCTTGACGATTTCCGGCGAAGCTTGCAGAGCGCTGACAATGCTCTCATCTGCTTGCTCTGCAACGGATGTTGCCGCCGTGCTTGCTTGAGATATAGACGAAGCATCCGTCTCTGCGCTTGATACCGTGGACTGAGAGGTCGCCGAGTCGGTCAGCGGAGTGGACGTTCCAGACTCTACGCTGCTGGAGACTTGGGTCTCGGTTCGGACCACCCGATGCATAAGCGGTGCTTCGAGGACTTTGTTCACAAATTTCTCTTCCATGCTCGGTGGGAAGCCGCTCTCGCTCATCCTCTTGGCTTTCTGATAGATGACTTCCAAAAGCTTCTCCTCGTTCAGCCGAAACATTTGCTCATCTCCTGCATCGACTGTGTCGCAGACTGCGCTCATCCGGCTCTCTATCAGCCGTCGCGTCGTGTCCCAACGCAGAATTTCGGATAGATGCGAGCTTTCCTGCGGCAGCTTATCCAGGTGGTCGTCGCTGGACAGAAACAGTCGCTTCGGCTTCTCTGATCCTTTGGATGCCTTTGCATCGGCCAATGCCGGCAGAACCAAGAAGAGGGGATCCAGGGCGGTGGCCACGAAGAGCTCTGATCCCATTGTCACTTGGGAGCCCGGCCCTGCAGCGTCACCATTCTCGGCTTCATCGAGGTTGGGACTTGCTTCGATGAGCCAGCTTCGCGGTTCCGTTTTAGGAACGGCTATCCGTTTGAATTCGTAGATGCCGGTATCGGGACATACGAGGTATCGTGAGGGCTGTGAGGTTCGAGGGTTGGGGAGGGTGACGATTCGAGCTTCGGGGGTCGCCTTTGACGGGAGGATGAAGACCTTGGGAGGCTCGCCGGAGTGAGGGACGAGAGTGATGGCCGATTTCGATTTCGACGAGTCGGCATCAGCTGCCGGAGCCGCTGTTGAGGGCTTGGCCGACCGTGTCCTCGCCATGGCGGCCACCTGAGATCGAGCTGGGCAGCAGATTGGTATTGGAGGATGGCCCAATTGGTTCGATTTAGTAGGCGCAAGTTGAGTCCGAGCGTTGCGCGATTCCAACAAGCCGGTGTTGACAAAGCAATCAAGGCAACAACACAAGAGAGTTTTGTCTAGACTGAAGTTGTCGCCGTCACAAGCCCTGAATCGAACTCCGGTCGCATTGGATCTCGCACGAGACCGGCCAGAACCCCTGCCAAACTCAAAAGCGACGCGATTCGACGCGTGTTTTGCGCCCGTCCCGCGTTTTAGGCCTGGTTCAAGCAGTTCCAGCAGCTCCAGCGGCTCCACCCCAGCCAGCCAAGCAGCAGCCACTACCGATCTGGCTGCTGGCGTCCCCACAACTCCATCGTACAGGCAGGGCCCTTCTGAAGCTACAGCAGCCCAGAGCCTTATCGGCTGGCGGAAACCTGGAAGCGCTGCCCGAACAGCGCATCATTTTTTCGAGGCCCCATCAGAAGTCGATTGGTTGCATCCATCGCCTTTGCACATCACCTAAACTCCATAATCCGGGCCATCGACCACAGAGAGTGCGACAAGTCGGGACGAGGCGCTGCAGCCACAGACACCTGCAGCAGTTATTCAGAACCGCCGTCCGGAGCGCGCAGTCAGCATCTTTCCCCTCTCACCATCTTTTGCGTCCTGGTCGTGCGCACACTGGCGGGCCAATCCCATCATCTCAGCATTCCCCCCGCCGCCTCTGCCGTTTGTCGCAACCCCGAACTCAAGTCGCAGAAGCCCTCGCGCCTCCATCTGCGGCCGCACCACGCCCGCCGCCTCCGTATGGCCCCGGGCGCTGACGAACCATACATAGCCAGGGCCAGCTGCCGGTGCCCTGCCTTGTCGTGCCGCGCCTGAGATAGACTCCCCCGGGCATCGTTGGGCACAGGCGCAGGACAGCACAGCACGCGCAGCTCAGGCGCTGCCAGACGACACCCGAATCCACCATCACCATGGCCCACGGTGAGTGGTCCTTGCCTCGCAGGCTGCCAATCGTCGTCGCTGACCGCCTGCCAGGACCGCAAGAAGCAGAGGCCGCCTGGCCTCCTCGATCGCCCCACGAAGCCCTCATGAGCACCCCCAAAGGCCGCCAGCGCTACCGAGAAATGATGGATCAGACCTCGCCCTCGCCTTCTCCATCCATGAGCACAGGCAGGGCTCTGGCTTCCGTCATGGCCCGGTCCGGCGCGCTCCAGGAACAGATGGATGACGACGACGACGATGACGAGGAGACGCTCCAGCTCAAGCTGCAGGAGATCCAGGCCCGCCTCAAGCTGAAGAAGCTGCAAAAGGCCAAGGAGAATGCCGCCCAGGGCAGGCCCGACAGGAGGCATTCCCGCTCGAACTCGGCGGCGTCAGTCCTCCAGGCACAGCGCGGCGCCCGTGGAACCACGCCAACGTCGGAAAACACCAGGCCCGCGTCGCAGAACAACGTGCAGGTTCCTGCCTCTCCCATCAGGAAAGTGCAAGCTCCGTCCGATCCAAAATCGCCAAGTAGGGTGCTGCTGGGGATCGACAAGGGCTTGCGGGCAAAGGACATTTCGCTCAAGCGCGCCCCGAGCTTTCGCAGGGCAGCAAGCACCGATGGAGCGGCCCAGAGAGCCCCTCTCCAGAGGTCCAGGGCGATGAGCTCTTCGGGAGCCAAGTCGCCCGAAGGAGTCCGGCCGCTCAGCTTCAATGAGCGTCTGGCGTCTGCAAGGACAGAGGATAAGTCACGTGCTGAAAGGCAGGAGAGGATATCGCAACTGAGGTCCAGTGCATTCGGCATTGGCAAGGAGGAGATGGAGGAGTATAAGAAGAACGCCGTCGAGATCCCCGACGAGCCTCTGCCGGCCCCGTCGTTTAGCAGAGACGAGGTCTTGGGCAAGAAGCCGGCCGCCCCCGCGTTACAGCGGACCAGGACGGCGTCTGATCTGCGCAATGCTGCGGAGAGGGATAGCAACCCTCCTCCGTTTGCGCCGTCGATATTTGGACGGAAAAACAGTCCGACAGCCAGCGAAGCATCCACGGAGGAGCAGGGTGCATTTGAGCCTTACTCTAGCCTACATCTATCCAAGCGGATACTGCCTCATCGAGTGGTTGCCAGGCATATTTCCGGCAAGAAGGTCTTCAACGTCAAGGATCTCTTGCGAGAGGTCAAGGCTCCAGACTTTGCCCTGCCCGATGTCGAAGAGGACATTGTCGTCTTTGCCATTGTGGCCAAGAAGTCGGAGCCTCGAGCACACAAGCCTGTCCCCGGGAAGAACGGGCAGAAGGAGGAAGACCGTGGCAAGTACATGGTGCTGTCCCTGGTTGATCTGGAATGGGAAGTAGACCTGTTTCTGTTCAACACGGGATTCACCAGGTACTGGAAGCTCACCGAAGGCACCGTCATTGCCATCCTCAACCCCTCCGTGATGCCGCCGCCCGCCGGACGACAAGATACTGGGCGCTTCAGCCTGGTCATCAACTCTGACGAGGACACGATTCTGGAAATCGGCGCAGCTCGCGACTTGGGCTACTGTCAGTCGGTCAAGAAGGATGGGGAGGCGTGCAAGTCTTGGGTGAACAAGAAACGGACGCAGTACTGCGAATTCCACTCCAACGAAGCCATTCGAAAACAGCGGGCAACACGCATGGAAGTCAACTCGGCCGGGTTCGGGGCGCGCAGCCGTTTCCAGGGCAAGAATTCGGCAGAGATCTTTATGCCAAAGAAGCCCAACAACTACGACTGGGAGACAAAGACGCATTGGTATGTGTCACGCGGACATACGGCTGCGGATCTGCTCGACGGCAAGGACAGGGAACCCTCGGATCGAAAGGACAAGGCCGAGTTTTTACGCCGAACCATGGAGGCCAAGGAGAAGGAGCGCGAGATCATGAAGAAGCTTGGCCAGGTCGGCAATGCCGCTGGGAAAGAGTACATGCAGCGTTCAGGGTCGCGAGCCGACGCAGGCGGCTTAGCACCCAGCAGCATGAGCTCGAACCAGCAGATGTTCGGCGCATCCGACCCCTTCTCGGAGGAGCCCGAACGGCCAGACGCCGGCGCTCTCGGCCTCCTCGACAGGTCCCGAGACATTCACCTCAGTCCCGTTAAGAGGAAACGGACGGGCAGCTCTCAGACTGGCTCCATGACGCGGAGCAACAGCAGCAACAGCAGCAGCACGACCTACAGCAGGCCGACCGGCCTTGGATGGGGCGGTGCGCTAAAAGACAAGCTGTCGAGCATGAAGGAAGGCGAGAAGCTCAAGCCGGAACAGCCACCGCTTAGGAAGAAGACGCGGTTCGTGACAGAAAAGGGCATCAGAGAGGCTGGCCGGGAGAGCTTTGGCAACCTGGCCGAGAAGAATCTGGCCGATCGGCAGGTCATTCTTCAAGACGATGACGATGACGAGCTTGTCATTGTGAGATAGATCAAGGCGGATTGGATCTCCTCTACAGAATCGGTCTCCTTCGGAAGCATTGGGGCCTCAAACGACGTTACGACCATACACTAAAAGGCATGGACAGGGTTTTGTTTTTGTTTTCCTTTAGCATCACTGGCATTGTGTAGGCTTAAGCACATGTTTTTTACAGGCACAACACCATCACAGTGTATCACCGCTGTTTTGTTCTCTCCTACTTTTGCTTTATCTCTTTGGTATTCTGGAAGGGCAGATGGAACAATTGGGAAACGGGTTCGGTAGGAGAGCCTCGCACGGTTTTCTGTACTACAAGAATCAAGGGAAGCGGGGGAGGGAGTATGGGCACAGGATGTTTTTCTGTTTATTGTGTTCTTTGTGTGTTTGTTACTAGGACTTTTAGGATGCGGGAATCATGTTTTTCCAGACGAGAGAATACGACATGTTGTGTCTACTGAACATGTGCTGATTTTGACGCCGTGTAGCTGTCCACTGGGGCCGCTCGGAAGTTGGCCACGAAAAGGAGGGTGTCACAGCCGAAGAGGGGAGCCTATATATTTGGTTACTTTTTGTAAATTGTCTGTCTGTTGTCATACGGGAGAAAAAGTTCTGAATTTGCCTCCAATGCTTCTAAAAGCAGATATGTATTATTATCCTGGCAATGATCTTTTCTGTTCAGCTTCATCATTGAAACCCACCCTGTGTTGCTGTGCTCGTTGGGGGGGGGGGGACGAGAGGAAACGAAAGCCCCAACATGGACCATGCCAGTTTCTTCTCTTCCGATATTCGCCATCGCAATATTATTTCTGAGTTGGGATCTTTTTGGCGATCCAATTGGAAAATCCGTTGGAACAGCAGAAGTCGCTGATTCCCCTTCTACTGCAGTGGAGTTTTTGCCGACGTTGAACTGGCCTTGACGGCTCATGGGCTGAACAAGACAAATGCAAACTATCTACTATATTAGAGGAGAAAGGTGTGTAATCTGTAATTAACCACGTGGGTTTTTCGCTAGAATTGTTCTGTTGTCATGCCACACCAAGTTTTCCTTACCGGCTTCTGCTTCAATACGAAGTACATACGTATAGCGAGTTGTTGGGAGAGGTCTGGTGTGTATTGCAATTTCCACCCCGCTTCTTTGATGATGACGGTGCTGGACGGTCAGAAGTATGTTTGTTTCTTTTGCAGCTGTGGAAGGTTGGAGGAGGTTTAGCGCTTTGGCGTTGCTGTGGTACGAGAGATGATCTTGTTCTGATGAGGGATGCAAGGTTGGAAGCTTGGAAGTTCTTTGACGTCAGGTGTTGCAGTAGCTCAGGTAGCTGAACAGATAGAAAAGAACAAGCATGCTTCAACGATTCTCGGAGAACTGGCCTGAATTGGAACTTTTGGTGCAGTCAATTGCTCACACGAGCATTTGTAACCTCCCTTACCTTACCTTAGGTTTGCCAGTAGGCCACCTTGGCCAGCTCACCTTTACATGTAGGGAGGTTAAGTTTACGTTATTGAGGCGGCCCTACCTACCTAGTAACCGTAGAGGGGGGTGGAGGCAAAGAAGCCCGGGCGCGGAACTGAATACAAGACGCCACGATGCGGAGGTGGATGGAGGTTAATACGATGTAAGCTTAAAGCGATTGAGTATGGCTTGAGAGGAACGGAAAACCGTGTGTGAGCGTGTGTAAGGGAAGCTTTCTGCTTTGTTACCTACCTACCTAGATCTAGGTAGGTAATGTCCGGTGCGTCGTTTTGCCACTTGTAAGCGGGCTAGCAATGAGAGGGAGATGTAGGTCATGAGGCTAATTTGGGCTGAAGTTGACGATGCTACTGTAGATGATGTTCATCGTTCTGTTCTCAGGTGGTTCAGCTCAGATGCATGTAGCTGAGGCTTAGCAGATGCGAAAGTATTGCATTTTCAATCGAATGATAGCCTGCAGAAAAAGAAGAAACCACGAAAACAAACAAAGGCCAGCGAGATGGGCTGAAGGAAGAAAAAGACGTCCGAGTGGGAAAGTGATCAATTGTACCTCCATGATATCTTTATTTACAGCCTCGTCAAAAAAAAAAAAAGGCTGGGATTTTTATTCGCATTCTTTCCTTTTTTAGGAGAGCCAAGTAAGGGGATGGATTTTCTGTGACAACGCAATTTCGTCAGTTCGTATTTTGCTTGGCTTTTTTCTTCTTCCGGGTGTACCTTAGTGAGGAAGCCCAATCCGCAAGGAAGAACAAAGAGGAAAAAAGAAAAAGAAACATTGCGTGCTCGTTCTTCAACGCAGTTGGGGGGGTACCAGATGGGGCGTTGGAATACGGAAAGCTGGTCGAATAGACTTCTTGTAGGGGTGATGCAAGAATGAAGGTGTGGTGAACATGCTTCGATTGGTAACAGGTAGTCTACAACTAAGTAGCTGCAGGATGCACAACCGCTCGCGCATTTTTACCCCGTATAACAAGCATGCGCCGGCTTTTCGAAATGATAGCATTGGATGGTAATTACAAGCAACTCATGATCGTTGTACGGGGTGACATGCGCAATGATGACGATGAGCGGTAAGCGAAAAGACTGAGGAGAAGTTCCAGTGGGCTTCTAGATGATTGCGATTGACGGTTGAACAAGGGGAGGGGGGGGTTGTCATGGGCCAGACTTCGGTTATGTATATATCTCTAGTAGGCAAAGACGGAGTTCGGCAGCAGAGGCAGCCAAGTCATGAAGATCAATACATGGAGCTGCTGTTTTTCCATCAGTGAGAGGTCGAAAAACACAGCCATTTTGGGGCTGTTATCACAGATGATTGAAACGAAACGAATACAATGCTCAAGCATCAGTGTCAAGTCTCAGGTGAAGAGGAAAACCGGGCACGTTTGGTCAAGGAATGGAGTGCAATCGCTTTCCACCTGACTTGTAAAAAATAGACGCCACATGGGGGTCAAAAAAAGACACTGCATTTTGCAAATACTAGTGGCTATTTTCAAGAGAACAAAGTTCCATTTGGCCACTTTGCCGGCTGGTGCTCAGTTGTGGTTGTTTGTTCTGGCTGCTGTGGGTTGGCGCGTGTGCGATGTGTGCATGTATGTATGTCTCACACAAGCGCGGTAGGGGGTGAACTACTAACAGATGGTAAAGTATACAGACTACTATCTAGCATCTGCTAGTAGTAGTGGTGATATTTTGACGGATCTCAGTCATATCTCCAGCTTCGTTGGCGTAACGTGATCCAGTTGTGGTGGTGAGCTAGTGGTGGAAGCTGTCCACGATGGCAGCAGCAGTGATAGCATGAGAGATGCAGGCACCTCCAAGGTGTCGAGTAATGAACCAAACCACATGTCAGCATGACACGGCCAACGGCGAGCTGAGTCGTATCGAACTACCCATTGGAGAGAAGTCTATTAGATTAACCAACACAACCCGGCATCGAAGCTCTGAATCGCCAAAAACTATTGCTTGATAGTCGCTCTGATCTGCTCGAGTAGTGCCAGGCCGGACCCTCCGAGGGTGCCGGTTCCGAGACCAGACCAGGCACAGCGCACGAAGCAATAGTACTACTAATAACAACTGGAATTGGAATCTCTGCTTTCTCTGCTTCTAAAATTATCACGCGCACGGCCAATAGAGCAGATACATGTTACCAGATGCAGTCATACCTTTAGGTACCGTACCGTGAATACATACAATGGAAGATGCAGTGTCATCGAACCCATGGCACGATCCAATCAATGGCGACCACAAGCTCAATGGCCTGTCGCACCGTTTCCGCCACATTCGATTGGCTCGCGACCGTCGACTTGGCGCCGCCGTGCCGCGGAGCTGAGCTTCAGGGCGTCTGGTCTCTTCTTTCTTTTGACCAGCAAAAGACTTACAATACTACACATGTACAAACATACAGTAGCATCCTCCGTCCATCTCACACACACACACACACACACTCACATGCTAGAATTGCCATGACATACGAGAAAGCATGGCGACACAAGACGAAACACGATGTGCATCTTCGGTCCACTCTTGCGCATTGGATCGTCGAGCCGGTGAGGCGAGGCCGATGGATGAATGGGTGGTGGCTATTACTCCGAATGTCCATCGCTTGCATTGGCCGTTCGTTGCGACGAGGCCGGGGCTGGGCTGGGCTGCATGCTGTGCGACATGGGCGGACTACACGAGATGCGGCAACCAGGGCACAGAACATGGACGGCTGGATTGATGTTGCAACTTCGTATGTGCTGCTGGTGATGATCAAGAACTGCCACACCTCAGAAGAAGCGGGAGTTGGTACATCATGCAGCACAGGCACATGCAATCATCGTCGAGACAAAAGACCCTCACGAATAGCGGCGTTTGTTTCTTTAAGCTCTGCTAGTCCGCCATCACACGCTTTCACCAAGCATAACTCAAGCTTTTTGCCTCGGAAATAACTTAGAATAGAGCCTTAACACAACTGGGCGCCCTGGCGGCGGTTCCCTCCATCCATCATCCCTGGGGCCTGTCATCGGCTTTCTCGGCGCTATGCCCAAGGGAGCAGGAAACGAGAACTGGGAGAAACCCCCTTCGAAACGGAGGGCTCCAGCATTGGGGAGGGGGACATGGGCCTTTGTTCCCGTGATGAAGATGAACCCGCGAAACAAGATGAAGATGCAGACGGCAATGGCAGTCGAAAGAGATAAAAAGAGGAGAACAGCAAGGAAAGGCAAGGCCGGTTTGCCGGTGTCATAACGTCCATCTCTCCGATGCCAATCGTTGCAACTCTGGAGAGTAGTAAGCCCCCAAAGACCAGCAGCTGGTCGGCGCTTCGCCGGCGTACCGTGTCTCAGACCAGCGCATCGCTCTTCAGTCGCGCGCGCCCGTCCGATCACCAGCCTGCTGTCCTTTCTTCCTCTCTCCGGCCTTTCCTCCTCCTCGCTCTCTGCTGGGGGCAGCCCTGAGCAAGCAAGCAAACAATGGAGTCGGCCCAACTCCCCCCTGCCCTTCCTCCCCGCACATCCATCAACCGGCTGCCCTGAAATCTCCTTGGACGCCAGGCCATTTCCCGCTTCGGGCATGGGGCGTGTCGACGGCGCCTGTCCCGGGGCCTGGGCGAACTGGGACGCCACTGGAGCCGAGCTGCGGGATTGGACGATATTGCATCGCAGGGGCCTCGTATCGTGGGCGTGGCGCTGCTGCTGCAGAAGAGAGAGAGAGAGAGAGAGAGGCTCCACGCAGGAGGGCTCCATATCCCCTTCGCTCCGGTCTTTTCTTTGCCCTCGCTCCCTTGGACAAGGTGCTGACTGAACTGGAGATTTGACTGGGCTGGGGCTGGTGTGCAGGTGCAGTCTACAGTAAAAAAGACCGTACCTTGCAGTTGTGTGTAGCATTGTGTATGCACTTTCTCTGCCGCGGGGAGGCGGAAACGAAGAGAGACGGACAAGAATAACATCAAGTACTAGTAGTAGTATACGATTCATTCAGGGATGGAGATGCCAGCCTCGCCAGGGAGACCAGACGGCCAAGACGTCACGAACCCACCGTGATGCTATTACTATCACGCCGGCCAGGTACTCCTACACGCTCGTATCACTCGGCGGCATGGAGTAACATGGCCTCGTACGAGTATTTGTACAATCATCACTCGGGTTTCCCCTCGACCTCGGTTTGCCTGCCTGCCTGCTTGCTAGCTACCGAGATCCCGGGCGCCTTTGTTGATGCAGTAGTAGTAGTAATAGTAGTAGTATGTAGCAGTAGTATGCAGCACACCGGCTCCAGCTCCAGCTCCAGCTCCAGCAGGACCGGCGTCTTCCTGTCTGCAAGGTAGCAGCTGCTCGTGTGAGTGGAGAGGGACGATCCGGCAGCTAATCCCAAAGAACGCTGCCAAAAAGCAAATAAATAAAATAATACAAAACCTCACAGCCTGGCTTTCTCGCCTTGCCTCTTCCCATTCCCACCCCCTGACCGGAACCTTGGCTGACTCCCTCCCCCTTCCCCCCCAGCAGCCCATCTTTATCCCTATTATTACAAACGTCCATACTACCTTGCCTTTTACATTACACGGTTGGCCCGTATAATACGCACCCGGTCCTTTTTTTACGAGAGGATTCCAAAAGGTACTGACATATAAGGCATTACCTATATATCAACCTCTGGGCTCGGTTCTCCTGCACCCGCCTCTTGTGACAGGAAGAGCCGACTCTCGCTTTTAGGGAAGGGAACTCGCCTTTCATTCCACAACCTTTTTCCTTTCCAACCCACAAGGGGGGGCAATTACAGCAAGACGCGCCTTTTTTCCCTTCCAGTCTCTCGCTTCGAAATTTCTATTTGATCTTATTTCTTTTTTTTTTCTTGCGCGCGCGCCTCCTTCCAGACACTCGTTTTCCCTCACCCTCCCTGGGATAATCACGCTCGTTTTTTTTTTTTTTGAAAGAAGGGAGAAGAACAAAAGACACAACCAGATTCGCCATCATGCGGTTGCAAACTTCCCTCTCGGTGCTGGCCTTGGCCACAGTTTCACTCGCACAGGGCACGACACACATCCCCGTCACCGGTGTTCCCGTCGCTGCTGGTGCTGCCGTGCCGCTGAGACAGAATATCAATGACCTGGTCAACTCGGGGCCGCAGTGGTGAGTGATGCCCCTCCCCTCCCATCCCTTTCCCTTGCCTTGTCAACATAGAGAGAGAGAAGAGAAAGCAGGTGAAAAGAAGGGAGGGGAAAAAGAGAGAAGGAGAGAGAGAGAGCCATTGGATGTGCCAGCCGCATGGAGACACGAGAGACATGAACGATTCGGGGAAACTCACATGTTGCATGCGAATAGGGATCTCTACGTCCAGGCCATGTACAACATGTCCAAGCTGGACTCCCATGACCCGTACAGCTACTTCCAGATTGCCGGTAAATATCCCCCATCTTTCCTCTTGCGAGGTGACATGACTCTCGGAGCTTTGAGTAACACCAGCTAGGCATCCACGGCGCACCGTACATTGAGTACAACAAGGCCGGAGCAAAGTCGGGTGACGGCTGGCTGGGCTACTGCCCTCACGGTGTATGTTTGATCGAGGAGAGAGACGCGGGTTCATGGCCTTGAGCCCGCCGTCTGTGAGCCGGATTCATCTCTGACCGTTTCTTTAGGAGGATCTCTTCATCAGCTGGCACCGCCCTTACGTCCTGCTCTTTGAGGTATGAACATGCCTGGGCTTCGACTTGTATGCGTCGCTCTCACGAGGACTTCAACTGACGGCCTCCCAGCAAGCCTTGGTCTCCATCGCCAAGAAGATCGCCGATGGATATCCCGCGGCTGTCCGCGCCAAATACCAGGCCGCCGCCGCCAGCCTGCGCGCCCCCTACTGGGACTGGGCCCTCGACAGCGAGGTTCCGCCCTGCACCGTCCCCCAGACGCTCAAGATCAACATCCCCAGCGGCAGCGGCACCAAGGCCGTCGACTACACCAACCCCCTGCGCACCTACTACTTCCCGCACATCTCCATGACCGGCTCGTACGGCGAGTTCACCGGCGGAGGCGACGACCACACCGTCCGCTGCGTCGCGTCCAAGCAGAGCTATCCCGCCACCGCCAACTCCAACCTGGCTGCCCGTCCTTACAAGTCCTGGATCGTACGTTGTCTCTCGGAAACACACCCCCGTATGATGGAAACCCTCAGTCACTGACACAGACGGCCCGCAGTACGACGTTCTGACCAACTCTCAAAACTTTGCCGATTTCGCTTCCACCAGCGGCCCCGGCATCAACTTTGAGCAGATTCACAATGCCATCCACTGGGACGGTGCTTGCGGCAATCAGTTCCTCGCTCCCGACTACTCCGGCTTCGACCCCCTGTTGTAAGTTGACCTATCAAGACACTGACAAAACAACGCAAGCTGACGATGAATACGCAGCTTCATGCACCATGCCCAGGTCGACCGCATGTGGGCTCTCTGGGAGGCCATCATGCCCCAGTCGCCCCTTTTCACGGCCTCATACAAGGGCCAGTCTCGATTCAACAGCAAGTCCGGCAGCACCATCACCCCGGACTCGCCCCTGCAGCCCTTCTACCAGGCCAACGGCAAGTTCCACACCTCCAACACGGTCAAGAGCATCGTGGGCATGGGCTACTCGTACAAGGGCATCGAGTACTGGCAAAAGTCCCAGGCCCAGATCAAGTCGAGCGTCACCACCATGATCAACCAGCTGTACGGACCCAACTCGGGCAAGAAGCGCAACGCTGCCCGCGACTTCTTGACCGACCTCGTCTCCGACCTGACCAAGACCCGTTACTTTGCCAAGGTCTCTGTCAACGTGACCGAGATCACCACCCGTCCCTGCGAGATCAACGTCTATGTGGGCGGCCAGAAGGCCGGTAGCTTGATTGTCATGAAGCTCCCCGCCGAGGGCATGGTCAACGGTGGATTCACCATCGACAACCCCATGGAGAGCATCCTGCACGGAGGTCTCCGCAACGCCGTCCAGGCCTTTTCCGAAGACATTGAGGTTGAGATTCTCACGGTAAGGCCCCCGTCTCACTACATGTACTCTCTCGCCGTATAAAGATCTGTTACTGACCCCCAGACGCAGCGCGACGGCCAAGCCATCCCCCTCGAGACCGTCCCCAGCCTCTCCATCGACCTCGAGACCGCCAACGTCACCCTGCCCTCGGCCCTCGACCAGCTGCCCAAGTACGGCCAGCGCTCGAGGCACCGCGCAAAGGCCGCCCAGCGCGGACAGCGCTTCTCTCTGCCCTCTCTGTAAGGGGCTGACAGCCTCTCCCGTCCGTCCCCGTCTGTCTATCAAGGGGGCGAGATAGCCAGCTTGCCAGCAAGCTAATTCTCTTGACGCTCCCTTTTTATCTTCCACCTTTTTTTATTCTTGATCATTTTGGCGAAACGATATTTGGCTATCTAGAGCGGTGGGCGTGTGCGCGAGCGTGCACCTTGGGTCATTTTTGTGTCTGTGCGGGTTTTTTTCTGTGTGATGGAAAGTACATTATTTGCAGATGACGCTTGAATATACATACATATATGACTTCTTCTTCCACCTGAATTGGGGGGGGATGGGTTAACTTGTTCCCTATATCATTCCAGCTGTTGTTTGGCCTCTGCGTGGATGTGACGTGGCTGTTTTCTTCTCAAGCTCGTCAATTGAGCGTGTGATTTATAAGTCGAGCAAGTTCAGATCCTACCTCATCTATACGTGCCCTTGGTGAAAAGGTGAAGTTGAGGCTGTCGAGGTAGGATTCAAAGGATGAGCGCCACCATGCGTGTCATTCAGCCATCGCGACGCCTCCCGTAGCAGGGGTTAATCGATTCAACTAATTTATTACCGGATAAGAGACAGCCCTTGGTGAATCGATCGGCAAGGTATGAATGGACTAGGCCATATGTGATGATTGACAGTTGTTTTAAAAGACGGGAAGAAATATGGAAGTAATACTAGTTCTGATATGAATTGGGATGATTAAAACTTGAAGATGGAAAAAAAAACAAAAATAAGAATAGAATAAAATGAATGAATTGGGGTAAAAAAGAAACAAGAGAGTGGGGGAGAGAATAAAAAAAACAATGCGGCCTGTGTGGATCGAACACACGACCTTCAGATATCGAATGGACCGAAAGTTTGGAAACTTCAGTCTGACGCTCTCCCAGCTGAGCTAAGGCCGCAAATTGTTGACAGGATGGAATCTTGTTGGTGCTTATACGAGGCGCTGCCTCGGTCATGGCACGGCAACACGAAAAGGCAAACCTGGACAGTCCATGTATAAGGGTGATTATCTACCTACCTAGTTAGGCTATGGCTTTGATGGCTGCAGGTTGGTTGATGGAGTACTATTATTCTTCCTTTTTTTTTTTTTTTAATACCTCTTTACTTTTTTGAGATTGTTTGCTTTGCTCTTTTTCTTTTCCTCTTTTTCACTGATTTTCGTTTTCGGCGTGGGTTGAAGAATGTCTTTATAGGAGGAAGCTTTTCTTCTGGCGCTGTGAGTTTATTGGATGACCTGGAGGTGCAGTATATGAAGATGTTACTGTACGGTCACCAGGGTAAGCTTCCCAATGAGATGACTTGTCCACTCTCTGAATGTGACTTCAAGAGTTTTGGTACTAGGAGAGTTAATTCGAGACGTGATGGTATTTCTGTGAGTCTTTTGTCAAGTTTGACTTGAGCCGGCTGCTCAGTGCCAGCGCCATCAGGATTCAAGGTATATACCACCCTTGATGAGATAGAATCTGGTGAGGTTATTGCGAATGGCCCCTCGAGAGTTGCAACTAATCTTGATGTCACTGAAGGACTTCGTTGACGGCACTTTAGATCTCCTTGGTGAAATTTTTCAAAACCCTTCAATATAGGTCAATGACTCTAACAAAATGAAATGAAATATATACTTATACGCAGACGTATATAACGCATGTAATCTAGGTAAGGGAATATGGAGGAAAAGAAGCTTAGAGCTTGTGGCTCTCCCAGCATGTGGATCGCTGAGTATGCGTTGCAGCATCTCGTTGGATTGTGGAGAAAGCTGGATCCAGCTGCGGGAGACATGACAATAGATCTTGATTTGTTAATAGAGAAAAGCGACTTTCTTATGGGGACATACCACTTGATTCTATGAAGGAAATACCGGTTGATTTAGTCCAAGTATGGTCTTTGAGCGGCCTTTGACTTGCACGGGGATTTTACAGTAAATGGGTATATCAACTTTGAGAATGCATTGATAGATCCATATGGTCAATGATAAAACCTTTTCGAAAGCATTGTATCAAGCTCCAGTGTAGTTCGGACACTCTTAAGTCTTTGCCCTGGATTATTGATGGGTTCGAACATGATCGACATGTGTCAAAAGTCCCGGCCTATACGAGTGCTCATGTTTAGGGTATGCCGCACATCTTTGAGTGCATTCATCAAGCCCTTATATGAGCAGAGGGCTTGAAAGCTGTTAAAGTAGGGACTGAGCCGTTCAATAGAGCTTTGAGGGCAAATGACACTGCACATGTGGATGAAGAGAGGAATTGCCGCCCTCCCTGCATGGGCGGTATGCTTGCCCCGGATGGCTGCCTGAACTCGCTGGTTTGGCCATGACTCCTACACCAATGGAGACTCTGGTTCCGTCTGAAGTAGTTGTGTTATCATAAATTAGATTGATGCTTATTTGCCATATACTATTGGCCTCACTCAGTAAGCTGGAGCCTTCTTACTGCTTAGAAACAAGGTTCCTCCAGACGGCCACAGACGAGACGATCTTCTCCAGATTTCCCCGTCAAGATAGAGTTCCAGAACGGCCATCTTCCTTCTGAACTAGAAAAACACGCAAACTAAGCCCCGAATCTCCGCTGCGTAAGATTCGAATAGGGACTGCCTCATTCTCCATACACTATATGGTAGCCAGCCGTCAAGATCAACCCTTTGGGACATGGATCACCACCAAAAGGCGCGCCCTTCAGGGCATCTTTCAAGCCTCTAGCTTTCTAGAAGCTCAAGGGGACGGGGTTAAGCCATCTTTTCAGCTGTTTCCTGACAGTCAGCCGGCATGAGTCAAGACTTGGTAAAGATAGTGTCGAGTCAACAGATTACGGAACAGCCTCTGTATCCACAACAAGCAACTCATCCATAGGAAGCTTCAATAACAGCGTGTCACCTTGAAACTGCGGTGATTTATACACTCACGTGGTATCACGCATGCCTGAATCCTCCGCTCCATCATAATTAGCTCTCTTTGCCGCTCAATGGTTGACTCTGCCGTGCTCACGACAGAATAAGCTCCGCCAAAGGAGCAGCCACGCGTTTGATGCTGTGTCATTTGAGACGCTTACATGCGGACGCATGGATTACCGCAGGCGCCGTCGCAAATCAAACGCTCATCCGGTGTTGGGTTCGTGTGTTTGTCTCCTCCGCCCATATCACGCCCAGGCCAATGCAGAGACCGACCGACACTCATCCCGGAAAAGACTGCATGTCGAGTTACAGCTGGATATTGGGTGGCTTTTAGCATCCAGGGATGCCCGTTCACAACTATTGGTGCTAAAAATATGATGGCGTTACGGGTTAGGCGGTGCTTCGAATATTGCATACCATTGTAGAACACTGGACGAAAAGGGGCGAGAAACAGACGGACACTTCCACCAAGCGACAACCCGGGGTGCCCCCGTTATCCCCATAAACAGCTGAACGAGATCAAGTTCCTACCAGTACTCAGCTTGAGTCTGCAGATGGGACGAGTCCTTCAGAAGTTGATGGCAGAACGAGGTGGTGCAACCGGAGAAGCGGCCATGGCAAGACGGTGCGACGGCGACGGCTCTGGCGGCGTACACAACTGTAATCTGGGCATCACTAAAATAGAATGATACATCATGTTGCCTCGGCACACTACTAGTATCCAGTCTGTGGAACATGTATGATGTACGAGGCGATGTGGATTCAGTTCTTGTCGAGTGCCGGTCAAAGGATTCTTGCAACACAACTCGCTGACTTGATCGAGACGCAGCCTCGCTCACTCCGGTGCACGTGCATCAATATCCGCTTGAACCAATATTGTCAGGACAGAGATAAGAATTCAATAATTCATAGGTATCACATGGCTACAGTCGATGTTTAGCGACTGGCTTCCCATGCCACAAGACGCTTCATGGGCAAATCTACCAGAAGTCCCAGTCTCAAGGCACCTTATCCGTCGTCCCTCGGTAAAGGGAGTAGAGACCGGTAGCTTGTGTTTGTCACGGCGATTATTGATAGAGGACGCTGGATCTGCGAATGGGGCCGAATTTAGACGAGCAGCCGTCGATATGCGGCATCGCCGAGCAGCAGTGTCAGGCGAGATTGGGGTTGGTGGCGTTTGCCCGTTGCTTTTCGTCCTCGTCTTGGGGGTTTCGGCGCCCTTTTTTTTGGCGTTTGCAGCTGTGGGCTCCCGCAGGGGTACAGTAGCTGGGTTCAAGATGCCAGAAAGGGTCAGGTTCTGCGGATGGCGTCGTTTTGTTTGAAGGTGACTTGTGATGAGTTGACTGTTGTTTTTCTGTTTTATCTTTCTTTCCGAACATTGTTCCGTTAGTAGACATTGTCAGATTGCGCAGGCATCATCAAACGAACAGCAAACAGGCGCTGACCCCTGATTTCGTTCAAACGAGGCTCGGGGCTGACTGTTGCTGCGAGCTGGAGCCTCGGGCGAGAGACGGCCGAAGCTGGAGAAGGCAAGTCAATTGGCGTCGGCAGATGATGGAATGGAGATCTCCCCGCTTTCTTGGCTCGATGGCTAGCGGGGACAAGTCGAGGGGAAGAATGGCTAAGGAATCAAGCTTGAACAGCCACCGCGCGCCATCACGCCGTCTTGTTCCTTTTTTCCATGGCCTTTCTATGATGCGTGAATTGGTGGTTGGAGGCAAGGAATGAAGAGGGCAACTATCGCCGCGCAATCTCTTATCTCCACGTTACCGCGCTTGCCCAGTGCTACTTCAAATGCGAACTTGGTGCTACCTGCCTACGATGCTGCAATCATCCTCAGGGAGAAATTGGAATATCCCACTCCTCTATCATCCGCTTGACCTTGACGATTCTGCATATTTCGATGCTTCCAACCCATTCTCATCCTGACTGCGCCAATCGACGATGAATTGATGACGGACACAGGAAACCCATTCCTCCCCCTTGCCTTGGTTCCAGGCCAGTCATCAGCCATCTGCAGCCTAGGTAATCAATGGCGGCCTTCGGACATATTCCACCCTCTCGTGCTCCCCGGCTTCCGTCCCATGAGATGCGCTGCAGCCATCCAGCAGACAGGCGGGAGCGCGGCCAGAACGTGGCATGGACATGGTCGCACACACGCCAAAGTCGCAGCCAATCCGCGCCCTCTCAACTTTGATGCCAATGTCCACGAGTCAGCATCCCGACAATCAAGTGACTGCTCCAATGCGCTTGAAGCCATCGCGTTTCCAGCAGCGACGGCGCCGTGGGGTAGCTCCAGCGTTGACCTTTTTGCTGACAATTGCCGTCCCCTTCGATCTTCATGGGTTCTTGGCAGCTCGTTGTCGTGTGTGCCTTACTCGGACAAAGTACGCATCACCCACTGCCATCCAGCGGCTCTTCTCATCTTGGTGCAACTGTGACATCAACCAGATTCCCGTTCCCGATCGTCCTTCGGGTGCTTCGGGAATCCACTGCTCAAAGCAGAAAAGCCGCCATCTTCGACGAGCCAGAGGCTGAGGTCATGACAGGCAGCATCAATGGCTCCAACGGAGATTTGCAAGAGATCCAATAGCTGTCTAGTCTTTCGAGCTCCCACTGCGCTTATTGGGCCTCGAGGGGCACAAGAGACTCGAATCTGGGCTCGTTGGGGGTCGCAAAGGCTAAATGGAAACGAATGTTCCAAGGCTTCCAGACTACAGCACATTGGGCCAAACGGCGGGCAGCCCTGGCTGGACGGGCTCTGCCTGGCGCTAAGTAGACCAAGGCTTGATCACTTGTCCAGATACTATGCTGTGTGCGGTGTGCTCCGGACTACTACTGGCAAGAGAACGGTGAAAATCCCGGTCTACATTGCCGCCTTGCTTGGGCCAAGGGCGAGGCCATGCATGAGCATTCCAAATTGGAAAGGCTAGACAGTCGGAGCCAAGCACCTCGGACCGCGTACAAGGCACGCCGCGGGATAACCCAAGTGCGTTGCCTGTCAGCGAAACCTCCACTGGCATTTCCCTTCTCTGCGATTGCGAATCTACTTCGTACAGACGCATGGTGGCCTCGAACAGTCGCGAAGAAATCTCCCCTTCCCCTCGTCCGTTCGCCATCGGCCTTGGTTTGGGGAACAAGGTGGGGAGTTGGCATCGGCCATAAGCCCCAGACGGGCACTTCCCCAAAGACACTAACCTTAGTTCCAACAAGGATGCACATCAGTTTGGGGTCAAGGCGGAGCTGATGGAGAACGGCAGGCATCGACAACGACCTATGACGGAGCGCCTGGGGACGAGGGGGCAGCAGTATGTACTCCAACCCTCCCAACTCCGTTGCCCTCTGCTTGATTCGGTTGACGGCCGGCCGGCCACCCATCAAGTACTAGCAAGCAGCAGAGGGACGCAGGGAGAAGCAGATTGGGAATGTCTCCATATCAAACAAGCTCAAACAGAGGATGTGAAGAGATTGAGTGGCGTCTCTACGGCCGCCACTATCCTTCCGCGGCTGGAGCCTTGTCCACTTGTATGCATCAACACTTCAGCATCTCGGTTTGTTGCCGTCGTTTGCAACCGCTACATTGACGGCAAGTAATCGCGCAGTCTACGGAAGCGATGAACTAAATTGCCACCTGGGGCGCCCAATATGTCGTGCCTGTAAGATGAAGTGTGATCGCAATGCCTACCTACGCTAGGGAGAGGATACCTTGGACGACACCTGGGCTGCTACGGAATATGCCGACTGCGGTAGGAAAACGAGGCGGATGAGAGACAAGGCACCAAACCCCGGTGCTGAATCCGTATGCCGTGTCGGTCCGCCGTTTGTAAAGGCACTGACGGCGCGCCTGCAAGTACGACAAAAAGACACCCTTCATAACGAGCCTCCCTCGCCCACCATGGCCCTCCTCATGCTGGCGCCAAGTACGAGCAACTCCGTGTGTCTTCTCCGCGTGTCCTATCACCCCAGCATGTTCTTACTCGTTGCATCTCAGAGCTAAACTGCTGGGCCTCTCCCCGCATCTCCATCCCTGTCTAGCTCCTCGTTCTGGGGGAGTCAATCGTCGTCGTCGTCACACCCACCCAGCCCCAGCCTTTTCCCTTGCACCGCTGTGATAACCCATACATCAATAGCCTTGCCTCGATTGGCTTACGGGATTGCGTCTCGCATCTACATGTACTTTGACCCTTGACTCGGGCTGGTCTGGCTCCTCAAAGTGCGGATCCCCAGTCGTGTAATACTACTACTACTACTACTCCACGCGAGTACATTTACACGTCCTGTCTGCACTTATATATGGCCACATGCCTCCGTACTAAACATACATTTACCAGGTCTCGCCCCATCCCCCGAATTCCTCCTTGTTCTTCTTCTCTCTTCCCCCCGGGATCGGCTCACGGTATCCGAGAGGGCGCTCAGTTTCTGTCTGTCTCCTCCGTTGTATAAGGTAAATCGCTTAACAGGTCCAGAGACCCGGTGGCTGCCGCCCGTCTGTCTGAGACCCGGATCAGCAGCACAGGACCGACGTTGTTTTCCCTCCTCAAAGGCCACCACCCCTCCTCCCCAAACTCCTGTCCTTTTCTTTTCTTTTCGCTTAAAACCTGTGAGAGGTTGCGGCTACCACTTGTTTGTCTTTTCTTTTCTTTTCTTTTTTTGTAAATCATAAATTTTGTTCCCTTTTTGTTTTTTTTTCCCCTTGGATAGTGGAGGCTTTCTGTGATTTCTTTTTGTTCAAAAGAATCTGCCCATCATGAGCGACACAGAAAAGGCGCCGGTCGCAGACAACATCTCCAATTCCGAGGTCGACCAGATTGTTGACCCGGATGCGGGCCTGTCCGACGCCGAGAGGGCGGAGAATGTGAGCATCCTCCTTCTGGCCCGCTGGGCCTCGTCAAGGCGTCGTGAGAGCATCACTGACGGACTGCTTCACAGGAACGGCGTCTGCTACGGAAGCTGGACTTGATTCTCATACCATGGGTAAGGCCCTTTTTTCCTTGTCTTGTTTCGCCCTGAACACCCGGCCGGATACCCCGAGTCGTTTGCAATCTCGATACAAAGACAGGCTGCTGACAATTGGTCCCAGCTTACCCTTCTGTATCTCATGTGTTTCCTCGACCGCACAAACATCGGCAACGCCAAGGTGGCCAATCTCACCAAGGATATCCCCATGTCGACATCTCAATACAATGCGTCGCTCACAATCTTCTTCATCTCCTATGCCATCTTTGAGGCGCTCGCCAACTTCCTGCTCAAGCGAACCCGCCCCTCCATCTTCATTCCCATCATCATGTAAGTCGTCGTCACGTCACCCGCCAGGTGCTACCCTCTCGAGTCTCTTCCGTAACCTAACCATGGCCATCACAAATCTAGCGTTCTCTGGGGCGCGTGCATGCTTGGGATGGGCTTTGTCAAGAATTGGTCCGGCCTCATGGCCGCGCGATGGTTCCTGGGCGCTTGCGAAGCCGGTCTCTTCCCCGGCGTCAACTACTATCTCTCGTGCTGGTACAAGCGCAACGAGTTCGGCGTGCGAGCAGCCATCTTCTTCTCGGCCGCAGCCTTGGCCGGCTCCTTTGGCGGTCTCCTCGCGGCAGCCATTGAGAAGCTCGACGGCAAGAGGGGCCTGGCCGGATGGGCCTGGATCTTCATCATCGAGGGCGCGCTGACGATGCTCGTCGGCTTCATCTCCTTCTTCATGGTGCACGACTTCCCCGACGAGGCCAACTTCCTGTCCAAGGACGACCGCATGCGTGTGCTGTACCGGCTCAAGCAGGACAAGCAGAGCTCTGCCGAGCACGAGACGTTCAAGATGAAGTACTTTTGGCAGGCCGTCAAGGACTGGAAGACGTATGCCGGCATGCTCGTCTACATGGGCCCCCTGATGCCTCTGTACTCCTTCAGTCTGTTCCTGCCCTCCATCATCCAGCAGATGAACTTTAGCAAAGCGACGGCCGTCACCCAGCTCCTCAGCGTCCCGCCGTATGCCGCCGCCGCAGTGGCCACCGTGGTAGCCGGACTCTATTCTGACAGGATCCAGAAGCGAGCCATCTTCAACATCTGCATCTCCCTCGTGGGCATCGCCGGCTTCATCATGCTCATGGCCTCGACCAACGCCGGCGTGCAGTACGCCGGCACCTTCCTGGGCGCCATGGGCATCTACCCGTGCATCCCCATCACCATCGCCTGGGTCGCCAACAACGTCGAGGGCGTCTACAAGCGCGGCATCGTCCTCGGCACCGTCATCGGCTGGGGCAACATCAACGGCGTCGTCAGCAGCAACATCTACTACGACGCCCCGCGCTACTTCCAGGGCCACGCCACCATCGTCGGGTACATGTTCATCGGCGTCTTCCTCGGCAGCATCCTCATGGCCACGCTGCTCAGCAGGGAGAACAAGAGGAGGCTCAACGGGGAGCGCAACTACCGCGTCGAGGGCAAGACGCAGCGCGAGATTGACGAGATGGGCGACTTGCGTCCCGACTTTATGTACACTATCTAAGGCGTTTTTTTTTATTTTCTTTTTATCGATTGGGTACGCTTGATGAGAGGCTCGCCTGGGAGGGCTCCGTGGATATACTATGGCCGGTGTTGAACAGGGTTTATCGGTTTCTTGGAGAACCTTTGACGTGTTTGGATACCACTACTTTTGGATATGAAATTACACAGAGTAGAAATCTGTTTTGGCTTTTTACTTGACGGCAATATTCTATGTATATTGGACATGTGCGAGCAAGGAGGACATGGTCATCACCATGTTGAAAAGCTGCTATTGCAAGGGGGTGGCGGCAAATGACAGCGTTTCCCCAAAATCCATGATCTTCACTCCCATCAGATGGTATATGGACCTTTGTTCGACCGTGCTTTTCGCTCTGGACAATGTCTTTTGAGCCCTTGTTACTTGAAACATAGTGCACAAAGAACGCAGGATGAGACACAACAAGGAGTAGTATAACTGTCCAGTGGGGGCATTCTATTCTGGGCCGCATAGGGATACGTAGATGATGAAAACAAACGCGGGCGCTTGTGGTATCTGCGCCCTCTGCATAGTAGTAACTTTAATTTGAACGTGGAATGTCGGTGCCTGGAGGGTGGATTGTGGCCTATCGTTGATACCACTGGACAATCTGTGGGTGAGGCCTCTGAGAGGAGCGGAGGGCAAGGTAGGATCCCATGGCCGCAGTTGAGGGGGAAACGGAGCTCATCTGATTTAATGTATTTTCGACCGTCTGTTGGTTATACTACCGGTAATAAGGTAGCAATGCATGAATTGTCGTGCGAGGGGCAGAGCGGCCATTTCATCAAAACATCTCGTAAACAATCTCGCAGACTTACACAATAGTGTAACTTTCCGAAGGATAGGAACTTGAAGCAAGTGCGGTGAAGATATCCAAGATCTTGTGATGGAGAGGCGGACTCGTTACCTTGACACCATGAACGAAATGTCGGGTCCGGCTTCTGGGGGAAGTGGGGTTGACTCCGACTTGAGCCTTGTGAATGATCGATCTTCTGTTGGCTGCTCTCTTTGTGTCTTGTGTTTAGATCTGCATCTGCTGGACGGGGCTCGAGCGTACGAGATGCATCTGAGACCGTCGTCATTGTTCGGCAGCCAGCAGAAACGAGGCGTTGGTTCGAGAACAGGGGGCCAGGATAGCAGCAGCACCCTTGTGTCCTCGTGGCGGCGGCATGGCCCTCTTGTTTAATTTTCCCCGACGCAAGCCTCGAGTAACATGTCCGAGGAATGGAAATCCCACGAGGTCTGGCGGCGCCTCGGAAGGTTAAACCAAGATTCGAGAACATCGACCCCACTGGTGGCTGTGGGTTAAACTGGAGGCCACGATCCTTGATTGCAACGGGTTCCGAATCCCCACTTGCCGCCCCTCGGGGTGGGATCGGGTCCTCTCAGATGGAATTGTAGGGCTGGACCAGTGACATGGGTCTCGCTGTGTTTTGACCTCATCGTGCTTATGGATTCGCGATGTGAAAGAAGAGGATGGAAGTTGAATCAGCGGTACCTAGAAGACAGCAGAAAAGGAAGTGATGGGGCAGAAGAGAGACGATTCACTAACACATCATGAACCCGCCCTCCTCCTCCTTAGCGTCCCATTTTGCGAGACGGTCATCGGCGTACAAAGTGCGACACTGAAGCCGCTTTGGGGCGAGAGGAAGGAAGACGAGATGCTTGCACACACTGTCTTGACTCGGCATGCACGCAGCCTCATCCATGGCTTGGCCCGTGTCTCTCGCTCTGGATGCTGCCGGTTTGAGCTTTACCTTCTGTTTCTTTCAAGATGGCGGTTGCCTAAGATGGAGCCTGTGACTCTGGAATCGTCATCTGTTCTCCTTTGTCTGGCGGCTATTTGGCCATCTGAAACGAGTAATCTGCTGTAAGTACTATGTTCATAAACTCTTTTCCGGCCATGGCTAGACACAATTTGCACTGTCCAAGTGGGATAAGATACTGCCTCGTATGGACAGTGAAGTATCAATAGCCCTAGAGAGAGCATGCCTGTGGCAGTTGTTGGTCGTGAAAGCCAGCAGCGAATGAGGTTAGATGGCGAGACGTTTTGGATGCAAGTTGGCGGGTTGAAGCAGACAGCATGGCGCCGAGGGCAGAGAGCAGCCTGTGCTGTGGCCACGAGACACGGAATCGATGCGGACCTTTGGCCTTACCAGCGTTTTGGGCTTGGAAGATGTTGGCGTTGGTCTTGAGCTTGAGTGGTTTGGAGGACTCTGACGCGTGAAGTCTGTGACATGCAGGCGGAATGTCGAGATTTACGGGCATTGTTCGGGAGAGGTTGATTTGATACTATCGCGAGCATGAGAGAAGTTTTGAAAGTCGAAGAGATGGAAAGCATTGGAATATAAGGTAATCAAGTAAAAAGGGAAGGAAAGCAGAAAGAAGGAGCTCTGGTCACGATAACTCCTGCCCCGTGTTTGCGTCTGCTCCTGCCTCCTTCCAGTCTGTGCGATGACGCAGCCAATGAACGGTGACGAGGGGCAGCCACTTGCATCTGGAATCATCTCGACATGATTCGTGCCTCAGTTCCGATGCAAACAATTGACCCGAATCTCACCTCCATTCCAAAAGCTGCTCACCAAGCCCACGACTAACGTCTTACGCCGGCTGACGAGGTGACTGGATCGTCGCGAGATGGGTGACAGATGCCGGACCGGTGCGACTAAACAAGTGCAGGGCGTCCATCCGAGTCTTTAGCAGCAGCCTCAGCTCGTGGCTTCTACGACGATTCCGTTCCCAGTTTCCGGTCCGTCAGTTTCTCATCGCTCTGTACATCTCGTCTCCGATCAATTCATCAGCAACTCCGATCCCGGTTCCAGCTGCATCGGATTTCACCTCCCTCTTCAGCGCCAGCCCAACCAAGAGAAACACCGAGCTTTCCAACCGCCTCGGCTGTGTGCAGCTGTCGTGACACACGCAGCCTCTCGTACAGCCACTTAGAGCTACTCTTCAATCCATCCGAAACTGGCACTGGCAGCGCCTGGATCTCGTTTCTGCTTCGACTTTCGGTCTCCATTCGGTCTCAGGGTCATTCTCTTCTAAACGAGGCGAGACTCTCGGTGTCGGCTGCTCGCCTTCCCCCCTGATTCGCATCTCTTTTCCTTGTCTTGATACCACTTTGTTTAGTTTGACCAGCCACGTTCCTTTCTGAAGCAGAATGTGACGAATCTCCTCTCAGGAACCTTCGCCTCGTTCTGCTTCTTTGTGTCGTGTCCCACCGCATACATCTAGCTAGTGCCTGGCAGCCACCACCAGCTGGCAGCCTCCATTCATTCTTTCGGCACGGCTGATCTCTCACTTGGCCTTGGAATTTGCGCTCAGCACTCTTTCTTCTCTTCTGCATCCTGTTTTCTGTTGTGTTTTATCGCATCTTCTGCCTTTCCCCCTTCAACTCATCAGCCCCCAAACCTCCTCTTCTGCCATATCATCTCTCGTGGTGGAACGACTCAACTACCTCCAGCGATTTGGCATCGCCATCACCCGCCACCACCATCAACCGCATATGCAATTGTTTCTACGGCTCCTTCGACGCTTCCAGTTGAGCCGCCATGGAGCTAAACGCGACCTCGGATCCCGTTGCAGTGGATGATGAGCAGTTGAGCCATCACCAAATCAACACACTCGTTCTCGTCGAGCGAATCGGCGGCACCCTCAGCTTGATATCTGTTATCCTCATCTTCATCACCTACTGGCTGGTGCACCGAGTGCGCAATGTGCAAAACACCTTCATCGTCTTTGCCAGCGTGTCGAACATCGGCGCCAGTATCGGGAGCATCATTGCATACGATGGCATGGAAGCAGGCCAGAGAACGGCTTTGTGCCAGGCCCAAAGTTTCATGTTCGAAATGTGAGCAAATTACACTATCGGATGGAAAAAAGTCCTTCACAGAGCGGTACGAAGCTGAACCAGCTACGGAACGTCACTAACCATGGCATCCTTTGAGCAGGTTCATGCAGTCGGATCCCTGGTGGTCTCTGGCCATGGCTGTCAACGTGTTCCTCGTCTTCTACTTTCACACAAACCCAGACTCTTTTCGCAAGCGCTGGTGGATCTACTGCCTGATCTGCTATGGAGGACCCTTCGTCATTGCTCTGACTCTTTTACTTGTCAGAAGCCCTCGTGGTCTAGTGTACGGCGGAGCAACAGTAAGGACCTTGCCTCTGCATGACCTACACAGTCCTCTGATTGATCTTGGCTAATCGGGGTTCCTTGATACAATAGATCTGGTGTTGGGTCGACAAGGAGTGGGATTACATTCGAATCTACACGTACTACATGCTCATCTGGATATGCATAGTTGGATCCATTCTATGTTACTTCCTGGTCGGATGGCATGTCTTTCGCATGAGGAACCGGCTCCGCAGCTTTTCTACCTCCAGGAACAGGGAGAAAGACAACCAGGTGGACCCAGTACGTCTGTTTCTTTTCCTTCTTCTAGTCACATGTGTGGAAGCCTCAATCTGACAATAACCAAATCACAGGGTCGAGGAGAGATGGCACAGAATGGCTTCTATGGCACTGTCACCACCGAGGTTCAGGTGACGCATACTCTGGCCAACTCTGCCACCCCAGAGCCCCAACCAGCTTATATTCCCCGGAATACCAGGCATGTTTCGTTTGACAACCCAGAACCCGAAGTCCAACCCTCTTCCGACAACCAGTACTTCTCCTCCGTCACAACTGCCCCTCCTCAAGAGGTCCCTCCGCCGCCTCCCTTGTTCCAGCGCTTCAAGACCACGGTCACAGCCATTACCGGCAAGTTCCGCGTCGGCGATCCCATCAAGAGAGCGTACTTGAGGACGAGTTTCTTGTTCGCGCTGAGCGTGCTGGTCACATGGATCCCCAGCAGCCTAAACCGTATCCACGGCTGGCTTGATGGAGGTTCCCCATACGAGTTCCATGTTGCAACCGCAGCAGTCTTGCCCCTGCAAGGACTATGGAACGGCATCATCTTTTTCGTTACTAGTTGGCGCAGCATAAAGGCATGGATCAACGAGACATTCAAAACCAGCGCCGCCGTCATTGAACGTCACAAAGCAGACGAACTCGGCATGAATGAGAGGATTGCCGGCCCACTGAATACATTGAACCGATGCGACTCTTTCATCGACGATGGAGATTCTGCAACTATCGGCAGTGACGTGGAGCTCAGACGCGTCCCCAACTCAGGAACCAAGGCGGCGAATTCTCTGTAGGCGAATTAGGGGAGATGTAAGACGCCGAAGGGGACAGCGGCTTTCAACCTTGCATCCTTTACTTTTTCTTCTTGTCTTCTTCTTCTATTCTCTTCTCAGAGACACATATTGATCAAATGATCGTCGGTTAGCAATTGGTCAATTTTTTCTACAAACCATGTATGCCATCTAGTTTAGAGATGGGAGTGTTTCGACGAGTGGCGACCGCACGAGGCGGAGGCGTCGATATGTGAACTATTTGTTTAGCGGCAAAGGCAGAGGCCGTCTCTTTGGAAGAGACATGAAGCTTGAGGCTGATATGCAGAGCAATATTTGTTAAGCGTCTGTCATGGTTATATACCTAGTAGCCAGTAACGTGCCCCAAGAAGGCTAAGTGATGATTTATTGATGGCGATATTATGCAACCCTTCCATCGTATTCATGAAGTTGCCATCGTGCGGTAACATCACTACAGGCAATGGTCTCATAGATTTGGAACGAGCAGTTGGTATAAACAGATGCAATGAGTGCTTATGCTATCTGCGTATATAAAGAATACAAATGAAGACATGGAAGTCCCATCATTTCATCGGCCGTTACTCGTTACATCATCCATTCCCAACCGTGTACTCCAAAGTTTTGACATGATACTCAAGCGTGTTTTACATTGTCCCAATCAGAAACCCCCTAAATATGAAGAAGAAGTTGATGATGAAGTCCCCAGAGAAGGTAGCCTGGTGCGTAGTAACTGTTTTACATGTTTTGTTTTATTTGGTTCCCCGTATGTGCTTTGCTCTCATCTTGTTTTTTTTTGGGTTTTTTTTTTGGTTTTTTTGTGGCCCATTAGACCAGTCTCCAGATGTGTGATTCACACAACGCGGAACCCCATCTCTTCCACCGCTCAATCGGTATCGAAAAAGCTCTCTTCGGGATGCGGCATCCGCAGGTTCACCAACCCCATGACCTTGCCGTCGACCCTCCAAACGGCCTCCTCCCAGAAGCGCCACAGCAGCAGCACGAACACCGTGACGCCGGCCTGCGCGGTGGCCAAGCCGATGATGAGCGCCCTGAGGCCGCCCGGCCGGAGCGCGACGGCGTGCGGGACGGCGAGGACGAAGGCGCCAGCGAGGAGATTCCGGAGGATGACGACCCAGGAGTGCATGTCGCCGATGCTGCGCTGGGCGGCGGCCATGCTGGAGGCGGTGAAGGAGGCGGAGCGGGCGAGCAGCGGGCGGGCGGCGGCCTCGAGGGTGGAGGCGCCGGCGGCGAGGAGGCCCAGCTGGAGGGAGAGGAGGGGGAGGTTGAGGTCGCGGGAGGCTTCGGGGGCGAGCAGGGAGGAGGAGGAGGAGGAGGTTGTTGGGCCTGAGATGAAGCTGCCGACGTTGAGGCCAAAGGATAAGAGGCCGATGAGGGCGAGGAGGGAGCCGCCGGCGATGGTGAGGCTGCTGACGCAGCGGGTGAATTTGTGGTGAGCGGAGCGGTAGAAGCAGATGGCCGCGACGACAAGTGCCGCAAGGATCCAGGGTCCTGTCAAGAGGGTCCCGAGGATGCTGGGCCGGAGATTGAACGGTCCGGGGGAGAGCAGAAGAGACAGCGAGGCGATGAGCCCCCAGAGGAAACAGTGCGGCAGCGCCGTGGCGAGGAAGACGAGCGTCGTGGTGGGAGCGGCAAGGGCCCTTGGTGCCTGGAGCGAAGTCGAGATGCTCTTCTCGCCGGCAAACGACCACGGCTTCATCTCCCTGACATAGTCAATCGCCGAGTCCCTGCTGAGGGTGACGTGCGTCGGCTGCGGCTCCCAGGGGAACGTGTAGTTGAGCACCGGCGTAGTGGCGATGGCGGCTTTGGAGCGGTCGAAGGCGGTCTCTGGCGCGGTGAGGGCCAGCATGGGGATGGCGACTGCGAAGAGAGCGCTGATGATGCGGTATTGGGCAAAGGGCCCGACATTGCCGGAGACGACGCCTCCAATAAGGGGCGATGCCCAGGTTGATGTGATGGTGAGAATGGTGTATAGAGAGACTCGGGCGTTTCTCTCATGTTCCTGTTCCCAACTGCGAGTCAGAAGACATTGTTCGATGAGAATGAGAGGCAAATGCTGGAGTTGGCTTACGTAGAAGGTATCTTGGATAGTCTCCATCAATAAGGTGTCAAAGGCACCCCAGCCGAGTCCTTGCATGACTCGAGCGCCCATGCACGAGCCATAGCTAGAGCCCGCCGTCATATTCCAGAGGCAGCCGGCGAAGATGAAGGCCGCAGAGACGAGATATACCGGCCGTTTCCCTGCCAGCTTTGCCGCGACTGAGCTGAGGAAGCCGGTGGCAGCCGAGACCATCAAAGGCGTAGCCGTCAAAGCGGCGATCCAGGTATAGGAGACGTGGTAGCGAGTGGAGAGGACGTCGTTGACGGTGATGAGGGCCGTCTTCATTGCGCCGATCAAGCACGCCATGAAGAGTAAGGATGCCAGGTTTAATTCTTTCCTCCATTGGGGCCAGTTCTGGTTCACCGACGCATGAGTGACTGCTCATCAGCACAGAGGGAAACGGGGGATCAATCCTACCAGCGGATCTTGTGGATCGTCGCTTGGTTGAGGCACCAGTTCCACGTGAGAGTGCTTTCCAGTCCCATACTTGATGGGTTTATGCGGACGAAAGGCCAGGGATGTGAAGGAGGCCTTTTTCATCGACCCTGTGCCCAGCCTGGGAGATGCCACTCCCGTAATGGTTGCTGACCGCGATTTTATTGACGAAGGTGATTTTATTGATGACCTTGGAGATGTCGGGATGGGCGGTAAGGGCACAGAGGGAGGCATGGAAGGTATGTCGAGCGCCTTGAGAGCGGATCGGAGAGAATGGACGGATGGTGGCCGAGTGATGTTGCTCACGATCCTAATACTGCTAGGATCCATGGCGAATGTGAAGCTCTGTGCTTGGTGCTGTTGCTGAAACCCTGATGTATATCTGATATATTGGCTTGCTTATTTGTACGTGGGCTAGTATTTGTAAGTGAGCGTGAATGTTGAACGAGTGGCCGACTCATGAATCCAGCAATGAGTCCGTAAGAGCGTAGGGGCCGGACAGGATCCCATTGGGCAGAGCGGGAGCATGTCTATTTGTGCGTGTACGACGAGGGGCCCTGACGCGACAAAGAGCCTTTTTGACAGCTCCGAGAATATGGCTCCGGCGTTATACCAGATGGACACTCGGGCCAGGACCCAGCGAGGACGCGGGCGGCCAGTCGGAAGCGAAGGCAGGGGGTGGTTGGGGGGGGTTTGGGCAGGAAGAGACACGCAGGAGGTAGAGATACTAGATAGTTGGAGAGAAGATGGCACAAGGTACACGCCACCGTCCGGTGAGGCTGCCGTGCATGGGTCGAGTTTGATGGTCTGTGGATCTTGGCTTGCACACATGCTGTAAACAAGAGAGAGGCTGTGCGTGGGCATGGGGAGGGGGGAGGGCGGTATAAGACAAGGGGAGGGAGACACAGGGAGAGACGAACACTGGCGGTTGACAGTGGGACGGGTCAAGAGAAGGGATAGAGGCCCTTGATGATGGTAGTACTATCAGACGACTCCTATTTAGTAAAGATGGGAAGGGAAAAGCAATGAAGCAAGAAGGCCATGTTGTTCGAACTGAGGCCAGATGGCTCAAACAGCATCGAAAACATCAGAGGCTCAACCACCCTCGCTCAATGACGGCATCTGCAAAGCTGAACAAGCCCGTATGCGGTATGACAGAGCATGGGTCAAGCAAGGCCCCGGTCCAGAAGGCCGCAGCGGTGGGCCATGGCTGGCGGATCTGATTGTGCGAGCTTCGGTGGATGCGATGTGATGAAGACGTGTGCAAGTTGCAGCAGCAGCAGCAGCAGCAGCAGTACTCGATCAGTGGTATGCGCCGTATCCTGACGATGATCTGACAAGATATCGACGGGCTGGCGTTGGACCGAACTGCAGAGAGAGATGCTGCAGGATAGTGGATGGGAGGTGTAGTGCTATCAGCACAGTACTATCTGTCCGGCAGACAACACGGAGGTTGAGTCAAAGGAGGATGCCGTGTCTGCTCGTCTTTCCCCTCGTTGTCTCAGAGCCGGGACGAGGAGATGAGGGCGAGACACGTCAATGTTTCTAGCCTGTATCGATCTGTAAAAGGGACAGTCAGCCATCAGATACGTACTACAAGTAAGGTACTGCCAGTCAACAGCAAACGTGTTTCCCACAACCCTCAGGGATACACGAGAGGGATGAGCACATGGATGCAATAGAGGCTGGTAGCAGATGCTCGTGAGCTGGTCGGAGAAACAGAGAGCGAGAGAGAAGAGAGAGGCTGAAGCCAAGCTGGGTGTACTTGCGGAGCCCCCCACTCGCGTCCCCTGGTCAGGGCAATCCAGGTACCGCTACCCGGCCTTTACGTGCCTGGCACTACGGCAGAAGCGTACTAGCTACGAGCTCCGGCTGGCGGCTCGGACGCGGGGCTGAGCGAGTGGAGTCTCGAGTGCCGGCAGCTTCTTCCGGGAGGGTCTGCGAAATAACTTACATACTACATACAAGTACTACTATCTCTGTAGGATCCTTTGCGTGGTGGGCGTCGCAGTGGCCTGCTGAGGAGCAGCAGATGAGTCCTTTCAGGGCTAATTTGGAAGAGGATTCACTGATCGACCAGCTGCTGAATGACGATTGGGTGCTGCCTGATCATGCGAATAGAGGTTGAAGCAGGTACTGGATCGTCCCCTGCAGTAAAAGCTGTGGGTAGCTGCATCGCTGGCTTCGCTTCCCGCCTTCAGCTGAGCCAAACAGCAAGCCAGTCATCATCACGAGCGGCAGAGGGCGGACAAACCACTCCGTATATGCACTCATCTAATGCTCGCTATCTATTTCAGTTTGCTTCCAGACCAATCCTCCATACGACTACACCGAGCAGCCAACTTGGAACATCCGGGTGCATACCTTACCGTGATGGCCTCCTCTCGTGCTCTTCTCCGGCTGTTCTTCATCTCGCTCTGGACGCAATCCGTGCATTCACTGTGTAGAACTGCCGTAACCTGGATGTTTCTCGACCAGATGCTCTTGTTTTTTCTTTGCCTTTTTCTTCTTGGTTTCTTTTCTCACCGGTTGCTTGGGTACGTTTGCTCCCGTGTCTGTGGCTTGCAGATGGGCCATGGTCCAGAGCAAGGCCCCTGTATATGCACCAACTTTCCCTCTCTTCTTTTATATTCCCTACCATAGATTGCTGAAGCTGGGCAGTAAAAGTTTTTTTGATTGGACAGCAAAAAATTGCAAACCCTGCCTGGGGCTATCATCTACAGGTTATGCATACAGATGCTAGTATACTATTTGGCTACACGGCGCATCCCGCGTCCTCGTATATCTCCTGTACAGCCTGAGATGCTCAACCTCCTGAACAACCTCATCCGTGTTCAACTCCGCTAGTAGTACGCCGTACTTGTGCTTTATCTTCTCCCGATGACGTTACCCTACATACATGTATACACTTAGTCGTTTGATCGAAAAGCAATATGCACTCCTCAGCCCTGTCAAGGCAGTGACGATGGCCGATGATGCATGCATACAACCTGTTTCTTGTGCGAGGCACAATATTGATCACCGAGCAACTCTTCCAATACGGCATGTATACACCACATAACTTATTGGACGCAAATCTTTTTGGAATATCCGCCGGCGCCTATCATGGTGACACGCTGCGAAACTCGGCAACCCATGATACAAAGTCGCAGGAGACACAGAAGAAAGAAGGGTCAACATCATAGGTAGGGTGAACACACCCTACCGCTCCCGTCTTCACAGCAACAAGGCTCCAGAACAAAGAACAAAAGCCTGCCGCTCTCAGTCCAAGTACTAACGTACATAAGTTCTAAGACACAAAACAGGGCCTGACACAGAAGAAAAGGGAGAAAAGATCAGAGCCTAAATACCACTACAAAGTACATCTGCCCAGCAAGAAGGACCGGGAGCAAACCACCCCCCGTCTTCTTCTGGCTGGGCTAATGCACCTCGATTCGGACTATCACCAGCCGCGTCTCCCAACATCACATTTTCGGTCAACATTGTCGTGTCACACCGCAGCGGAGCAAATCCCCAAAAGCAGAAGTGGAAGACTTAGAAAAAAAAAAAAAAAAAAAAAAAAAAAAGAGATTGACACTTACCACATCTCACAGTCAGTCAATGACATCTTTCATGTGCTTTTTTTCTGCTCCACTCATCAAATTTTTCTCCATCAGGTGGTCACTTTTGCAGAGGCTCAGCTTGGTCACCGCCAGAGTTTGGCTCTCCATCTTGCATCTGTTCATCCCGTCTTGACATCCTGCCCAGCGGCTACTCTCACCATCCTGTGAAATTCTGTATCATGTTCTTGTGTTGTGATGCTTGTTCCCCCTACGCTCCGGTGGAAGGACTTTACGCCTAGAACTGACCATGTTTTCGAACCCTGCAGAGAGCAGAGACAGCAATTCTCCCTTCCAGTGGGATGTCTCTGCCCTGCCCTGCTTTTAATCGATAAAATCGATGAGCCAATGTCTCGTCCGGTTTTCTTCTTTTGTTATTGTCTTAGCCCAGAGTCGTTTTCTCTGGCGATATGATGCTTGCTTGCGATAGCATCACCCTGGACGTCGCAGATAGAGGCATGTGCTACAGAACACACCTGTATCCCGAAACGAGCTATAAGTTTGATGGAATATAAAGCACAGCAATTTTTACAGCGTAGAAGAAGGCTTTCAGAATGAGCATCTTCATTGCCAATGATTGTAGTATACACGACACTTTTCCTTTGTTCGAGATCTGAGACTTTGAGTCTCCCTTACCTTAGACACTCAGCTGCAGTCCTCCTGAGACGCTCAACAGCAGGTATTTGGTAGCGATATTGCCGTTGAGATTCTGTTTAGTACTCCCATCTAGGCTAGCAGCGGTACCCTTTTTCCTTTGTTCGGTCGCGTTGTTATGTCTCACAGGCTGCTTGGGAAGTCGTCGATAAACAAGCACGCGTGATCAAGCCAGACTCCCCGTACTCCGTACATGGAAGAGAATCAGAACCTTTACTCCAGCCACGAATGTCCAAGCAGCGCAACAGGGCACAGCGAGAGGGAGCGCCACAGAAAAAGCACGTTCACATAGCCGCGATGATGATATCCTTGCCGGAGTGAGACACGTGCTTGTCGGCCGCCTCCTCCACGGCCATCAGCAGCGTGCTGGTGCGTACAATCAGTTCTGTAGCAATCAAGTCAGCAGGTTTATGTACGATGCAAATCTCGCAAGTTGACCTGGAGATGAGTTGACAGGACGCCACACCAACCTTCGTAAATGAGATTGTAAAACACGGGCGGCTCGTCTTCGAAGATTGTCCCCCTTACGTCTGGGCCGGGCAACACTCTGAAGCGCAGACCAACGTTCTGTGTACTGTCCACCCACAAGACGCGGCTGTCGTCTAATGAGAAGACGCCCGAGCTTGCGAGTGTGGCTCCTGTCACGGCAACGGGGGCTGATGATGAAGATGCCCCAGACCGTAAAGAGGATGGCCTCTCCAACATGCTGGCCAACCAGTCTCTAAACACGCGAATCACGCCCTCGCTAATGTTGATATGCCGCGTAAATAGCCCCGGCCGAGCACCCTGGGTCACGATATTCGTCACCGTGCAAAGCTGCGAGAAGCGCTCTCCTTCATCTAGATAGACCTCCTGGTGCGCCGCCTCGTCCATGACATTATCATCCTCGGCAGCAATCTGCAGCTGTGAGCTAGTACCAGCCAGCGTCTGCGACGACCACCCATAGCGAAACCTCGCACGCCTGTTCTCCTCCATGACGACCGGCCGGAAGCACGAATACAGCTTGCGCAGGTGCTCAAAGCTCGGGTTCTGCTCGTCGATGGCGTGCCCGTCGCAGACGGCCGTGCCGAGGTATCGACAGGCGAGGTAGGGCGTGGAGATCTTGGCGCTGGGGTGGTAGCATTCGAGGATGGCCTGGTTGTCTGGCAGCGAGGCGGCGGCGACGAGGCGTCTGTGGAGGATGCGGGTTGCGAGGGAGCAGAAGAGGTGGCTGACGGTGACGATGGAGAGGAGCTCTTTGGTGTCGAGGGACGAGAGTATGTTGGAGAGGAGCTGTGGGTTTCAGACGGAGGCTGTCAGTGACGATGGCTATGATGGCAGGAGTGATGAATTGGCCTTTTGCGTACCTCGTTGGGGAGGATCTTGATGGGAGAGTCTAACGTCGCCATCTTGGATGTCTCGGTAGGCCGAGTCAGAGCATCAACCACAAGGATCCAATGTCAGCTGTCAATTCGATGATGATTCGACAAGAAGATGCCAATGATCGAGATGGTTCTCCAAGAAGGATAGACAACATTGAATGCTGGCAGATCAAGGTCAAGGACAGACCGACAGATTCGATGGCGATATCGGTCTCCTCGCCTCGGCAAGCAGCAACGCCACCCCAGGGCCTTCATTCGTGCGATAAGCATTGATTGTGACAGCTCCCGGGAGACCCGCTTCCCCAGGATTGGCGCTCGTTGGCCGGGCGAATCTATCCGTTGGCTTCCGCGATGGAATCTGGCCAATCAGGCGCAGGAATCGAGTCCGTTGAAGATGCGGAGGAACAGAGAACAGCAACAGAAAACTTGGAATGACTTGGAAGAGACAGATTTCTTGCCACAATCAATTGTATGGACAAACAACCAGTCTATCGTTTTTTATGGAAGAACAGCCGTAACAAACTTAGGCGCCGTGATGGCTTTGCTCTCTTGCAATGTCATCACAGAGGACCAGAACAGACACTCACTACAGGGTGAGAGTAGAAGATGCTCATCACGTTCTGGAAGCAAAGTGAAGTTGACAAAGACAACATGACAAACAACGGAGTGATTAGAATTGTTTCAAAAGACAGTGATTAGATTTGCATCCAAAGAACTGATGCAACAGAGTTGAAAATATCATCGTCTTTCAGCTTTGTCATTCTGCTAGCTATTATTCATCCAGAATGGTTTGAGTTGCTCCTTGGCTCCCTGTTCAGTAATCACCAAGATAACAGAACGAGACCATCTACGCCACGCCTCGGCCATGTATCTTTGCTGCTTTTTCAGCTGCATATAAAAGCTGCGCATTCAGCACTCAATATCTTCTGTATCCCAATTCACAAGCATCGCTTGAAAGTACGACTCAACATCTTTGATAGAACCTTTTGCGCCAACAGACACCAACGACTTACACCATGACTTCAGCACTTGTCGAAGAGCTGCTCAGCCGCAACAGGTATCTTCATCTAAATCCCTCCATCTTCACAACGCCCAAAGCTCACAAACCCGAAGCAAAGTCCACCAGGGGCTACCTCCATTGATCCCAATGATCGAGGCGGCTCGTCAAGCCGGACTAGAAACGGCCATCATCCTGAGCTGCTCGGACCCGCGTCTGAACCCCTATGCCATCTTTGGCATCGACCCCAGCGTTCGAGGCATCAGCATGGTCCGCAATGCTGGAGGCCGTGCGATGGACGCCATCAGGTCCATCTCTGTCCTTCAGACCATTGCCAGTGCCAAGACACTCGTTGTCCTGCATCATACGGGTGAGCAAACAACAACGAGCAATTGTCCATGGAATGAGGTGTAGTTATTGACGCTCGATACAGACTGCGGAATGACGCACTTTCATGATGCAAGAGTCAGGGAAGCCCTGATCAAGTTTGCGCCGCAGGAAAAGGAAACCATTAATGCCACCAAGTATGGCGAAATTACCGGATCGTAAGCTCTATCCTCTTTCGCCCCATGATGAAGAAGTTATGACTGACTTTGAGTAGAATTGAGGACAGCGTCAAAGAAGACGTGGAGCATCTACGCTCTTCACCCTTTATTCTACCGGGGACTTTGATCGTGGGACTCAAGATGGACACCTTTACTGGAGTTGTCACCAAGGTTACAGAGGCCAAGATTGAAGAGCATTGATGGACAGCCGTTGGACAGGTGGTGTAATTTAGTTATAGACTTTTGCAATTGATGCTTGATTATTATAGAATGCTTCTCCCTTGGGAATGATTGGCTCAACAGGCCATCTAAGGCAATACTTGCCCCCCGGCTGCCGCTTTTCCTGCCAGACTCTTGCCTTCGTTCTGAAGAAACGTGCTGTTGAACTCGAGTATTTCATCTTTACCCTAGGCAGAGGAGAAACATTTTAGCACCTCACTCGTGGATCTTCGTATGATGGAATATGCACTCACACTCGTGGTTCGCTCAACACTGGCCCTCGTCTCCAATGCCGTCGCCCATTCATTCCACCCCTGCACGTCTGTACGAGCAAATCCCCGAACTTCTCCGATGATAAAGTCGCGCACAGCCCATGGCGCGATCGCAGCATCGACGAGGCTGAATTGCTCGCCAAAGAAATACGGGCCTTTGGCTTCCTTGGAGACTGCCGAGAGCAACGTTCTGAAGTCTGCGAGAGCAGCTGCCTGCTTTTCGGGCTCGGATGGCTGAGCTTGCAAGAGTCGAAAGAAGGCCGGGACGACCTCTTTGTTGACGTAGTCAATCCAGAGTCTGGCCATGGCCCGTTGGTAGGCGTCTTTGGGCATGAGTAGTTGATTCGAGCCGAATTCTTCGTTTAGGAACTCATTGATCACGACGGAGTCATGAAGCGGCTTTTCATCTACACAAAGCCCAGGCGTCAATCCCTTTGGAGAGATTTCTGCTCAAGCATCATTAGCCCTGAGAAGATCAACTGAGACAGATATGATTGCAAATGAACGTACTGAGAAAGGAGGGCTCCTTGAGGTAAGGATTCACCTCCTTGTATTGATACGGAACGCCAAGCTCCTCGAGCACAACCCATACGCGCTGCGTAAATGGACAGAACCAGCCCGCCCAAAGGACGACATTTGCTGGCGCGGTGTGTTGTTGAACTGTAACGGACGCTGCCGAGGTAGCGACGGGGTGGTATTTCGGGACTGCTTTTTGCATGATTGCTCTGCTTGTAAGTCGAGGGATGATGTTTAAAGGTGACATTGACAATAAAGTCGTGGGCTAGAAGGAGAAACGCAACTTTCCCGGTCAAAGGTACCCTATGGCCTTTTTTAAAGCATACAAGTATGATGCAATAGTACTTCTACTAGAATGATTCCATATCTTCAAGAGGAAACCATTGGGGGAAAAAGTCTGTTATAGGTAATCGGTCTCATCATGGAATTGAGGCGAAGAATGATGCCAATACGGAAAGCAAATCACAGTACATGAAGCCTCTGCTTAGATACGCACGGAGTCACGCAAACTTCGGCACAAGAAAGCATATACCGACCTATAATACCATAATGCGAGTGGAATGCCATTATGTTGAGCTGTGGATGAGAAAGAACGCATGTGATCTATTGAAGGCTTCAGCTGAGTTGCGGGTGATATACATAGCTACCCACAGATAACTCCGAATTGAATGCGGCCCTATCACAAGGTGGCATGCTCTTAGCACACGTTGATGTAAGCATCGCGATGGAATCAGTCCGATTAGTGATCTTCTTCCAAACGCAGTCACCGGATTACTCAACTTTACAGCATGAACTCGGGATCTTGCAAGCCCGCTGCTAGTATCTCAAACATTAACCCCGAATTAAGTGCGAAGTCAACCGCTACGAGGCGAATTCCTGCAGCATGAGAAGGAAACATTGTATGTCACAGCTGACATATAGGATCCCTGGTATTAATGAGAGAGAATAGGACGTCATGGCTTCAGCGACGCAGACGATACATGAGACAAGGGGAACGTCCTTACAACACAGAGCAGTTGACCTGGTTCAATAAAATGCTGCTGTTCCAGCTCCAATTCTTTCTTGCTTTCTTCCGATAATCCCAAACGTATGCTCCTGAAGAAGTAGACGTCTGGTATCTCGTCAAAATGCCGTTCAAACACCACTATCAACACGGCCGCCACAAGGGCGAAGTGGCCGTGTACAAGATGCTCAAACTTCCCATCAGCGGCGACCCCACGAGCTCCGGCCTACCCCCAAACCACGCCGTCCGCACCATGGAATCCCCCCTGATAGCATTAGGAACGCTCGACAACAAAGGCCGGCCGTGGACGACCATCTGGGGCGGAGAGCTCGGCTGCGCAAAGCCCATGGCAGAAGACGTGCTGAGGATCGACAGCAAAGTAGACACACGCCATGATCCTGTCTTCAATGCCCTGTTTGGAGGAGGTGGTGGTAACCGTGCCAACAAGACTGGAAGTGCGATACTCCCCCCGGATGGCGAGGAGGGCAAGATGATGGCTGCGTTGGCCATCGATTTGGAGGGACAGGACCGTGTGAAGCTCATGGGCAAGATGCTCGTGGGTGTGCGGAACAGGGACGGGAGCGTTGGCATCGCCATGGACGTTAAAGAGAGCCTCGGCAATTGTCCCAAATACCTCAACAGGAAGGAGATTGTGCCAAGCAAGATGCATCCCGTCCTGATGCGCCAAGGACTTCCATTGCCGCAGGAAGCCGTCAAGTTGATCGGCGAAGCCGACACGTTCTTTGTGTCGACGACAAACGGGGAGTCGATGGATACGAACAACAGAGGCGGTCCACCTGGCTTCATGAGGATCATTCAGAACAGCGAAGAGGGAGTTGCCTTGGTGTACCCAGAGTGTGAGTTTCCCCAACCTGACCGATTTTCGATTCGAAAACAAAGCGGCTAATAGTGTTTCCGTCATTGCAGTCTCTGGGAACAGACTGTATCAAAGCCTGGGAAATCTCAAAGTCAACCCACTGATCGGGATTGTCATTCCTGACTTTGCGACTTCCGATGTCCTGTACCTCACTGGTTCTGCAACCATCCTATCAGGCAAAGACGCCTCCGACGTGTTGACTCGAACAACACTGGCCGTCAAAATCAACGTCACAGAGGCGAGGTTTGTCAAGTCTGGCCTTCCGTTTCGTGGTATCCCCATAGAATACTCTCCGTATAACCCTCCCCCACGATATCTCGTCGCCGAACAAAATGAAGGGCTTGGAGGCGCCTCCCATAGCGGCACCAGCCTCTCTGCTCATTTCGTATCTCGGGAAGCCCTCACACCGACCATTAGTCGCTTCACATTCAGGCTCCTCTCCCAGGAGCCACTTCCAACCTGGAAAGCCGGACAGTACATCACGCTGGATTTTGCGCCGCACCTGGACCGAGGATGGTCTCACATGAGAGACCACGATCCCCAGAGCCTCAATGACGACTTCATTCGGACCTTTACTGTTTCCAGCGTTCCAGAGGCGGATGAGCTTCAAATCACAGCCAAGAAGCACGGCCCTGCCACGCGTTTCCTCTGGAGACATGAAACCGGTGACCCCTTGAAGCTATCTGTACTAGGGTTCGGCGGACAGGAGTCCTTTCGCATGCCCGTCCGGAAAGCTTCCGCAGAGCCATCGCGATCCGTCTTTATCGCAGCGGGCGTGGGTATAACACCGCTGCTCGCTCAAGCTCCGGCACTCCTCGGTGCGAATGCGGACTTTCATGTTCTCTGGAGTCTTCGCGGGGAGGACTTGGGACTGGCAATCGACTCGTTTCAGAGGATTGAGGGGTTAACTGCAGTGACTAAGCTCTTCGTTACTGGAGATGACTTCGACGTCGAACTGATGAGGCGAATTCAGAATATGGATTCGGCGATAGAGCTTCGGCGGATGTGCCTTGATGATGTCGAACCGTTCAAGGGATCAGGGCAGGGGTTCTTTGTCTGCACGGCTCCCACGCTGCTGCGGAAGGTGAATTGCTGGTTGACGGGAGAGCGCGTTGTGTGGGAGGATTTCGGCTATTGATGTGTCACGAGTCATCTCATAGCGTTGATGCCGTATATAGCGATAAACCAAACAACTGCAATTTGTAGCTTGGGGTTGCGACTTTGTCGCTATTCGTATTATATCTAGTATCGTATTATATACATCAAGCGTAATTGAACAATGGAAGAGGGGAGTCGTCTGCTGTAGATTTAGAGCATCGAAATAGCCCGGATTCTGCTCCAACAATTAGTTAGCCAATAAAGGCCACCGCATCAAAAACAACGGAGAGCTTACATCTTGATCTTCTGTATCTTACACCATATTGTAGTCCCAAAACGACTCGCCATATCGTAATGTACACACTGCAACGCCCAATTCTTCGTTTCAAGGGATCGATCGTCTCCATTTCCTGGTGGTGAAGCGCTTCACCACCAGTTACCCTTCTCTTTTCTTCTCTTCTCCACCTACTCATCGTCAGCGCATCTCATACTCAATGTTTCCATGCCCGTGTCAGTATTCAACATACCCAAGCCTGTTTGCAATCCCGATACGCCCTGAACGCACCATTAGCTTTCCTCTTTCCACATCACACAAGGCAAGATGCCCCATTCCTCAGCCGGCACAACATACTGGAAGTACTCTCCGCACATCGACTTGTCCCCGTTATTCCTGTACAAGCACTTGTAACTCCGCTGCGCCGCTTCCTGGCAAGGATCGTAGAATTCGCTTTTCGATTTGCTACAACACATAACGAGCCTCGAGTTAGCAAGTCGTGAACGGCGGCGCACACAAAAGTCTCCCTGGTTCGCGCGGGCGGCCGGACTTACCTCTGGAACTTTTGCCTCGTCTCGTCGGTCCAGGGACCCTCTTTTGAGTCTTGCGATGATGAAGCCATGTTCTTCCTATCTATCTGTTTCCGGGGGGCCGACTCCGTTGTCGTTGTTGCTGGGTGGAAGGGTGATGTTGAAGTCGGGTGAATGTCGGCTGCTGCTCAATCTTCTGGTGATGAACTCGAGCCCAGTTCTTGCCTTACGTCATTGCAAGGTTGAGCGAAGCTGCGTTATAGGGAGCAGAAGCGAGATTTGGTACTATGAACTCAGGAAGTCATCCATGTCTACATTCAGATTACAATGCATTGAACACCCAATTACTCACCCATCTTTCTTTTATGCACTTGTATTCAGTGGAAACACCAGGAGACGACATGTCGAGGCTTCGCAGTCACCTGATCCCTGTGCTCAACTCCCAGCTCCGATAAGCCCGCCTTATCGCACTAGCTCCCGCGAAAAGAGGCCAGATGCCGAACTCGTCCCCCCCTTCAGTCGCGACACAGCTCAAACGACCATCCAAACCTCCAAACAATCAAGCGAATCACCTCAAACCGAAGACTTCAGAAGAAGACACAAAACTACCATCTTTACAAGACACCGGTCTCAAGGGCGAGAAAGGAAACGGCGAAAGACACAGAAGGGGAGAGGCGCAACGAAACAAATCACCCAAGATGCTCTTCATAGGCAACCTCGTCTACGTCCTCTGCCTCCTCACAAACGCCCTCGCCATCCTCTCCGACGACCGCTTCCTCGCGCGCATCGGCCTCTCCACGAGTACATACGATCCTGCCTTTGGCGCCGGCGCAGATGCGAACAGTGTAAAGGCCAAGCTTGTTGCTCTCATTGCCAGTGTCCGCATGGTCATGCGACGTACGTTTCTCCTCCTCTTTTCTTTTCCCCCAAAACACATATCCTCGGAAATGTGAAGCTGACAGCATGAATAGCGCCATTGATCATAGTAAACACGCTCATCATCCTATACGAGCTGGTACTCGGCTAGCCAACAAACATCAAAAGCCTAAAAGTTTCTCGATTCCGAGCACCGGATCCCACTCGCAGCAGGCGGATCCTGGTTCACTGCGACAGCCCTCGATTGGTATAAGCAAAAAGACACCTTCTCGGGCCGCTTCGCGGGATTGTTTCCATGCATACCTTATGATGGTGTGATCGTGGCGCGGATGCTCTCTCGCATTTGATAGATTTGGCATGAGCTGCTCTCTCATAATGGAAAACATTGAGTATATATATAAAGTCCAACATCATATATCGCCAAGTTCCCTCGAAACAAGACCACTCGAATAGGGGCTGTGGACATACCTCAACGGCACAATTGTACACTCCTGATCGTCACTGCTGTTTCTTGCCTGTCGAATGATAAAGTGATACAAACACTGAGTTCAACTTCTTTTCGAGCTCGTGATCTGTATTCCCTGCATGGCTCGCGTCACATGAGTCTTCGACCGTTGATATAAGGACGACTTGACAGAGTTCGCCCGCTGGTGATAACTGACCGCAAATTATACGATGGAGCAATCAACAGCGTCACGGAAGGAGATAGGCCAATAGGCTGACCAGACGGATATACACCGCGGTTGAAAACCGAAGAGGATGGGACGAAAAGGCGGAGTTATGAGTCAATTGCTTTTGTTCGCTCTAAGTATTATATGTCTTGTCATGAGATTCATAATGGTCCTGCAACATTGAGCTTCATCAGCCCATCATCATCTGTCCAGGTGCTACCCACATACCGGCGTCTTGACCCCTTCTCTTGCGCTGAAGTAGACAGTGCTGTCCCCACTTGCGCCTGTATTGCTCCGGAATGGCTTCGATGTCCGGAACCCAAAGCGTTCGTGCCAGAAGATGGGTGCTGGCGGCATCGAGAAAAGGAACGCACTTGACGACTTCCCAGTGGTTCTTGTCGGCAATGTAGTCCGGCTCCTTGGCCGACAGCGACGTCTTCCGCTCGGGGTACTGGGTGTCTACCAAGAAAGAGCACATTCGAGGCTCGACGTATTTTCCGAGATCTTCTTCGTTGCGGTCGTTGAGACCCTTGGTGGGCAGCCAGGTGCCGCTCCAGAAGCCGAAGCCAGTCCCGGCTTCAGAAAACTCGCCAGGCAGCAGACCACGGAATTCAGAACGCAGGAACTTGGCATGCATATTGCGAGGGAGGAAGTAGGATGTTGGGAAGCGGTACCACTCCTTGCCGAAGCAGACGTTGTCTTCCTCTGCTCCAAAGGTGTTTCCTGACTCGTCCCCCCAAAGAGGCGAGTATATTTTGAGAGGGGCTGAATACGCAGAGTAAACCCCGTAAATGCGGGCAAGGGAAACGCTGACTGAAAGCAGAAAGGTGAGGCCGACAACGAGGAGCTTGAAACGACCCGGAATCTTTCCGACGAATGTCTTGGCGTTTGCGGTTCCGAGAGCTAGGAGAATTATGTGTACCGATATCGCGGCGTTGAGAGCCAGGAAAGGGTAAGCCGGGTACATGAACCTCTCTTCCTTGTGTGGCTGTGCGGTAAAGATTCCTAGCCACATATAAAAGGGGGCAATGAAAACGATGGTGCGTAATCCGCTGGCCAGACTTTGTGAAGCAGAGGAGAATGTTTTCTGCAGAATGAACAATGGCAGCACCAGAAGGGCAAGGATGAACCAGATGTTGAAGTTGAGTGCCAGATTCTTGAAATAGAATGTCCAAGGCTCGGTTCCATAAAGATCGGGCCCGCCTGTTTTGGAGAAGATGTTGTATTTCACAATGTTCCAGGCGACAACTACCGATTTCTTGTAGAAGAAGAGATTGATGGTGAAGTCCAAGCCCTGTTCGATGTTAGCGTAGATCACTGCAGATGCGACTAAACCAGACCACCTACCAATACCAGGACAGCAGCGATGACGCCGCGACCAAACCGTATCACAGCTTCGATCAGAGAGCTCCTATCGCTAAACAGGACCAGAATGAACTCCTCAAGGAGGTACGGAGCACAAAGGGCGGCGGCAAATGGCCAGCCAAGGATGCCTGCCACAGCGAACCAGGCCATGCCTTGCCAGGTCTTCAAACCGCCGCGCCAGTTCATGAACGATGCAGCGCCAAGCATTGCCATATACATGGCGAAGCTAGAGGGCAGAAAGGCGGTACTCGCATGGAAGTTCCCGGGGCTAACAATGGTGGCGATGACGAAGAGAACACCAATCCTAGCATTTAGAGCTAGACTGATGCTCTGGAACATGATGGTCTGGCAGATGGCGCAAAGGAGCGCCAGCCCGTAGCGAACAAAGTAGAACTCAGCAACCTGACGAAAGTAAGCCAGCAGCTCAAGAGGCGCACTCCAGCAAATATTGCGATGCTCACCTTGCTCGATTGGGGCAGGATCCTGCGGATGTTTCCCACAACAGCATGAAGCGCTATGTAAAGCCAGCTTCGGATGGCATAGTCCGGGGAATACTCCCACGTTTGCAGGCCGTAGCCATGTGAGAGGTAATGGGTGGGTTCCCAGTAGTTGAACGTCTCGTCGCAATCCTGGATTGGCGCAAACAAGGCCGCGATCAAGTTGGCGCCGAAAAAGAGGTAGAACGCGGATATGGGCTGCATGCCATATGCGCTGGGCCGCCTTGTGATTCAGAGGACACAATACAAATCAGCAGCCGGGCTCTGAGGTCATCGTTGTAAGTGAGACATACTTTTTCTTTGCATGGCTGGCGGCTGGATGCTCGAAAGGCGCCGGCGCAGCGACCGACTTCTTCGGTGCTGATGCCGGTGCCGCAGCAGCTTTAGGAGCAGCGGCTTTCGGAGCAGCGGCTCTGGATGAGACTCTGGGCGCCATCGTCGCGGATATGCAACAGTTTGGCGGCGGTTGGAGAGATGCGCGGCTCAGGTTTTGTGTTGTTGGGGTCAAGATCCACCACAGCTTTAAGAGGATGGCGGTGAGGCTTGTTGAGTCCCGGTGAGCCTCGGTGAAGACGGAGCTGGATGGGCCGCGCATCCACTTCTTATCGTCACCGGGCATTTTGACCAGCAATTCCGTCACCGCCTTCGCTTCCCACTGGCAGGCGCCTGTATGTGCTCACTGTCGTGCGCTAAAGTGCAGCCGACCTTTCCGGATTTAGCATGGCCGGCTCCATCTACCGCTCGCAGCGCGATTCTGCCAGTGCTTCTCTCTTTTTTTTTTTCCTTATCGGCTAGCAGAGCATTTCTTCGCCATCGCATTCTCCAAGAAAATCTCAGCCCAACACATCAATTTCTTGTTCTTTTGAGGCTTGGACTTGAATTGAGTTCTTCTAATCCTTGGATTAACATTGGATCACCATTATTTGTACCGTTTATATCATATTGAAAAACGACGGTGAAGCGGTCCAAACCCTTCACGAAGAGGCGCCTTTGATCAGCGCCATACCTACGCCAAACCGCACATATTCTCGACGCCACGATGTCGGGTTTTCAGATTCCTGGACTGGGCCAAGCAAAGCCCAATGAAGTTCTACCGCCGCTTCCAGCTGATCTCGCGGTTGCCGCTGCGAGCGCTGCCGAAGATGACCGAGAGATGCTGGATGTGAACCACTCCGCCCCTCAAACAGCACCATCAACGACAGAAGGCCACAGCGAACCCGTCAAGGCCGTCTCCGAGGCTCCAGCCGACCACAATATGTCAGATTCTATGCCAATTGGCCAGCCTGGAAGCCCGCCGTCCGTAACACACGCCCTCGAAGCAGCCCTCGGCGGCCTCGACAACGGCGAGACACCTCAACAAGCGCCCCAGCCTGACGCAGAGCCGGTCCCTTTACAACCCGACGAAAGCGAGAACCCTGAATGGGAGATTGATTCTTCTCCTTACGAGTCATCAGACTCTAGCAGCTCCGACTCGTCGTCCGAGGATGACGACTCGGACAATGAGGGCTACGAGCCTCTGGGTATTGAAGAGACGGCACGGCTTCTCATGGAGATGGAGGGGGGCTCTGACGACGAAGGCGATAAAGGAAAGTCTGCCGCTGGCTACGTGCGAACCAAGAATGAGCTTCCCGAAGAGCCCATTCCCCGACCGGACGTGACGATCACTCCCGAAATGAAAATAGAAGAGCTGGGTGTTGTTGAGCAACTTGTCGAAAACATCATGCTTGTCAAAGCCTTTACCCCAGGAGAGTACCAAGTCTTGGACAGCGGATCGGTCTTGTGCAACTCAGAGCGAGTTGTCATCGGGGTCGTTGGTGAGACGATAGGCAAGGTGGTGCAGCCGATGTACACAGTTACGTTCAACTCGGCAGAAGAAGTCAAAGAGCTTGGACTGGAGGTGGGGACAAAGATATTCTATCCTGTCGATCACGCATCGTACGTCTTCACGGAGCCTCTGAAGAACCTTAAGGGCTCGGACGCCAGCAACCTGCACGACGAAGAGATCGGCGATGAGGAAGTAGAATTCTCAGACGACGAGAAGGAAGCAGAGTACAAGCGGTCGCTGAAGCAGAAGAAGAAGGACAAGTGGAAGAGCGGTGGAAAGGAAGGGAAGCAGGCCCATCCTTTGCGCCAGGAGATGTCTGCGGACGGCAGCTTGAACTATGACGAAGATGATGGCCCCTACAAGCCGTTGGCACGACCTGCCGGGTACGGTACTGGTCCTCAATCCACTGAGAGTCATGAGCCTCCTCCCAGGTCAAGCTTTCCCCGAGGAGGTCGAAGAGGAGACTCTCGGGGCAGAGGTGGTCGAGGCAGAGGCGCGGGCCGTGGGGGCCGTGGAGGCTACAACCAGCCTAGGGATGGATACTCTCTTCCTCCTCAGGGCGCTCAGAACCCTTCAGCATCCGCACCCCCAAGCGGCTCGTGGAACTTCAACCCCGTTCCCCCTCCCAACTCCGTGCCCGCGCCCTCTCTTCCTCAGTTCGGCTTCCCTCTTCCCGGGTGGCAGCAGCCAGTGCCCTCTGGGGTGCCGCCGCCGCCACCAGGCTGGCCTGGATCTGCTCAAGGACAGGGTCAGGCATCTAATGCTGGAAACTTTGTCAACCCTGCGTTCTTTGCGGCTTTGATGAGCCAGATTCAGGCACAGAGCGGGCAGACGGGATGGAACGGCCAAGTCCCGCCGCCTCCCCCGCCACCTCAGCAATGAAGGGATGCATTTTACGTTGAATTTGGAGTCTCATGAGCTAAAAGGAAATGGATCAAAAGTTGTTTGGCGTCTGGCTATGATTTCGTGGAATTTAGGCATATTGTTGCCTCAGTTGTACTACCTAGATATGCATGATATTCACGTCTGTATGAGCTTCACCATAGCATGGACGGCATCAGTCCAGTGTTCTTTGTTACAATCGAGACAGGCTATCATTCATCCATTTTCCTGTAACATGATCGTCACTGCACAAATCAACATCATAAGTAGACCGCGTCGAGATGTAAGCAATCCACTGCATTCATGAGTTGTCCATCTCATGGCATTGTTGGGCGAATCATCACTGTCCAATCGCATCGTCTCCAGGCTCCCCATGCAGCATCATGCCGCACCCCCGATTACGGCTAGGCGGACCCGACCCCAAACATCAGGCCCAGCCCCCTGTAAATCAGTGGGGATCTGTGACCTCCCCAGGCGCCCGGCAAGGTACCTGATCTCGTCACTCCTCCCGTCCAGTCCTTATCTGCTTCTCTCTTCTGGTCTTACTCCCGTCACCGTCACTCTTCATCTCTCCATCACTCTCTACAGAATCGAAGGATACGCAGTTCTAGTCTCCATCATCATCACATCGCCTCACCACCATGAAATTCCTACAGACGTCTCTTGTGGCTGCCCTGCCTGCAGCGCTCGTCAGCGGCCGCTTCGTGGCGGAGAACGAGGGCGACCATGTTATTCTCGAGGAGCCGGCCAAGTACCTCATCGAACTGGGCCCTGGCGAGACGCAATGGGTTACCGAGGAAGACAAGTGGGATCTCAGACGTGTACGTTTCCATCTGTCCAGCTACTGAATCTACGGCATGAACAGCTCCGACTAACTTAGCAATCCCGGTGCAGAACGGCCAGCGCTTCATGGACATCACCGACACGCAAGACCTCGGCACCCTGCGGGCCCAGTCCCAGGCTGCTACCGTCCAGTTCCCCGACAAGTGCGTCAAGCAGAAGGAAGTCGGCCAGCTCGCCGGCAGCCTGTCAAAGGACGAGATGCTCAAGAACCTCCAGAAGCTGACGAGCTTCCACACCCGCTACTACAAGTCCGACTACGGCCGCCAGTCGTCCGAGTGGGTGCTGGAGAAGGTCAACCAGATCATCAAGGACGCCGGCGCCGGCGACGCCGTCTCCGCGAGCCCCTTTGCCCACTCGTGGCCGCAGAGCTCCGTCATCGCGCGCATCCCCGGCAAGACCAACACCACCGTCGTCATCGGCGCACACCAGGATTCCATCAATCTGTGGTTGCCCGCTATCCTCGCGGCTCCTGGCGCCGACGACGACGGCAGCGGCACCGTCACCATCCGTCATCGGCGGCTCCGCTAGGAACACGGTGGAGTTCCACTGGTACAGCGCCGAGGAGGCCGGTCTCTTGGGCAGCCAGGCCATCTTCCAGGCGTACGAGAAGGCGGGCCGCGACGTCAAGGCCATGCTGCAGCAGGACATGACGGGCTACGCTCAGGGAACCATCGACGCGGGCAAGCCGGTGAGCGTGGGCGTTATCACCGACTACGTTGACCCTGGCCTTACTGCCTTTATCAAGAAGGTCATCGAGGAGGTAAGTTCGATCAAGAGATACATCGCAGACTCCTTTGTCCAAAAATTCTAACCTTTTCTACAGTACTGCAGCATTCCCTGGGTCGAGACCAAGTGCGGCTATGCTTGCTCTGACCACGCCTCTGCCTCCAAGGCCGGGTACCCATCTGCCTTTGTTATTGAGTCGGCATTTGAGAACTCGGACCAGCACATTCACGGTACTGACGACCTGATCAAGTATCTGTCGTTTGACCACATGCTTGAGCATGCCAAGATGACCCTGGGCCTGGTGTACGAGCTTGCATACCATGACTTTTCCGCAGCCCGTGAAGAGCCCTCAGAATTGTAAACAGTATGATACCAGTAGTCCGTTATTGATGCGAGAAGTGAGAGAGCTTCTTGTAGTTTAAGCATTGCTAGAATGAAACTATTACTATTTCATATTTTGATCTAACAACCTCTCTCTATAACTCCGTGATAGACGGCCAAAGGACAATTGTTGCCGCAGGCTCCGAAGTCTCCCGTTTCTAGCAAAGGTATATGACCGGCCATCAGTACCTATGCGTCGAGTGTTACATAAAGTCGCCTGAGTTTGGGCCGAAAGCAAAAGACCTTAAAAACGGGCCGGCCAAAGGTGCTGTCTCTCGCCGCAATGCAGCGGACAAACGGTGCAGCTGGCAAGCCAGTTGGCAAGGAACTGGCAACGCGAACGCCCACCTCCACCCGCTGTAGGAGGAGGACTTCACGTTCTAAGACACGCGAAAGCATAAAGCTGCCTGCAGAAAACAAAAAAGCATAGCCCAACCCTCGCGCTTTATAGAAGAGTTTCAAAGCTTGAAAGAGGAAAAGGGAGTTAAGATAGGAATGGTCCCCTTTCAGCAAAGCAACAAAGGAGGAGCAAGTCTTTGTGGCGGGTGCAAAGTTCGAAACGGAACCCCCAAAGTAGGTAGAAGACCTTTTTTTTTCTGTTTCTTTCACTCTTTCATTCCTTTCTTCTGCTTTGCACCTTCTTGTCTCCTTCTTGTTTGTGTTTTGTGTTTCCTCTTTCTCTTCTTCTTTCTCTACCTGGACTATTCGAACGGGCACAGAACCTTTATCATTTTCTGCTTCTTTGGAAACTTATTCGATATCTTGCAGTTTCTTTGAGAAATCCTTTTTTGTTTTGCCTTTCCACAGAAATATGTTGGGCACCATGGGAGTCGTTGCCACGCCGGAAGTCCGCAAGAAGAGGCCCTTTCAGGGAGAGGAGGCGTATTCCATGAGGAAACGCCTCTGTGAGGGTTGCGGTGTGCGTTCGGCTGCGGGTTGCAGTACCGTGAGCGACGATATCGGCACGGACATGCCGACGACGAGCACTCAGCCTGGTGCCAGTGGTCGGATGGCGACGGACAACCAGTCGTACTTTGAGATGTCCAACGAGAAGCAACAGCAGCCAGAACCGCAAGAGCGTCGAGGACGTACTCGATGGCGGGAAGGCAGTGAGCCGCTCGGCTGGGACGATTCGGAATGGACTACGCCGCGGAATATGGGCGCGAGCTTTGATGACGGTCCTGAACCGGAACAGAACCCTATTCTTGACTCCGACGCAGGGACTGTCAAGGCTGACTGAACATTTTCATCGAGCTTGGACCTGGATGGCTGCGATGGGAGCTAGCGTTTTGCGTTACGGGCGAAGCTTGAGTCTGATATGCCCCATTGACTCGGGAGAGGATAGACGGCGCACTTCGAGCCTTTCCTGTGAGTTTCTTGCCATTGCCCACAATGAATTGCGTCTCGCAGACTGACACCAGGACTGAAGGCAATCGATTGCCAACGCTCGAGCGCCCTTGGAACACCGCAGTATCGATCTCGTGCCGAAAACACGAACAGTTGACCATCTTGGTGCACCATAATGGATTGATCTGGAACACTTGGACGGTTCATGTTGGACGAGTTGTGGTTTGGGTAGCAGGAGATCTCGGTGTCGATCCGGGGCTCCGTGGATTTATCGGTTGGGCTTGATTACGAATTTGGTGTATAGGATCGAGGCTGAGCCGGATATTGAAGCCTGATAGAAATGTGCACGTCTCTGGATGCTATCCTACCTTGGGGCCCAATTTTCGCGTGGTGTTCTCGGCAAGGGCATCGATGTATGGTGTCGGCCTGGCTCCCTCTTGTAGCTGCTATTCGGCAATGAGTCTTGTCGAGCTTGTTGTTTTAGAGTCCCATGTCATCGTCGCTCAGATCGTCATCCATGTCTTGGCCATGTTCTTCCTCTTCGTCGCGGCGCGTGGTTTCAGCGCTTGCACCAAGCTTTCGAACTCCTTCGGCCACGCCAACAACGAAGCCTCTGCTCTCGGCCAGCTCCATGGCCCCCACGCCACGGAGGCTGGTGACGCCCTCCCCGTGACTTTCGGGGCTTGTAATTTTGCTTCTCATCTTGGCAGCTCGAGCCTCTTGCAGGTCTCTCAAGAGGGAGCGCACTTCCGACGCAGACGGGACATCGTCACTTGCGTGGGCGAGGAGCATCTCGGCGAATTCGAACCAGTGGTACGGCAGAGCGCCTGCTGGAGCCGTGGCCGTGCATGACGGCAGAAAGGGAGGCGACAGGACGAAGTCGTTGTCTGAGGAGTTGAACCGCCTAGAGTTTCCTCTGCTGTCGGCTCTTACGGGCGGAGGAGGAGGAGGCGCCCAGTCCTTGACGTCGACGGCGGTCTCGTAGTTGACGATTTCGCGGAGGGAGTCGGGATGGAGCCATGCCGGGGGCACGATGTTGGCGCGCCGCTGCTTCTTGAGGAGGAGCGCGAGCCATAGCGGTAGGTCGGCTCTGTATGGCGGGCGGAGCTTGGGAGTCGAGCCCTGTTTTTTTGTGTCCTTGAGAGTCAGCAAGGTCCGAACGAAGCTGGATGCAGAAACAAAGGGCTGGGAATTGGAACTGGGCTGACCGAGAGAAGCTCAATGCTCTCGAGACGCTGCCGGGGAACGACAGTCACGAGCTCCATTTCGCAGAGGAAGGCCACCTCTGAAGGCACCAGGCCCAACGGTAGAGGCAAGGCCATGGCTTTTTGCAGTGGTGTCGGTGGTGATGCTGAGGCGTGACACGAAGCTTGGGTGTAAGCTGGGGCGTTGAAAATGTCGTGCCCCTCCAGCTGCCAGGTGCTTTGATGCGCGTAACCCCACTCGCTAACCGGTACCTAGATCTGCGTAGATCTCGCGATCTTTGATGAACGCTCTGGAGATTTATTCACAATGTTGTACTTGGTTTCAAATCACGAGCCTGCACAGAGTTTACAAAACATGGAAGTGGAAGTCGGGCACTCGGTCAGTTCTAAGCTTTAGCCGTGGCTACTTGCCCTTGAGGCCCAATTGAACTTGGAGACGCGGTTCAGATCCGACGACGGGGCGACCTGAGGTAAGGGAGCTTGCACAAAGAACATGAACTTATAACCATGCATTAGCCGTATTCTAGCTTGAGGTCTGCCATACCCGGGTAGGCTGCCGACGATACAGCCGTACAGTATGAGGGTCATGCTTCGCAGAATGAACAGCAAACTCTTCGATAGGACACTAGGAAGAGAAGCAACTACCATACCACTGCAGAGTATATAAACTGTCCTCCTCCAGTGTAAGCCATTGTCTTTTAAGTCTTCACCACGTCTTCCTACACACTTCTCGAGACAACCATTACGCCTCCCTGGTCTTTTGTAAATATTCTAGCCGCCGAATCACGGCCATTCCTCACAAGAATAGTTTCCCTCGTCCGGCAAGATCTGAGGCCGAAAGCCCTCTACCCACCAATTGATCTCCGAAGTGTTAAGGCCCTGCCAGTAATTGGCTTGGGAGTATGGTGTACTACACACCTCGAAAACAAGATGGTGTCTGCTTTGCTCCCACCAATACGACGAGGCCGGCTATGGCCGTGGCGGGAAGCTATGTATATGTTGAGGTCCATAGACTCCATACCAGGACCGGCTTGACAACATATCCTGAGGTAGATGCGCTGAGAAATCTACCGTCTTGTCAGGTATGGGGCTGTCTGGCCTACCGGATATAGATTACGTCTTTCACTTATTACTGCACGTATAATGAGTCTTTCGTGAGTCATCGGTGGCTGTACAGGGATGGAGCACCACATTGAAGGTGCATGTGGACTTGGTCATGTCGGCGGCTGGTGAAGCAGAAATAAGTGCGCAGCTAATGGTCAAAGAGCATTAGTACGAGATGATGCTACATAAAGCACCATGTGATGATAACGTCTTTGGATGCAAAGTCAAAAAGCCAGTATGATGACTTGAATGATCGAGAGAAAGAAGCATGTGAGCTTCTGTAATAGCGTCTTCATCAACGATGTTCCCATAATATCAGCCCGGCACAGTGCCAATACATCCCGTCCTCCTCACCAGACGGCCACTTTACGCGCGAATTGTGCGCGACAAGCCTTGCCACAAGCCATCAAATCTCTCCCCATGCCTTGCGCTCGAGACGTGATTGGCCGGAGATAGCACAAGAGCCACACTGTGTGCCGGACGCGATGCCCGGCGATGGAGACACTCTCAAGGTACGGAGCAAACAGTCAGCCAGATAAGGAAGGATAAGGCACTACCAGGCTGCTGCCTCGTTCGCCGCATCACCGTCTGCATCTCCATCTTCCCCTGAGCAAGGCCTCGGCCATTGTTGCTTCTGGTTGACGAATAGGTGCAATTCAGGTCGCTTCTCGGCTCGATTGACTCAACATCGTGCAGAGCAAAGTCGGCATCACCACCATGGCCATCTACAGCGCTGTCCCGCCTCCTCCCGAATCGCCCCCTCCCAGCCAGTCGCCGGCGAACATCATCTACCCGTCGACTCCGGCATCCGGCACCGCCATCGACATCGAGGCCTGGACCATCTCGGCCCTGCAGTCCCTCAGCGTCTCGCCCGTTGCCCGCGGCACCGGAAGCCCTCTGTCCATCCCCCTCGATGCCCTCGCCGGGCCCTCCAAGCGCGCTGCCAGCCACCAGCAGGTCACCATCGCAACCTCTTCAGAGGAGGTCCATGTCACCGTTGTTCCCCGCAGACCGCCTTCTGCCCGGGACAGCCAGAAGCGCAGAGAGGCCCTCCTGAAGGGCAAGGAAGGTAGCCGGCAGCGTCGGCGATGGGAGAACGGTATTTGAACACTTGCCCTATCGGACATGTTTCAAACCATGTCAGACGTGGGTCGCTGATGAGAGAGGGGATTTTGCTTCCCGTAACAGATCGTCTCGTGGGCGTCCCTAACGTCCAGCCGCCCGAGCCCGCGGACTGGGAAGTCCACCCGACGCATCCCATCCATCGAGTGCCCTACCAGCTCGCCCAGTTCTGGGACCACGGCGTGCGCCAGCGCATCCAGGACAAGACGTCCAAGCTCCAGGCCGCGCGCAAGAAGCAGCAGCTCAAGTCGGGCAGCGCAACGGGCCTCGGCGTGGGGGAGGTGCCGCGCGACCTGCGAGAGTCGACCAAGCGCAGCCCCGTCATCCGCACCTGGGTCAAGGCCCTGGAAGAGCCCGTGCGACAGTACATGATCGACGAGCGGCGGAAACGCCAGGCTGAGGATGACGAGGACGCGGATAGCGCAGCGGAAGAGATGGACTCGGATGACGAGGAAATCGTCTTTGTGGGCCGCAACGGCAGAATGCGAGACTTGCAGCAGAAGAGGGCGGCGGCTGCTGCTGCGACGGCGGCGAGATACAGGACCGCGCACCGAGAGGTGTCGCAGGAGACTGTCGATTCGGGGCTGTTGTTTGATTCGTTTGGCGATGATGAGAGCGCTGCCTATAAGTGCGACCGACCCCCTTTTCTGGGATATCTCATGCGTGGCATTGGAGAAACTAACCTAATCTTTCTTTCTCTAGGCGGTGGCTTACGCATGCCATCTCGGACTACTATGGCCTGACGTCGCGGTCGGTCACCCTCGCCAACGCACAGAGGGTGGTGTATATCGGCTTGAAGCAGATGCCGCGTCTGCAGAAGGGCCTTGCTCCAATGAACCAGCTGCCACGACCTCTGTGGGAGATTTGCTGAGTTGTCACCGATGAGAGTCTGTACGGCACCAACTCCGTGAGGATTTGGGTTGAACAGAACCTCCCATCTGCTAGAAGTGGTGCTTTTTTTTTTCTTTGGATAAACTTCTCTAAACGCAATTACAGTCCTTCATTTAATACAGGTAGAGGAATAGACGAGATATGGGGGAGACAAAATATACATTCCATCTCAACCGGCTTACATATTCGAATCATCATCTGCCATCATCTCCTTAAAAGATCTGAAAAATACTGTGTACGAGATCAGTCTCCCCATCTCCGATCCAATACCTTTCCTGTCACCAGCAGGACTTTTTCTCCACCGAGGAGAGATCCATATCTCCTCACCCGCTCACGAACCGGCATATTGAGAAACGCAGCCAATCCCGACTCCCCAGCCTGCTCAAACAGGGTTTTGGAAAGAACCTTTGCGGCAAAGACATTCATACCAGCTCGTCTAAGCAACAATTCCCACGGCGTCTCTTCCGAGGCCAAGAACCTCGACAGGGCAGCCACACACTGCGAGGAATACCGACACATGTAGGCCAAGACCCACGAACCCATCGTGCCCGTCGCCTCCGGGACAAAGTGCACATCCACATCTCCCCCCAATGCCGCTGCGAAACCTACAAAGTCTGCATAGGCTGCTGTATCTGATGGCGCTAGTGTCCCCATGAATTCGCCTTGGGAGTTTGTCTCTGAGACGAGGACGATGAGGGTTTCGTATTTTTGGCTGACTTTTTGTACGCGCTCTCGTAGTGGAGCTAGATGTTGGGAGCCTGGAAGAGGACGCTGCCTCACTTTGAGGATGTTGGTGATGATGATTCCTGTGCTTGGCGAGAGGGATATGTCTGCTTCGAAGCTTAGAGGGGAGATGACCTCTTTGGGACGAGAAGCGCCTGGCGGCCAGCTCTGTGTGTTGTGGCGAGAGTGATCTACGTCAATCAGGTTCTCCGGAGCCCATGAACTCTCCATCCTTCTCAATATCTGTCTTGAAAGATCCACTGAGACGATAACGGAAGCCTTCTCTGAGGGAAGTTCAAACTGAGGAACTGCTGCCGGAAGCATCTCTTTAGCTACCCCAGAGAGTGTTGCTTCACGGTCGTTGCTTTCCGCTTCTTCTCTGGCAGATTTAGGCGGTAAGGCATCCCGAGGTTGACTCGCTGCAGGAGGCTCGGTATTGAGTCGAGGTCGCTTTATACCCCGTAGTTCCATAAAATTATGGAGGAGGATACTCGTAGCACTTGTGTCATAAGATCTCGGCAAAAGTCTCAGGGCATCGTCGTCATGCTTCCTACGAAGTGGGCCGTTGAGTTCAGGTAAGGATTGGGTTTTCATCTCCTTGGATATGTTGCCTTGTACCGAGGGGGTCGTAATCGGATTCTCAGTTGGCTGGGTGTTGATGAGCTGCTCTTCATCAGCTTCAACATCCTGTGAGAATGTCTCTTCTATTTCTTCATCCTCTTGAAGGCGAAAGACTTCCAGATCCTGCTGAATCGAGACGAAAGTGCGACTGCTCAAGTGAGATGTTTCCTCCTCCGAAAGGTATTTTGCAAGGGTATCATCCGGTACCATAAGTCCATCATTCAGCATTGGGTGCTCCTTCTGTGGTGGGAAAAACGCCCATCGGAGGGATTTTTCAGAGCGTGGATCCCTTGATACAGGTGACAGTTCGTAGGTAGTCGGCGTACTTTTTCTCAGGAACATGAAATGCATCTTCGCGGTGAGGTGTCCAATGGCCCACTCAGGGGGCGGGATGTCGAAATCAAGCAGAGGGACGGGAATACGACACGTGGAATCCGCCGGATCAAAACGTTCTTGGCTCACCAACTGGTTGGCATAATACTGTCTGTCCTCGAGCAATGTCATGAATGCATCTTCAAATTGTCCCTTTTCCTCAAGCAGGTTGATGGCTCCCTCCTCGCCGTCACCAACCAGGGGTAAGTGGACACCGGCAAGAGGATTGTCTTCAGTTGGAGCATCTGAGCTCGTACTTACGAGAGGTGCTTCGGTTTTGGTATCCTGAATCACGGAGTGGCACGATTGGATGAGTCGAGGTAAATCTCCAGTGGAAGGAGAAGTCATGAAAGTGGAAGAAACGACGGGGTCAGAGTCGAGATCACGCTCAATATCCTCGACAACAGACCGTCCAGGGGTGCTTGGCTCTGAAGAAAGATCAATCACTGCCGTACCTGCGTCGGGAATGAATGGTTCAGCATCATCGGATACAGGAGACAAGGGAGGCGAGATAGGGTCCAGACAGCTATACTGATACTGAATAATCGTCAGCTATGGCATGTTATCACGACGAAAGTATGGACTTGACTGACAGGCACAATATTTGTTTGTTGAGTGCAAAGGTCTTTGTATTCCAGCATTGACAGCGATTTGCTTTGTGCGCTCAAAAGATCCTTCGCAGCATCTGACAAGACTGGTTTGTCCACGTCAAGTTCTCGATTCAGCTGTGCCCACAGCCGCTCCATCTCAGGCGGAAAATTGAACCCCTCATCTCTCTCGGTTCTTGTGTGAGCTAATGGAAGCCATTGTCGAAAGGGGTTTCTGTTCCTCTTGGCTCGAACATCTTGCAGGTATTCCTGGAGGTCGTTCTCAGGACTGGAGCCTAGGTCCAGTTCATCGACAGGTACATAAAGATCTTTGAGAAGATCGCCAGAATAAGACAAAGAGAGCTTCGAAGGCGAATCTTGAAGGAATCTCTCGAGATCCTTGCTATGACATTGGTCCTGATCAAATATGTCTTCACACAATCGCGGGTTCGGGAGAGCGGCGATCCTGAGCCCATGCTGGGCTACCAATCCATCTTTGCCAGTCACCTGCTTCGTGCTTTGGATGCTTGGTATATGGGATTGAAAGGTATAAGGATGTCGTCTGTGGTTGATGAAGCACTTTTCTCGACGGCCGTATTCGTCTGCGGTTTCGATCCTCTCTATGGATTTGCCTGGCGGTTGCGTCATGTCGGGTATCGATGTGTAGTCATGCTCGTTGCTATCAATGAAGATATGCAACGCTGTTCCGGGTATTAAGATGAATAAAAGGCGGAACTGATGGTGTTTTGATGCTCTCGTAACTTATCATGACCTCTGTGGTAGGCTTGGAGAAAGACTGTATGTGACAGCTGAGGAAAGAGCAAGAGTGGGATTTGGCAAGCAACAGCTACCTAAGTATCGATAACGTTTGCACTCGTGACACTTGATGTGATACAAATATCGAATCATTATGATGATACGCCGCCTAGAAGGATATTCATCATGATCATGATTCTACCCAACATTCGCGAATGAACAACTTCTGTTCAAAAAAAGCTGCCCTCAACATCAGCATACCCTGGAAAGCGGCAAATCGACATGGAGGCTCGACTTCATGCACATCACACCTCCCACCCGACGGGCATTATCCCCTGGTCGGTCGGTAGCGCTCTTACAGGGCACCACCCCGCTAAAAGTGGCTTGCCGCCCCGCCATATCAGCATCAAAGCCCCCATCGACGGTGCTTGAAGCCGCTGACATATCGCCAGCGCTATCTCCGATAAGTACATGTAGTAGTAACCAGCCCAGCCGCGATGCTTGGTTTGACGCAATAGCTCTCGGAAGCTTCATCCTTGGGCAATTCCTCCATTCCATGAAGCCTCTGCCGAAGCAGAATCGAGTCGACGACACTCTTCTCTTTGGCAAGCCGCACTCTCCTCCACAATGGCATACGTCGCGCCAGTCCACAAGCCCACGAGCATCAGGCACGCCCTGCGCATCCGGTTTCTGTCGCCGGACATCGAGGACTTGGTCGTTGCGTGAGTGTCTCCGGGCTATCTGACTGTCTGCGTACGGCGTGCTGACTCGTTTCGATGCAGGAAAGCAAACCGACTGGAGATATGGCGAGTCCACGAAGAAGGCATGACGTGCCTGCACACAAAGGTCATCCACGGCACCATAGACATGCTCAAGCGGTTGCAGCCCAAGGACTCTGCTACAGATCTTCTCTTCATCGGTACCGACAGGCTGCAATACTTCAATCTAGCCTGGAACCCTGAAACGAACCAGCTGGATGCAGTCGAGCAGACAATAGAGGACTCAGCAGAGCCCTATATGCGGCAGTCTCAGAGCCAGAACAGGTGTCTGGTTGACCCCACGGGCAAGTTTATGGCGATGCACCTCTGGGAGGGAGTGCTCAATGTCTTTCGCCTGCGGATACGCAAGGGTTTGACGACAAAGCTTGAAGGGCTCGACCAGGTCCGGTTGACCGAGCTGTGGATGAAGGCGAGCACGTTCCTATACAGTCGAACCGGCCACCCGACAATTGCGTTTCTGTACAAGACTCAGCTCGATCGCGAAGAAGCTCGGATCGCCGTCTACCGACTAACAGAAGACGATAAGCCCGGCGTTTCGTCCAAGTTTGACCCTCAAAAGAACCGAGACTTTGAACAAGTCATCCCTGACCCTTATGCATCGATGCTCATACCGGTTCCCGTATACGAAGAAAAGCGATACCACGTGCGCAACAATGAGGGAGCCAGGGCACATCTGGGTGGTCTTCTTGTGGTGGGAGAGACGCTTCTCACATACTTTGACAGTCTCACATATTCAAGCGTATGCTCCAGCCTTGCGGAGCCCAAGATTTACGTTGCCTGGGCCGAGTATGATGGGACGCGCTATTTCTTGGCTGACGACTACGGCCGCCTGGACTTGCTGGAAATCAAGACTACCAATGAGTCGACAGGGGTGGTTGTGACAGGCATGGAAGTCCATCCGTTCGCTTTTGAGGATTCAAGTCGATATACGTCAAGAGCATCCAGCTTGGTTTATATGGGGAACGACCTCCTCTTCGTTGGTTCACATCACGGCGACTCCCAGCTGTTACGTATCGATATCGACACCCAGCAGATGACTCTTCTCAAAGTCCTACCCAATAACGCACCCATCATGGACTTTACCATTATGGATATGGGAAACAGAGAGGGAGACGCACAGTCAGGCAACACCTTTTCATCCGGACAGGCCAGAATCGTCGCCGGCTGTGGTGCCTATCAAGATGGAAGTCTACGCAGCATCAGGAGCGGTGTTGGCTTGGAAGACCGTGGCCTCCTGGATGAGTTTCAAGGCACCAGAGGCCTATTCACACTGCGATCCGTGGAGTCTGAGAAAGTCGACACTGTTGTTGTATCCACTCTTGCTGGAACTCGAGTCCTGCGATTCGAGCCTGATAATATTGAGGAAGTGTACTCTTTCCAGGGAATGGACCTCGAGTCGGAAACTCTCCTGGCTGCCAACCTGCCAAACGGCCAGCTGTTGCAGATAACACCTCGAATTGTCACTCTTCTGGACCCTGAAAGCGGGACCACGGCATGCTCATGGCAAGCACCGGAGGGAAAACTCATCACGGCGGCGTCTGCCAATACGAAGTGGGCTTTGGTGTCAATAGATGGATCCATGCTGGTCTCGTTGAACCTCCTTGACGGCCTCAAGGCAGTAGTCCAAGATGCCTCGGAAAATCCTGTATCTGGGCAGCCCGATCAAATTTCCTGCATACATGCGGCGCGCGATCCGCCAGATTTTGGCGTGGTGGGCTGGTGGGCTTCTGGTACCATATCAGTCGTGGATTTGGCGACCTTGACACCACTCCACGGCGAACCGTTGAGGCAGACAGACGACAGTGCTTCGGTTCCACGAGATGTGGCACTGGTCCAGCTACACCCGCCCGACGTCTCCGGCCCAACTTTGCTGGTGGCATTGGAGGATGGTAATGTCATCAGCTTCAATGTTTCTGTCAGGGGGTTCTCGATATCGGGAAGGAAGACGGTCACGCTAGGAAGCGGACCAGCTCGATTGCACGTTCTGCCACGGCCAGATGGAGTTTGCAACGTGTTTGCAACAACGGAGCATGCCAGCTTGATATATAGCTCAGAGGGGCGTATCGTCTACTCGGCGACGACGGCTGACGATGCGACTTTTGTGGCCCCGTTCGATTCGGAAGCTTTTCCGGACTCCATCGTGCTATCAACCGATGAGCACATTAGGATATGTCACGTTGATAGCGAAAGGCTCACGCACGTGAAGTCTCTTCCGATGCACGAAACAGTCCGCCGTGTTGCTTATTCGCCAGGCTTGAAGGCCTTTGGATTGGGATGCATAAAGAAGGAGCTGGTGGAGAATGAAGAAATTGTTACGAGCACCGTCAAGCTGGTTGACGAGATCATCTTCCAGGAGCTGGGCCAGCCTTTTGAGCTGAATGCTTCTGCTTCACTGGAGCTGGTTGAGTGCGTAATCCGAGCCGAATTGCCCGATAGCAACGGCAATATGGCCGAAAGGTTCCTGGTTGGCACGAGCTTCGTCGCAGATCCGGGCACAGACGAAGCCGGGGAGACGAGGGGAAGGATTGTGGTTCTCGGCGTGGACGAATCGCGGCAATTGTATCAAATCACCTCCCATAATCTCAAGGGAGTATGTCGTTGTTTGGCTATGATGGACGACTACATCGTCGCCGGGCTGAGCAAGACGGTGGTTGTTTACAGCTTTGCTCAGGAGACCTCGACATCCGCCAACCTGAAAAAACTGGCGTCATACCGCCCATCCTCATTCCCTGTCGACCTGGATGTTTCTGGTAACATCATCGGTGTTGGCGATCTCATGCAGTCCCTTACGCTCATCGAGTTCACCCCACCCCAGGATGGTATGAAGGCAAAGCTGGAGGAGAAGGCACGCCATTATCAGCAGGCCTGGGCCACGTCTGTCTGCGCCCTGGACGATACCAGGTGGCTGGAGGCAGATGCTCAGGGCAATATCATTGTGCTCAGACAGAGGCAGGAAGCGCCTACGGAGCAAGACCGCAGCCAGCTCGAGATTATCAGCGAGCTCAACATTGGGGAGCAGATCAACCGGATTCGGAAGCTTCAGGTTGCGCCTGGTGAGAATGCCATTGTGATACCCAAGGCGTTTCTGGGCTCGGTAAGTGTCGTCGTTTATCTTCTTTGCAAGGCGGGGTTGAAGCTGACGATTGGACAATAGATTGAGGGCACGCTGTACCTCTACGGCGACATTGCTCCCAAGTACCAGGATCTGCTCATGACGTTCCAGTCACGGTTGCAGGGGTACATCCAGACCCCCGGAAACCTGTCATTTGACCTTTGGCGGGCGTTTAGAAACCCGGCTCGAGAGGGCGAGAGTCCTTATCGGTTCGTGGACGGCGAGATGATAGAGAGGTTCCTGGACTTGAGCGAGAGCCAGCAGGAGCTGGTTTGCGAAGGGCTGGGCCCGAATGTCGAGGACATGCGGAACCTGATTGAGGAGCTGAGGAGGATGCACTGAAGCTGATGGGTGATGCGATTGGAAATGACTGGTTTATGTATAAATGATGATGTATACGGGCGATGGCGATGCGATGGATTTATCACAGAATGGACTGCATAGAGACGAGGGCTCATGGTTTAGCCTGTTGTTTGATGCGTTTGAAACTCAATTGAATCTGGCTTTCTTGCTTTTCTGTCCTTTTCCTAATTATAAGAAACCATCATAATTTTTGTATTCTTTTTTGGTTATTCAATTCATCACCGTCATGAACGTCCATTCTTCACAAGCTCTTCTGCATGGGTCGATTCCCAGCGGAACAGACCGGGATGCCGAAGCCGCCGACGAATCAGCGCCCGGCAAATTCCACCTTGGCTGACCAAATGGCAGCCTGAGGCCACCACCTCAAAAAACCGGATCCCAAAACATTTCGGCAATCATCACCACTGAGCCTTAGCCCGAAAGCTCGGAAAGGCAGACGAAAAGACCTCACCTCTCTCGCACGCCGTCACCGACACAACAACCACCGTAACAAAAAAAGAGCAGCAATGGCGCCTCTCGCAACTGCCACCCGCCTGTGCCTGCGCTCGGCCACGGCCGCCACCAAGCCCGCCGCCGTGCGCGCGCTGAGCTCGACTGCGGCCTGCCAGGCCGGCGATTCCACCGGGGCGGCGGCGTACAGCAGCCCGTTCAAGCTCAAGGGCGAGAGCAAGGCCAGCCAGGTCCCCGACTTTGGAAAGTACCTGTCCAAGGGCAACGAGACGACCAACAAGCTGTTCAGCTACTTCATGGTTGGCACCATGGGCGCGATTACGGCTGCCGGAGCGAAGAGCACTGTTCAAGGTGGGTGCTTCTTTGTTTGTCAGCGGGATATTGGAAGGGGGGTTAGGAGATGGCCAAGGGGAGACATTGGGGGGGCTCGGGATGAGCTGGGATTCGGTGCTGGAGGGCCATTGAAGCGTTGGAGGAGCTGGATTGGAGCAATTGAGTTGTTCTTTTGGAAATGCATGGAAGCTAACGTTGGTGTGCTGCAGAGTTCCTCGTCAACATGTCTGCCTCTGCCGACGTTTTGGCCATGGCCAAGGTCGAGGTCGACCTGAACACCATCCCGGAGGGCAAGAACGTGAGCACACTCCCGAGCGAAACAACCCTCCACCAGACCAAAAAGTTCATGACTAACTCAATGTCCCCCGCAGGTCATCATCAAATGGCGCGGCAAGCCCGTCTTCATCCGCCACCGAACCCAGGACGAGATCGAGCAGGCCAACAAGGTCAACGTCGCCTCCCTGCGCGACCCCCAGGCCGACGAGGACCGCGTCAAGCGCCCCGAGTGGCTCGTCATGCTCGGCGTCTGCACCCACCTGGGATGCGTGCCCATCGGCGAGGCCGGCGACTACGGCGGCTGGTTCTGCCCCTGCCACGGCTCGCACTACGACATCTCCGGCCGGATACGCAAGGGCCCTGCGCCGCTCAACCTCGAGATTCCCGAGTACGACTTCCCCGAGGATGACAAGCTTATCATCGGTTAAAGCGGACATGTTGTGTGTGTGTGTGTGAAGACGTGAGGGGTGGAGATGGGAAGAAAAGGAGGGAACTGTCCTGTCGCCAGACGATTGTAACAGTACTTGGGGGGAGAGGAACATAAAATCGGCGAACGAGAGAGACAGCTCCTGAAGAAGAGAAGAAAGTACATAAGTCGTCTTGGGATGATTAAAACACCGACAAAACCATAGATTTTTCCTCTTCAAGGCGGTCAAGTCATTCCTGGGGATGGAGGCATGATTGAGGGGGGTTGGATGGGTTGGTTGAAACCAAGCTATGGATAAGACGGTGCGTTCTCATTTTTGCTGGGAATGGGATGCGCCAACAACTTTCCTTGTTTCTTAGACGTGAGCCGTGTGCAGCATTGTATAAATAAAAAACATTCTTACAAAAAGAGGACTACTTTTCCTACAATAGGAGATTGCGAGGGCATCACGATGAGTGTGTCATAAATGAGAACGCAGCTTGCAGCCAAGAGTATTATAGACAGAGTACAGTAATTTTAGATATCTTTTTGTCTATCAAACACCAACATCCCCATGTCCAGATCAGTGACCGTGGCCATCGTCCTCGGCGGGCTGCTCCGGATCCAGCTTGATCAGCGTGTCAATCCGCATGATGCTGATGCATGCCTCGACCGCACTCTTCAGCTGGCGGACCTTGCTTATGCTGGGCTCCAGCACGCCGAGCTTGATCTCGTCCACGACCCGGCCCTTGGTGAGGTCCAGGCCGTAGTTCTTGTACCCCTTCTTCTTGGCAATCGTCTTCTCGTCCTCGTTGGCGTCGCCCTCCTGGATGCGCTGTGACAGGGCGTGCCTGGAGCGCAGCTGGGCGACGAGCTCGGCGGCGTCCTTGGCGGCGTTGACGGCGAGCGTCTTGGGGATGACGAGCAGGGACTGGGCGAACTCGCCAATGGCCAGCTGCTCGCGCGAGCCGACGGTGCCGGCAAACTCCTCGAGGTAGATGTGCAGAGCAGTCTCGACGGCGCCGCCACCGGGGACGATGCTGCCGCTCTCCAGCGTCCGCTTGACGGCGCACAGGGAGTCGTGGACTGACCGCTCAATCTCGTCGAGGGAGTACTCGTTGGGTCCTCGCAGGATGACCGAGGCCGAGGAGTGGGACTTGGTGCCCTTGATCAGGATGCACTCGTCGTCCGAGATGCGCTCCTGGACGACCTCCTCGGCATGGCCCAGGTAAGAGGGCTCAAACTTCTCGTCACCGTTCAGATCGGAGAGCGTGCTGAGCAGAGTGCCGCCGGTGGCCTTGGCAATTCGCCTCAGGTCCTCCTTCTTGCATCTCCTGACACCCATGGCGCCCTTCTCAACCATCATCTTCAACACCATATCATCAATACCCTTGGTGGTAAGGATGACGTTGGCGCCAGCCTTGAGGATCATCTCCACTCTCTCAATGATCATACCAGACTCACGTGCACGGATGGCCTCGAGCTGCTGGGGGTCGTCGACGGTGATCTGAACGCCGAGCTTCATCCTCTCCTTTTGCAGGTTCATGTCCAGAAGGGCAATCTTGGCATCCTGAACACGCGTGGGCATGGCCTGGGAAGCAACTGTGCAGTTCAGGGCATAGCCCTTGACCAGGACGGACTCGAGAGCGCTCTTTCCGTGCGCCTTGAGCAGGTTGACGGCCTTGACGGGGTATTTGGCCTCGTTCTTGTTGTTGGTGGTCTTGACCGCCTGGATGGCGTCGACGACCAGGTCGGCGAAGAAGTCGGAGTCGGCACCGATGATCTTGCTGGACATGGACGTCTTGGCAATGTTGAGGAGGGATTCCCGGCCGAGGTTGTCGACCTTGATGCTGACGTTCTCGTTCAGGTACTTGATGGCCTCTCGCAGGGCCAGTCGGTAGCCGGTGATGATGGTGGTGGGGTGGATGCGGTTCTTCATCAGCTCGTTGCCTCTCCGGAGCAGCTCGGCGGCGATGAGGACGACGGATGTGGTGCCATCGCCGACCTCCTTGTCCTGCTGCTGGGCCAGGTCCACCAGGATCTTTCCGGCGGGATCTTCGACGTCGAGGAGGGTGAGGATCGTGGCACCGTCGTTTGTTACCGTGACGTCCTATTTGAAGTAACACGAGATTGTAAGCAAGCTGTCGAGATGCGATGTGGTTTCGAGTTGCTTCGTCGATGCGAAATAGGGGGGGACTGCAGAGGTCCCAATCGAGGGGCAGTCGGTGTATGTACTCACGCCAATGTCGTCCACCATCATCTTATCAAGACCGCTGGGGCCGAAGGAGCTCTTGACCACATTGGCAATGGCTTGTGTCGCCAGAACTGCGTCTGTTAGTCCATTAACTCTTCCGGCTCATGGGCAGCAGCCCAACGCACCGTTTTGGTCTCGAATATCGGATCCGGAAATCTTCGTGCCACCCAGGAAAAGGGTGCCGTTCCGCGGCTGCTCAAACAGGGCTGCCATGACGATAGCTGTGGTATGTTCCGCCTAACCGTTGCTGCAGTGGTTCAAGCGGATGGTGGTCAACAAGAACAAAAGGAGTGGTGCAGGTTGAAGGTTCCAGAATCGACAGCTTCTGCCTTGAGTCTCCAATCGTGGCCCTGGCTTACCTCCAAGCTGCGAAGCTCATGTAATGGCGGCACTTGTCCGTCCCGCTGCCCCTCGACTTTTTTGTCGGAAGCACAGATTGTTCCAGCTCCGGCGCTGCGACAACGAGCCACGACACGCCAGAGCAGCGCCTGAGCGACGCCTCCCACGGCGCTGGCAGCCCCTCCAAGCCCCCGACGTTCCAGCACCCGCGAGCCCTGATTGGGCGCCGCTCAGGGGACGTTGAAATTTCCCTGCCGTGCCCCTCCTTTTTGGGCGGCGAGGGACAGCCGGACTGATAGCGGGGCAGCCCGCGCGAGACTGGAGGCATCGAATCTCTCGTGACTCTTTTTTTCGACGGAACCTCATCCTTTCTGTTGCGCATCTGCAGTGTGAGTCAAGCCCTGAACTTGTCGCTGCAGCCGGGACGAGCTCTGTGTCATACCTGCGGCTATATAGCATATAATAGCAGGTAGGCCTCTGTCGGAAGTTCCTCCAAGCGCGAGAGTCGCCGCAAGCTCACCAACAACGCAGACCGGAAAACCAAGTACACGATGGAGAACGCCGCCGACCAGCCCAAGGAGCCCTCCAAGAGCGCCCTCAAGAAGGCCGAGAAGCAGGCCAAGATGGCTGCCGACAAGGCCGCAAAGGCCGCCAAGCAGGCTGCGCTCCCCGTCGTGGGCGGCAAGAAGACGGACGACATCATTGGCATCACCGTCACCAAGGCTGAGAACTTCCCGGCCTGGTACCAGGAGGTCGTCCTCAAGGGCGAGATGGTCGAGTACTACCAGGAGATCTCGGGCTTCTTCGTCCTGCGCCCGCTGTCCATGCACATCTGGAACGTGATCCGGAAGTGGTTCCAGGAGCGCATCGAGCTGATGGGTGTCGAGGAGACCAGCTTCCCCATGTTCCTCTCCTCCAAGTCTCTGGAGAAGGAGAAGGATCACGTCGAGGGCTTTGCACCTGAACTGGCCTGGGTGACTAAGGCGTACGTATTGCATGATTTGGAATTTGGAGAGAGACTTGTATACTGACTCCTGCCAGTGGTGACAAGGATCTCGAGGTTCCCGTCGCGATCCGTCCCACCTCCGAGGCCGTCATGTACCCCTACTACGCCAAGTGGATTCGCAGCCACCGAGACCTTCCCCTTCGACTCAACCAGTGGAACTCGGTTGTCCGATGGGAGGCCAAGCAGACCACCCCCTTCCTGCGAACGAGAGAGTTCCTCTGGCAGGAGGGCCACACTGCTCACCTGACCGAGGAGCTTGCCGGAAAGGAGGTTCTGGAGATTCTGGAGCTGTATGCCGGCGTCTACGAGCAGCTTCTGGCTGTCCCCGTTGTCCGAGGGCGAAAGACGGAGAACGAGAAGTTTGCGGGTGGTTACTACACGACCACTGTCGAGGGCTACATCCCCTCCAACGGACGCGGTATCCAGGGTGCCACGTCCCACTGCCTGGGCCAGAACTTTAGCAAAATGTTCGACATTACTGTTGAGGACCCCGCCAACAAGGGCTCCCACATCCACGTCTGGCAGAACTCGTGGGGTCTGTCCACCCGTGTCATTGGTGTCATGATCATGGTGCACGGTGACGACAAGGGTCTCGTCCTTCCTCCCAGGATCGCCAAGACTCAGACCATCCTGATCCCCGTCGGCATCAACAAGAACACGACTCCCGAGGACAGGAAGAAGCACGAGGACCAGCTGGACGGCATCCGGGATACCCTGCGCAAGGCTGGTGTCCGCGCCGAGTCCGACTGGAGAGAGGGCTACACCCCTGCCTGGAAGTTCAACGACTGGGAGCTCAAGGGTGTCCCTCTGCGAATCGAGTTTGGCCCCAAGGACGCCGCCAAGGAGGTGGTCAGCTGGGCGCGACGAGACACGGGCGAGAAGGGCACCATCCCCATTGCCGAGGTCGCCACCAAGGTGCCCGAGCTCCTGGAGACTATCCAGGCCGACATGTACGCCAAGGCCGAGAAGTCGTTCCGCGAGCACCGCCTGCAGATCACCAAGTGGGACGATGTTCTCCCCTCCCTGGACAACAAGAACGTTGTCCTGATTCCCTTCTGCGGCGACGGCAAGTGCGAGGACCGCATCAAGGAGCTCACCACGCGCGAGGACACCCAGCCCGACGTCCCCGAGAGCCAGAAACTCCCCTCCATGGGCATGAAGAGTCTGTGCATTCCTTTCGAGCAGCCCGAGGGCATTGTTGTCGGCGAGACGGAGTGTCTCAACCCCGAGTGCCAGCACAAGGCGCAGTTCTGGACCATGTTTGGTAGAAGCTACTAAAGTGCGAGATGGGTTGATGGTGCATAGAAGGAGTTGATGTGTAAAAGGGACGGTTCATGTAGCTCACTTGTGATTTGCGGTGCGATTTGATACTCAGAGGGCGAGGGATGCAGAGGGATAAAATACTAAACGATTTCATGATTCTCCATTTCTATGCTGGCCCTTTCTTTTTTACTCTTTCCCTTTGTGAGCGTATCTCTACATCTATATCCAATTCTATCGTCGAAACTAGCACCACTCGAATCTCTCGTTGGCAACCCAGTCCAAGTCTTCCGCAGACCCCTCGCCGAACCAGTTCAGACTGGCCAAGTTCTTGTCTTGCCTTACAACAAACGTAGTCTGAAATTCAGCAGCAGCCTCAGCAGCCCTCCTGACTCTGGCGTTGGGATTCCAGATCTCGACCTTTGAGCATTTCCAGTCCCTGGCCTCCCTCTCCGCGACCCGGAAAATGCCCACGACTGCCTCGGACAGCTCTTCATCGGGAATGCTCTCGTCCTCAATGACAAAGCGGAGGAAACTCAAGAGGTTCTTCTCCGGCTTCTCAGGGCCGCCGTAATGGTTCCTCTCGAACCAGGCCCAGACACGAGATCCCGTCGAGGGAGAGGTGTACAGCGCGCCGTGAACGGAGGGTTTCCTGCCAAAGGAAGCGTTACAGATGAAGCCCTCGCGATACAAGTGCCACTGCAAAGCATCCACGTCCGGAATCACAGCGACCCTCGTCTTTGACGCGTCCACAGGGTTAGGCTTTGCGATTTCCTTTCGGAGAAGCGCCTCGTCTTTCTCTGCGAGTTCCGAAAGATGCTCTTCGCCCAGAAGAGTAATGTTGTTGTTGTTGTTGTTGTTGTTGCTGCTGCTTGGTTCCGGTTCCGGTTCGGGGGGGGTTTTTTGTTCCCTCACGCGGTACTCGAGCTGCGTGTTCTCGAGGGGGATCCAGCCGTGCTTTGCGTAGAACTGCTTGCCAATGTCTGAAAAGAGGACGGAAAAGGCGGGCTCGCCGCCGCCCGTTTCCCGGTGCTGGCCGGCCATGTAGCCCCTCAGCAGCTCCATCATCTTGCCCGCGTACCCCCTCCCGCGGAACGCCTTGTTGGTGAAGACGCTGGCGACGCCGTACGCCACGACGTCGCGCACCGTTCCGGAGACGGGGTCCCTGACGAGGGCGCGTTTGCGCAGGGTCTCGCAGGCGGCGAGCACGGGCCGCTCTTCATCATCATCATCATCCTTGGAGGAGGAGACGGGAAAGCTAGAGTCTGTGAGGATCCAGTTGGTGATGCCGCCGTTGCGGGCGAGGGGGATGGAGAGGAGGTATTCCTCGCGCTCGAGGTAGGCGGGGACGGTGAGGCTGTTGCCCCATTCTGTCTGGTTGTAGAGCCAGGTGCGGATGCGTTCTTTGGGGGTTGGGTTTGTGAGGGTGATGGTTGGGGAGGTGGAGGGGGGGAGGGAGGACGGGGATGAGGTTGGCATGGTTGGGAGGTTGTAAGACGAATGGGAGCGTGAGTGAGTAGTGGTGTATGGGCTCAATGTGTATGAGACTGTGTGTCGGTGTGAGTGTGAGTGGTGATAGTTTCGTTGCCGTATGCAGCAAGGTGGTGGGTTTGAGTCTTGAAGTGTGTGCTGCGTGGTACGATGTATGTACTCTCCGCCCTTGTAGTCTCAGGTACCTACGCGGTGGGTGCTGCACTTACAGAAGGGGAAAAGAAGAAGAAGAAGAAGAAGAAGAAGACGACGAATTAGCCTCTCGTATGAGGTACAGAAAAGTGTCTCATATCGTGGGGGTGCTACTAACGTAGAGTCATTCGAGATGCTAAACTACCTACCTTGAGTGCCCAGAATATGCGATTGGTCCGTTCGCAAGAGTTGCTGCAGATACCCCGCTGCTTGGGGAGGTCACGGTGAGACCAAACCGGCAGTTGGGCGGAGAGGCTCGTGTGAGTTTACCCAGTGCATCTGGCATCTTGTAATTCTTCAGTCATTCGCGATTGGAAAAAGCATCCGGTGCCAGGTACCTTATGTTTGGAGGATCATACCGTAAGGTATGAATGTCAGGGGAGAAAAGGGCAGCAGTATAAAGAAGCAGGCGATATGCGAGCGCTGGACTGTTGCAGTAGTTAGGACAGTCAGTCAGTGTACGTACAGAACTTGGATACAATGCAATAGTTTTCACTTTTGGTTCTTCTTTTCTCTGGACTTGCGACGCAAGCATGGTCGCTACTTCGATTTTATGAGACGTCACGATGCCCGATACTGCATCTAAAGAAGCACCAACCAGCAGCCGCCGGGGGACATGACAGGTCTGGTACCTACTTTCTTACCCCATACGTTTTGCTTACTCCACGCTGGTATTACCCCAGAATCTGTAGTCAGAAGACAAAAGGCGTTGTATTAGTCGGAACATGACTGGCATGCCTGACATGATTATATTGATGCGTTTCATTGGCTACCTTATATCGCTCAGGGATGAAATACCATTGGGCGGCATGCAGATCAGATTGATGATGGATGAGATCTGCTAGTATCTGACATGGCACCCAGATGATGACTGCATGCTATACAGCCTTGAACATGGATCGCCAGCAGCCTTGTCCCAGTTCTCGGCAGATGCAATGGTGGTTTAGTCTGGGGGCTGACAAGATGGCAGTATCTCTGCGGCCTTTGAGAAGCGGCACTTGCAGCCCAGCAGTTGGAAGACATACTACATGCTCTCAGCAACGTGTCTCTCAATTCTTGCCCTCTTCTTTTCTTTCGTCTGGCGCAACGTCGACTCAATACCGATTGTCCAGGCAGAGACGACGAAGTGAGATTGCAGAGCGTAAAGTAGCAGTACCATCTTGGAGGCATCCGTTGCTCTCTGTAGGAAAGCCGTCCAATGCAGCAAAGAAATCCGACGCAATGGAGACCAATTCACCATCAGATGCAACCATCAACCCAACGAATATACATGGTCCAACAAGCCCAGAAATAGGATTCGTCTTTTCCCACGCTGGATTATCCGCAAACTATCAAGACGAGCATGTACCCTTCAGCAGCCCTCCCAATCTCAGCCCAAGCCTCCCCCAAAGCAACATCTTCGACCCCGAATTCTGGCAAGACAACGTCCCCCTGCTCATCCGGAGCAACGTCGCCGTCCAGTCCGCAAACCTGGCCGTCCTCATCCTCATCTTCGCCCAGTCCGCAGCCGGCATGGGCACCAACCACTACGGCAAAGCCCTCTGGCACTACGGCCGCGCCCTGCGACTCGTCCGAGAGGACACGAGCACATCATCTTCCCGGGCGGAGAGCCTCCGGCCCGCCATCCTCTGCTGCCTGTTCTTCGTCATCTTCGAGATCATGAATGGGGACACGACAAGCGCGGAGTCTCACCTCTGGAATGGGGAGAATATGCTCTTGGAGCTGCAGCGCTTGGAAGCGAGACAACGCGGGGGCATTGAGTTGGGCGTGAGTGTGGATATGGATGGTGATGGTGATGGTGATGGCAATGGGCAGGGGGCCTTGAGGAGAGAATTGCCGTGTGCGCTGCAGTTTCTGGTTCTGCAGAGTGATGAGCCGAGTCTCGATTTCGAGAGGGCTGGGTACTTGGAGGCATTTCTTCGGATGGCTACGAGCAATTTGACGGAGGGAGGGTATTCAGATGAGTTGACAGAAGGCGTTGAGAGACTACTATGATTAGGACTTGATGATAACAACTAAGTCGATATCCATATAGAGATATAAAAGAAGTTCTAGGCCACTTTCGATATAGGGCTTAAGATAACATCATCTCTATAATAAAGATATATATCTACATATAGATATATATCTACATATAGATTTATATAGACATATAGATATATATAGATATATATAGATCACTTGGAGTCTATCTTCCTTAGTCTGCTTCTATTAGTGATACTCCCCGCTAGGTAAGTTATATACCTTAAAGCCGGCATTCTCAGCCAGCAGTCGCCTTCCCTCAGGGTTCCGGAAAACGTATTGGACGGCATCTCCTCCCGCTTGATTCTTAAGAACATGCTTTTCGGTAATCTGCTGGTGGCTACTGGTATTCATGTTCATGTACACTTCGTTCGGCTTACCCGCAATAGTTCCGATGATCAGTGTAGCCCGCTTGTACTTGACGAGGGCAGAGGGAAATGTGTGATCGTTCCGGCAGATCCATATCAGTCTTTTCCACTCTTCACTGGGCCAGTAGACGCGTAGGACCTCTGAGCCGGACAGTCTTTCGACGCATGCGGTCGGGATTTCGACGTGGACGATAACGACACTGGTATCATTGCCCCGACGCCGCGTCCAGCAGGCGTCCCGTATCGCGACATCTCGGTCAACGGCGAAGTAATATGCAGAATCGTCGGAACAAAAGTCTGTTGGCGGTCGCGAAACAAGGCGTTGAATCGCGACGGTGCCATCTTCGTCGAACAAGTTTTCCGCGCGAGCCTGGCTCATGCCCCGATACAGGGTTAGAGAGCCCGGTGCGTTTTGAAGAGCAGCCTCTGACAGCGCCGTATGCTGCTCTGAGGTTCCGGGAGTAGACCGAATGGTTTGAGAAGCAGGGGAGCCGTTAGAACATCGAGCTGCCCCGAGAATCTCTTCCTCTCTCTGCATTGGGGCCCTTTGAATCATCCGAAGTGCATCCCACCTGGTCTCGATCGTGTCCCGTATCCAAAACAGACACGTTTGAGTCAGTCGAATATCTCTGAACACGGGGTCCATTATGGCAGCTTGCGTTTCTGCGTTGATGCCGCATCGAGTCATGCACTCGAACCACTTCTGGTCATCCTCATCCCAAGTGTCGAGTTCCTTGCGGCCGTACGAGAAGCCAATGATGGGATCAAGGAAGGGCATCTCGAATATCGGGTCCGTGTCAGGGATTGGTTGACCCTGGGGAATTGGGGCAGTCCAATCATGCCAAATCTTGGCTGCCGAATCATCATTATAGCCCAGATATTTGATGGTGGCCAAGGAGACTAGTTGCTCCGGGATTGTAGAGTATGCATCATCTGGCTGCGAAGCCGTCAAAGCAGGGCTCAACGGCGAGGGTAAAGGGACATGGCTGTATTCTTTGTCTGAAGAGTGATTCAGTCGTCGCTTGTGAATTCGAACAGACCCCTCCGAAGCTGCGGGGACTAAGAGGCCCTGGTTGGCGAGAACCTCTTTGTCGTTGGGAGATATCATAGACATGCTTGTGACGGAAACCAGGGGGGGAACAAACCATAAACACAAGATGGGACTGTAGAGGTTCTCCGCCAAGATCAAAGGCTAGGACAATGCTTGAAGAAGATGACACAGAGTTGAGACAAGAGGCAGGAGAGATGGAAGAAGGCGGGACAGAGCTGGAGGACAAGTGAATGTAATGTAAGATGGACTTGAAGTGAAATTTGAAGTGAATGGGGGAGAAGGGTCGGCGAATGCGCTGCCTATTTATGCATGGCATCGAATGCCGGTATGGCGTAGTTTATGAGATGCCACCCCAACAATTTTGGCGTCAGTATACAACGATATGCTGCCATAGGCATCGTTTAGCTGTCTTCGGGTGAAGTTGTAGTTTGAGGCTTCTCGCCGATGGATAAGCCATCGACCAAATTATGTAGCCAAGAGAAGGTTTAAGGCGCGTAAGCCTCACGAGTCAAAGCTAACCTCTATTCAACCAGCCTATAGCAAGGACTTTTGAGCTTCCCCATGTGACAGCAGCGATATAAAGGGCATGGCCGACTCAGATAGATCGCTTGATGGTTTGCTGTCAAATGCCACAAGTGCTAGAGACATGGCCTGTAACTGGAAGTTCATAATTTGGAGGCGACTGGAACTCAGAAGCCAACATGAAGGCAAGCCGACCGTGGATCTCCGCAAACAACCTGGTGGCTTGTTTTATGGAGCTAACGAACAGTAAATGAAGGTTTCTAGGTAAAGTGCTTCAACCTAGTGGGCTCTCCTAAAGCGAAAGGACAAAATGGGTGGCAGCTGCGGAAAGTTGGCCGTGGCATACGCCCTCTCTGGAACAGCATCCCCCTTCGTGAAACCGGGCTCCTCGAGAGCATCCAAAGTCAAGCCTCTCTTGAAGAACGTGCCCAGGAGCTCATGCAGAGGGCGGTGGAAGTAAAGCTAGGTAAGGTAGGTCAGTATCAATCCATTGTCAGGTACTCGATACCCCTTCCCATCCATCCGGATATTGATAGGGGCGCGCTGCTCGGCTTACCTGGGGTGTCTCTTGTCCCACAGCAAACACGCCCTTGACAGGCTTCACGTGGAGATATTCGCTGATTGATTTGCTGCGGTTGATGATCTGGGAGCCCGTTTGGGGGTCATATGTCACCTCGACGGTGCGGGAATAGGTGGAGGTCATGAAGACTGGGTGAAGAAGAGTCGCCACGAAGCTGGGCAGAGGAGTTATCCAGCGTCAGTATTTCAAGCTCCAAATGTAGCATAGAGTGGAACGGAGAGAGAGAAGGGGCGTCAAAGGAATTGCTGGAAGATCGACAACTTACACGCCATCTTCCTTGAGGAGCTTCGGAAGCGCTTCGGCAAGGGGATCGAATGTGGCCACATCCATGAGGGCCATGTTCATGAGGACAATGTCGAAGCCGCCAATCTTGAAGGTTCATCAGTAAGCCATTAAGCATACTAACGGACAAAAGGAAGCACTTCATGAGAGCCACATAGGAGAAAAGGGGACGCAAAGCATCACCTCGGCCGCCTTCTCAACTAGAGGCGCGAAATCCCCTTCTTCCGTAACATCTAACTTGCGAAACGAAATTTTGCCCGCCTGATGGCTATCCAAGTGTCTCTTTGCCAGCTCGAGCATGCCAAAAGTGCCGTCCGTGGCAATGATGCTGGAGGCGCCGTTGTCAGCGAGCCAGCGGGCGCAGAGACCGTTGCCCGTGGCCAGCTCCAAGGCGGCGCAATCCCTCTTGCCGAGGGCCGGGCCAAGGAGGCGCTCGAGAGATGGCTTTTGGAGCCGTTTCCAGTATATGTTGCCTTCTTTGCCGATGCCAGAGTCCCAGAATTCGGCGTTCTTTTCCCATATGGAGAGGACTTCTTGATTGAGATTGGAGGCTGACATTGTTGCTTTGTTGTGCTGGTGAATGGATATTGAAATCCTGCCTCGTCAAGTAAAAGTTATAGGAAGAGAGGTAGAGACAGAAAAAGCATATGCTGGTTGACTTGTGCTCGTAAAGCTACATGTATAGCTCTCTCGGCCTTTTAGCAAGTGAGGTATCTGCAGTTCGCCGAATGAGTCAGTCGGCGACGTACATGCAGCGATTCACAGCTACTCCTCTGTCTGGCACTAATACCTGGCAACCTAAACTTGGCTACCTAGAATTACGATAGTGCCACGTTATCATCCCTGCTATAGTATGATAGGAAATAATAGCATTATACTTGCTGCTATTATCGCTATATCTCTCTAGTATAGCTATCAACTGTCACTTCCTATCTTAGTAGAGTATATCAAACTGTAAGCTATACCTACCTACTGCCTAAAGAGCTGCGAGGCAACTCGTCCATCCTCGGCCTGCCTTCTATGCCACTGCTTTATGCTCTCCGCTCGTCAAGACATGCATTCTGATGTTTGCAGTGTCAACTAATAGATCTTATCCATCATCACCGATAAACACATCCTGCATTGCGTCCTGTCTATCCTTTGTATTGAGGACCCTTTCCGTGATTTCGTGGCGACTGCCCATTCCGCCGTACACCTGGTTCGACTTGGACGCAGTCGTTCCGAGGATCAGCGAAGCTCGCGTTGACAATAGGAGAAGCCAATAATATGGTCGATAAGCAGCATTTCCAAGGACGGGTTTTGATTTTCTGGGTCCGCCCAGCGGTTCTAGACATCAGCTGCTGTTTCATCGATATGCCCAGGATACTTTGATTGTTGGTATAGACACGAGCTCTTCCGGGATTGAGGCAGGGCTTGGGAGACTCTGACTAGTCAGAATCTTCTTATCACGCGGGAATAGAATATGCATATTCTGCTGATGGTAGAGCAATGGGAAAAAAGAGCTGAAAGGAAAGGGAAGGGAAGGGGGTGAGCGCATATACGCACTTAATGAAGTTCGTCAGGTATACCACATTTCAGATAGTCATTCATACTCCTGCTATTATTGCTATATTACTCTAAGCTTATGCTTTTACCTCAAAGGCTACCTAGGTAAGGTAGATATGTCAGTATCTGCTTTCAGGAATTTGAGCACTCACTATAGCTTATGTCTTGATGCGTAGTCCTATACGTTTTCCCCCTTCGGACTTTCTTCACCTACCTACTGAAAAGTCAGATGGTAATCAACTACCAGACCAGGGAGTCTTTATGCTTTTCAAGCTACCTAGGTTGGACCATTGCTCTGGGACTGGAATTTCCTTCGTCTCCTGCCATTCGATGTCCATCTTGTCTTGCTGGTTGTTTGCCACCCATTCCGCCACGGCAGGGCATTTGGCTATAGTGGCCCAAAATGCCAATCATGTTCTTCAAGTCGCGTGACAGGACCGCCACCATTCGTTTGTTCAACATCGACAGGTATTCTCGGGCCTTCTGCAGGTCCCCGTTTGGCATGAGATATTGTGTCTTGTTGCGAGCTTCCTGTGCTGAGAGCCTGATTTTAGCCCTCTTAATCAGTGTAGGCGCAGCCAGGGAGTTTATATGATAGAGTTTAGATCTAGACAATAAGCACCCAGAATCCATCCGGCAGAATATACTAAATTGTAGCCGCAAACACTTGATACATCTCCTTTCAAACTTGCGAATACATCCACGCTTTTGTCGACAACCTTCTCAGAGGGGAGCAAAACCGGCCAACCCCCAAGACCAAAGGCCATTGATCACCGTGTATCGGGCACTCGACGCCACGGTTCAAACCCTTTGTCACCCAACGCCTCGTACTGCGACTGACTATGGTGGCCTTCAGCCCTACCGCCCGTGCCCAGGACGGGCCTACTTCACACAGCGCGACGAATATCCAGATGAATAACTACGACTACATGTTAGGATGAATATGATTTGAGGAAGCCGACGCAGGCTACTGTGGCGACGCCACTCCCTACGACAGCCCTGAATGCTACGACAATTCTGTCCAAGGGGACGCCCACTACGGCAATGTCACCTTTGGAAACTGGTAATGGCTCGCTTATGGTGACTTGTCTGAGGCTCGGTCATCTTTCTATATAACGGTATTTGTACAAGCGATATCTTCTATTGCGTTTAGTAGCCCTGTTATCAAGCCACTCGTGCTAAAATATGCTTATTTTGATGCTTGTTGAGATGCAATTCAAGCCTCGTCCGTTCTTGAAGTCAGAAACCCAACAAACCACAAATGACATGGAAAGCCCAACGAGAAGACGCACTGGCAATCACTATTAGAAGGCAAAAACCCTCCCAAGAACCTACGGCTCTCATTTCCATCATACAAACTCGCTTTCATACGTCTGTCTGCGTATATCTGCACCTACCTGACTTATATACCGCTACCCAATCCACCTACACCTCTCAGACTTACATACACACATCCCTTTCCTCATCAACCACCATGTCCAGCACATCCGTCACCAGCAGGCCTCAGGTGTCCCCCCGGCCGCTGCCCCAGGACCTGATCTCCATAGCAACACTCAGATACCTCGGCTTCGACGAGGAAGCGGCATGGTTCATCTGGTGTGACAGAGTCTGTCCGCTAGTCAGGGACGAGCACTCCCTCGACTTCAACGACGATGTGAACCAGGCATTCATCTGCCACATCATCGAGCACGTGCATGAACATGGCGGCAACACGTGCGAGGACAACGACCAGACATGGCACGAAAGCATGGCCGCCTGCGGAATCGACGTATGGACTAGAAGGGCCATCATGGATCCCATCTTCAAAAGGATTCGTCTCACCCAGTCCTGCCTCTACTGGGTTCGAGACACAATCCACCACCGGTTTCAGGCCCTCCTGGACGTCCGTGCCGCAGGGGCGCCATCTACCCCGGGATATGACCGGGCAGTCCAGAGTGCCTTGGAAGGCTCCAACGTCCCTCAGGACAGCCAGCCCGCGGAAACGGCCATGAGCAAGGCTGTCCTGGACGCTGCCGAAAGCTCATCAGGATCGTCCGTGGCCCTGTACAAGGGCATCGACAGAGCGAGCCTCGGCCATCTCTTCAAGAACAAGCTACACTCGAGCCGCATCTCCTCCCTCGCCACGAGAGGACCGACAGACGTCTCCCCCACCTCGAGCGCGTACTACTTCTACGTCGACCGGGACATTGCCGAACAGCAGGCCTGCTACATCCGACGACGCAGCTTCCTGACCCCCGTCGTCCTTGTCCAAGTGACGATACAGGAGTCGATGCTGGAGACTGGGTATCTGGGTCCGCGTCGCCAGGAGATGTATTGGCCCAGCGAGGAGTGGAAAGAGCTTGCTTTGCGATGGAAAAGGGGTGAGACGCCTTCACCGCCTATTCTGGCCGAATATATGAAAGCCCAGCTCGTCATCATCACGGCTGCGGCAAAGGCGAATCTCTTCTTTTGCAAGAATTTGAAGAGGCCGGATCGGATTACGGAGGACATGGTGATGAAGAATAAGCAGGGGAAGGATGCCGTCCAGTACTGCTTCCGGAGATATGACGGAGACCACTTCTTGGCGAAGCATGCTGAGCTGAAGATGCTGCCTTTTATGGAGGAGGAGGTGGAGGCGTGGTGCATTGAGGCTCGGGGGGAGGACGGCTTTCCTTATGTGCCGTGCGGTGTGGTGCGCCGCAGGTTCGGCAGAGGGCAAATTCAGCTGTCATCGTCATTGAGGTGGAAGAATTATTATGTTTGACTATCATTGGTCTACGTGTAGTCTTCGTCTGTCCTATGTTGTCCAATTGGTTCATTTGTTGCCCGTGTTTGTTGCCTATGATATTCGACCTCCCTGACTTCTTCAGAAATGAACGAATGCTCTGAGCATCGAACTAGTGATGTTTGTAGGAAATGGTGTAATATACGACTACCGAGTCTCAAACCCATGTACTTGTAAATGGAAACTGCATCTCAAACAGGGTGACTTTCAAAATGATACTATCCCCGAGGCGAGGATCTAGAAGACGTTTAGAAACTTTGAGACCGAGTGTCCGCAAGACAGCAGAACGTTGCGTGCAAGCCGTCTTCCCCAAGGCAGCATGTAATATCAACGGCAACCCCATATGCATGAACATAACGGCTGCTGAATGACGAGTTCCATGAAAGAAAAATCCTCACTGATACAGTGCCTTTGTCCTAGTGTGACTGATTTCATCATATGCTACTCTCCCCGTCCCCCCTATGGAGCATCAACCGCCGAGTACTAAGAACTCCTACTTGACCTTGACCATCTCCGCAGCCTTCCCCCAAAACTCATCCGCCCCCCACCCACCACGCTGTTCCCTCTGCCTCTTCAAAGACTGCAGCAGCCCATCCCTCGCTGCCTCAATCTTCCGAACCCCTTCCTTGCTGCAGCACAGTCCAGCGTCAACCTCCTTGAGCTCAGCTCCGCCCAGCAGAGCCACCGTGGTCAAGCCGAGGTACGAATGGTAAATGTCCGGAGGATCGCCGACGGACTTGCCGAAGCCGCCGATGCCGTGCTGGGTAATGCCCAGCAGGTAGTTGCAGCACGGCTGAGGGTCGTAGAAACCATCGCAGTCGAGCAGCTGCGGTACATCACCTGTCGTCAGTAGAAGCAAACTATCAAGGGGGGTTGTTGAATAAATGGAAAATTACCTTTAAAGTGCCACATGCCCACCAAGTGTAGCATGTATCGGCCTTCTTGTTCCACCTGCCGTTGAAGCCAGTGTAGGGAACCCCCACATCAAGACTCAGGTCTCCCAGCTGGGCCTCGAGGTAGTTGACGGTGTTGTCCTGGGCCTCTTCTCTCTTCGACAGATACCTGAACTGCCTGTGTGCGAGGAATCTGAGCAGTCTCTCACGGTCTGCAACGCCGCGGTCCAGCGCGCGCTTTGTCTCCCCAGTCGTAGATGCCTCAAAGTGCCGATCAAGCATCGCCAGAGCTGCAATTGCGCAGTATGCGTAGCCAGCTGTACACCATCAGTCAATCGCTCAACTCGTTACGGATCCAGGGAATGCTCACAGTGAGATTCTTCTGTTGAGGATTCCGCAATACCGCCATCATACGTCTGTTCACCCCCAGTCAGCACCGTGAGTCGCAAACGCCCAGTCCAACGCCAAACTCACCTGGACACCCCTGATATACTCAATCATCCCCTCCGTATCAATATCCTCCACCCAATCCTCATCCCCGTCCTTCACGTCCCCCCGCAGCATCCACCGAATCGAGCTCGCCAGATAGCTATGCCGCATGTCCCGCCCCCCCGTCGGCTCCCCATCCCACAACACCTGTCCAAAGCTCCCGTCACTCCTCTGCAGCTTCGTCAGCCAGCGCAGCAGCCCCTTGCGATTGACCCCCGCGAAAGCCGAGCGCTGCTCCTCCTCCGTGTCCGCTGCCAGGCCGAGCAATATCAAGGCGAAAAACGTCGCAGCGATGTTGGCCGACCCCTTGGATGCCTTGTCACCGGAAATGGAGTGGGTTGGGCTCCCACAGAAGCCGCCTTCGGGGTGCTGGAGGCTCAGGACCCAGTTTCGGACGGCGGCTCGTTCCTGAGCTGTGAAGGGGACGGACAGGAGGTCGAGGGCTGAGATGATGAAGAAGGCAAAGGTGAGCCTGGTGGAGTCGTTGGAGGTGTAGGGCGTGGGGAGGAACGTCTTGTGGCATCGCTGCCAGTATTTGATGTGCCGGGCCGTGTCCAGCTTGGGCGCCTCCTCAGCGTCTGTGCTCATAGTGACAACTGTTTGTTGGATGATAATGATATCTCAGTGAATCGATGCCATGCGTAAATCGGCGTTGCTGAGCAGTACAATGTCGACAAGTGAGGTGAGTGGTTCATCGAGCTACAGTTCTCAAGCTCCAACAGCTCTCAGCTCTCAACTCCCCACCAGCCTCATATCCCCCAAACCCCAAACACCCCACACCAAATCTACAACACGCCACACCCGCAGCGCCACAGCTCGCCAAGCTCTCTCCCAATCGATAAGAGATGCTCCTTTCTAAGCACCCAAGCATACATATGACGCCAAATCAACCACATGGTCTTCGTTCCAGCAAAAAGCTGCTTCTTCTCGATCCCCTTTCCTCCCCGTCCAAGCTCCCGGCGACTCCCTCTATTTGTCAGTTTCTACAGGAGGTGCAGCCCTCTGTCATCTACGAAGGCGGAAAAATCAACGAAATAGCCATTGCGAAAAGAAGCAACTCGTGCCACGTATACGAGCTCTCCGAAACACACTCGACCTCGACCTCAACCACACAACACCAACAACCACCCACGACCGCAAAGCACACGCAAATAACAAACAAACTTCACACCATCTGCCCACAATGGCCCTGATATCATCCACCACAATCATAACCTCCATCTCCCTCTTCCACCTCACCCTCGCCTACTTCTTCCTCTTCCGCCCCAAGACCATCGAAGACCAGGCCCTTGTCTTTGTCCTAGGCGAAAGCATGAACATTGTAAGCCTCCCTTTCCCTTCTCTCCTTATCAACGACCCAATTCCTCAAAGCGTCATGTATCTAACGTGTTACAAAAAATAAACAGCCCGCCGTCCGAGGCTTCGACGTGCCCAGCCCCGCCCTCGCCCTCCTCGCCGTCATCCTCGCCTTCTCCGGCATAAGCGACCTCGTCTCGCTCTCCATGCCCGAAGAGTTCAGCGCGCTCTACTACTGGGGCACGCAAGCCCCCCTCCGCTTCTTCCTCTCCATGGTCATGGTCGCGTACACCTACATCTTTGGCTCCAAATCGCCCATCTTCTCTTCCTCATCAACATCATCATCATCGTCATCGCGCCGTCCAGCGGGGGCCTTTGGCAAACACTCTGCTTCTGGCGCGGATCATTTGCACAACAGACTGCTCTTCTCATTCATGTTCATCGAGATGATGGCCTGGTTCTGGACGTGGATTACGCTCCGCGAAGAGCGCTCGGCTATCGTCGAGAGGATGAGGAAGCAGCACGAGCGGGAGGCCCATAGCCACTAAACCTTTTTTTCTAAGACCCTTTGGGGAGAGAGCATTATCATATCTACATTAGACAACATAGCTACAACCCGAGTATAAAAAAGAGAAAAACAACAATTAGAGAAATGCCATCTTGGAGCATTCATTCACCACAGAAATACACGGCCCGGGAGTCAAAGCAAGGAAATGTTTTAGTTCTATCGACTTCTCGAAAAGTTCTAGCTCAGTCTAAGCTGTAAGTAACACACACAACGTTAGCTATCCATCACCACCACAGCGGGTATACTACTTGTACATATAACAAAAAAAAAAGAAAGACTCTTCACTTGACAAACTTCAGCGACCCTCGAAACAGCAACGATGCAAAAAGAGCAAGAGAGAGGGTGGAAAAAGAAAGGGATTGCAGTTGTGTAAGGTAGGTATGTGTGTGTGTGCAATATACAGTCGCGGCGTTCCTTTGCCCACCCTCGCCAAACGCAGCTCACTAGAACAATAAAGGGGAAATATTATAAAAAGTAAGGATAAAGAATAGTTGGGGTTGTCGTAGGGAGCACGCTGTCCCTGGGCTGTGTCTCTGTGTAATTCCATATTACGCTGTATTACGGTATCTGCCATCTTCGAGCAGACCCGCTCCGCTCCCAAGATTGTTGAATGGCATCATTCGTTTTCCTTCGTTTAAGCGAGGTTTATGTGGCTACTGATGGTGTTCTTGGGAGAAATCGCCGAAGGACTGTGAACTTCCGCAGTAGGGGTCGTCGCCTCGTCCTCGAGGATTTGCTCCTCAATAATCTCCCCTGGGCCGCCTACCACTGGGCCAAACGCATCCACCTCCTCAATCTCTTCTTCCTCATCGACGCCTCCCATGTGATCTTCGTCCTCCTCTTGAATGGTAATCTCTCCGGACCGACGTCCCAAGCCCGAGGCGCTGCCGCTGCGGGAATGAGAATGGGAACCACCGGCTGCGTTCCGCATCTGGCCGTGAGGGCCCCCGAAACTGAGACTCGGGCCCTTGAAGATATTCTTCTTCCGCTTCGCAAACATCACACCTGACGCAAACGGATTGGGAGAACCAGGAGCTTGTGGCTGGGCGGAAGGCATACCCTCATTATACGAGTTCACCGGAGGCATGCGAACGAGGCGAATATTCGAAGGAAAGGACTGGCCCGTGGGCGTCGCAGGGAGGACCTTGACCGAGTGATGAGGCGACTGTCCACGGCCTAGCGGTGTTTTGGTCGTGGACACGGAGCCCGTTGAGCTGGTGGAAGACGCCTTGGAGTGAGTGTGATGGTGGTGGTGCATTGACCGGACGGAAGATACGGAAGACGAGGTCGACTTTCTCCCTCGCAAGCCCGCGGATGAGCGGCGAACAGTCCCTCGAGGTGTCAATGGCGACGGTGACAGCGACTGGCGCTTATAAGCCTGCGAGGTAGAAATGTGAGGTCTCAGGGGATGCTGAGATGGCGTTCCCACCGGCCCGCTTACGCTTCCGCGGAGGGAGCCATAGCTGGACGACCCGTTGGCCCTGCCCAAGTGGCCGTTCGCAACGACGCCCTTGGGGAGGGGAGCCGTGGCGTTGGCCCCTAAGGGATTCGTGTGCGGGTATTTGCTGGTCTGCGGCCTAGGACTGACATCATTGCTGCTTTTGGTGCTGCCCTCTTTCTTGTGCAGATCGGGCACGCTCCGACTCGTGCGTCGCTCATGTCCACGCCGCCGTCTAGTCGTGTTTTCGATGAACCAATGAGTCCAGTTCTTCCAGTGAGCGATGATAGCTTGACTAGGTCTCTTCTTCGCCTTCTGTAGACTATTGTCGTCCTGCTGCTGCGAGCTCGGGGGCGCGCTGTGGGGGTCGCCCAGGCCCAGGGACTCGGTGGTGGTGACAAGGTGCAGGGTCGATCCTCGAGATCTGGCACTGCGCAGAATGCCTTCCTTGGGCGGTGGGATGGGCCGGTAGTTGCGCGTTGTCGAGACCGAGCGAATCGAGTGGCTGTCGATGGAACGATGGCGACCGTTTTCGTCGGGGGTCTGCGGACCATTCGAACGACTTCCCTCCGTAAAGTACGACATGTCATGTATGGCCAGGTCATAGTAGTGAGCGCTCCTACGATCCGGTCTCCCGCGGGTCCTGGGCATCGCGGGTTCTCCCAGTTTGATAAACTGCTTCGTTAGACCGCCGTCCTCGTCAACATCCTGCAGCATCCGCTCGAATCGACTCGATGCCACGGAGATTCGATGGAGGCTCTTGTCCGCCTCTCTTTCTTTCCTCTTCCTTTCTCTCCGACGCTGTTTTCGCTCCTCTTTCTCGAGCAGCAGCGTCCACCATCCAGCCAACGTATCGCACTTTTGCGCAGTGACACTCTCCATGAGCGCGTCAATGTCTACCCCAGCACTGCGCATGCGGTGTAGGCAATCCTTCTCCAGGTGAGTAGAAAAGGGGGGCAAGGCCTTGGTTTCGAGAATAGCCTGCTGTGCCGGCGCGTGTTCTGCAAGGAACGGGTGAGCTAGGATCTCCGGAAGTGTCGGTCGGAGGAGAGGACGCTTCGAAAGAAGAGACTTGATGAGAGGAATCGCCTCGACGGGAAAGTGGTCGGGATACTTTGCCTCCTCCGTCAGAATCTTGTTTCGCGTCACGTTGTCGTCGTCGTCGTCAAAGGGGAGCTCTCCGCAGAGCAGGGCGTACAGGATGATGCCCAAGCTCCAGACATCCACCTTTTCGCCCGCGTACTTTTCCCCCTTGAGCATCTCCGGCGCAGAGTAGCATATTGTTCCGCAGAATGTCTGCAAGTGGTTCGTTCGGCCCTCGTACTCTCTCGTAAAGCCAAAGTCGACAAGCTTGACGTTTTCATGGGTGTCGAAGAGGATGTTTTCGAGCTTCAGATCGCGATGGACGCAGGACTGCATGTGGACGTAGCTGACGGCGCCGACCAGCTGAGCAAAGATCTTTTGCACCTTGGCCACAGGGAGCGGGCCATGGTCGAGCAGGTAGTTGTATAGTTCGTCACCTGAAAGCCCACACGTGTCAATTCACTTGTCAAGAGATCAGGAGGGTCGAGGTTCGCGTCATTCATCGAAACCTTACCTGCACAGTACTCGAGCACCATCCACACCAAGTTCTCCGTCACAATAACCTCATACAATCTGGCAATATGGGGGTGGACGAATTGGCGGTGGTGGTGGATCTCGCGGGCAAGGTTCGAGTCGGTTCGATTCGCCGACTTCAAGACGACCTACCCGGATTCATTAGCACGAGTCGACCTCCTAGGCACGTGGACGACAGAAGCACTCACCTTGGAGCCATTCGTGAGTTTGTGTGTGGCCAGGTAGACCTTGCCGAAGGAGCCTTTGCCAATGAGGCGGCCGAGGGTATAGTTGCCAACGGACTTGAGGTCCTTGCTCGAGAACTCGCTGCAGAAAACCAACCCCGGTCAGCAACAAGCCGCAGCGCGACATCAGGAGAGCAGCACGGAACACTCACTCTAGAAGCTCCTGGTACGAGGTGGCAAGCTATAATCGACACCAAACTCGTATTAGCCCCCGTCTTTCCATCCTCTCATCCGCCGCGACCTCGAAACAGACAAAACCCACCTTGGCCTTTCGTCCCTGCGCCTCGGCCTTCCCCTTTGCCGTCTGCATGCCTCGTCGCCGTGCCGCGCCCGCAGCGCCCGCTCTCTGACAGCCGGCAACAGACAGGAAGCACAAGGCCTTTAGAATCCGGCTCCGGCGATCAAGCTCGGGATCAGGATCAGAGTCACGACCAGCCTCCGCGTCTACAGGGACCTTGGTCGTCGTGGCCGCCTCGCCCCCTATGCGTGTCCTCGCGGCGTCGGGCTCGGGGGTCAGGCTCCGGCTCAGCCTGCGGCGACGCTCAATGCATTCGACGGCGGCGGGCTGCTGCTCCTGCTTTCGACGTCGAGCTTGGAACGGCGGAATGGCGGCGGCGTCGTGGTTGTAGAAGGAACCCAGATGGGGCAAACGCGTTTTTCGTGTGGGAGAGATTTGGGGAAAGATGAATGCACGGCAATGACTTGTTTTTTTGCTCGTTTCTTTCCCCGCCGGGTACCTGCTGCTCTAACGTCTGAAGCGAGATTGTCTTTGCTGGAAGGGCGAGGATGGACTGGGAAATTTCGACATGGGGGGGGAGGATCCGTGACGGTGACTTTCTGGTTACAGGTTTAATGTTGGCAGCTCAGGTTCGAGGGGGGCCGCTGACATGGCTGATGATTTGGCACTGGGGAGGGACTGGATGTACTGCGACCTGTGGCCTGGATGACCTCTGGCCTCCACTGTAGCCGAGCCCGGGTGCTGTGAGCTCAACTGGAGCAGCCATCCAATGACAAAACCTGTGCAGGTCCGGAGCACAAGCGCAGCACAGCACAGCACAGCTCTCTGCTGATGGAGCGCTGCCACGCCAGGTATCGGTACCTACCTACCTCCCCCGTCAGGTACCCGGACCTGTACCTTGCAGTTCCGCCCCAGCTCTGCCATTCCATTCCTCCGCCATTCCAGTGCCCTCTCGTCTAAATCAGGAACAATTCAGGTACCGTCGTGCTCCTATCCTGCAGCTGAGCCTCTGAATAGTAGTCCCCAGCCATCGCCATTTCTTCGATGCGAGCTTCTACATACGAGTACTCAAATTCAAGCCAATAACGGCCCTTTGTGAGCAATGCTGCGTCTCCAAATCACGTACCGCTACTCCCGCTCATCCAAAGGCAAAAGCATGGCCTCCACTGACTCTATTGGCTTACGCACGCAACAAGTGGGCCCCAGATGCGCCGTGACATCTTCCGCAGCTGGCGTCCTCTGCGCGTGTCATCGTACGGCTCTAGCTTTTCTGGCACTGCAACATCAGGTCACCAGCCTCTGCGAAATATTCACTTTCAGCATCACATTATCAACGACTGCAGGCTTAGGCATATTAAGGTACTACTAGGTACCTTGAAGAAAGTATCAATCAGAATCATTGAGTTGCCTTGTCCCCGTGTGTTTCTGCATCGTGCCTCTAAAGCATCAATAGCATGCATAACCTTTTAAAATCCCCCCCAAACTCCTTCATCTCATCAAAAACCCGTTTTAGTAAGACAGAACTGAGTCTCTCCCTTCTCTCAAAACACCATAACCTACAAGCACAAAACGACCGGATACTATACACAGTGATGTGATTACATGAAATCGTACAGTGACAACTTGACAACACAGATGTTCGCTCGACAGAGAACCGGATCGCGTCTTCCCATCATCGTTTCCTCGTGTCTTTGCCCTTCTTCTTGCCCTTCTTCTTGTCCTTGGGCAGCTCCAGTTTCGTATGCTTCAGCTCCTCCGTCATAATCGAAAGCATGTAATCGTCAATGTTGCCCATTCTCCCGCCCCAGGCATTGTACTCCTCGATTGCGTCAACGCCGGGTTCGACGGGTCCATCCAGTATTCCGATGGCCCCGTCAAAGATGGACTTGCCTGCTGGCGTCCCTTGACGAGCCGTCGAAGTACCCGAGGCACCTCCGCCGGGCTTCTCCGTAAAGTCGGCATCGTCGGCGAGAATCTCCTTCTCTGCCACGCGTGCGGCGGCGACATCCTCCTTGTCCTCGGCCTGTTCAAAGACACGACCGACGCGGCGCTGATCGCTGTTGCTTTCCGACCCGCCGAGAACCAGGTCAAGAGCGGCATCTGCAGCAGCAACACCCTCGCTCATAAAGTCCACCTTTTCGCCAAGGACATCCCTGACAGAAGGCCGGTTGAACGAATCCGTGTTAAACTCTCCTTCCTGTATGACAACGTCGTCGAGCATCTGCTTTTGTGACGCTTTGCGGAGAATATTCGCTTCGATGGTGTGCTCGCTCACGAGGCGGTAGATGTGGACGTCTCGCGTCTGGCCGATACGATGGCATCGATCCTGACACTGTTTGTCCATGGCCGGATTCCAGTCTTGGTCGTAGAAGATGACAGTGTCGGCACCTGTCAAGTTGATGCCCAACCCTCCAGATCGAGTAGACAGGATGAAGCAGAGGATACGTGAGTCGTGGTTGAACCGATCCGTCAGAATTTGACGCTGCTCAATCTTAGTGGCGCCGTCAAGTCGGAGGTATTTGTGCCCATGGATATTGAGAAACTGCTCTAGGATGTCGAGAACCTTTGTCATCTGGGTAAAGATGAGCGCGCGGTGGCCGCCGGCTTGCAGCTTACGCAGCAGCTTGTCCAGCGCCTGGAGTTTGCCGCAGTCATATTGAAGCAGGCGTTTGTCGGGGAATTGGATGGTAAGGCGCATTCGCGCTTCGTGCCAGGGGTCTGCTGGGGGCTCCTTGGGCATGAAGGGCGCCCATCGCACCGGCTTCGATAGCTTCAGATCTTCATCTGTAAATGCTTCGACACCTTTTCGACCGAGAATCACCTGGTTCAGATCTCGAGTCACTACGGCGGGCGTGACGCATGAGAACTTTTCAATGGTGGTCTTGAGGCTGTCGGCTCTCTGTTCGAGGGACGGAGACAACGCCCGCAAGAAGGCCGAGTCATTATCGAACCACTCAAGAACCTTCTTAGGGACCTGAGGCCGGGGCTTGCGCAAACGGTCATGGGCGTTAATGTTGAGTAGATTGACAACGTTGCTCCCATATATCGGCCTTTGCTGACGGCGGAGGGCGTTGAGGTAAACACAGTGTTGCAGCTCTTCGAAACGGCCCCACCGGGCAGCACTCTCGACGTAGGCAATGTTGGACTCTACCGTGGACGGGTCCAGGGTTGTGTAGGCGTTTTGAGCTCGGCATTTCTGTGCCTCTCTGAGATCCATGAGGATGCGATGCGAGCTCAGTTGGGTGATACTGTCAGCCTTCATGGTGGATAGATGCTCATGCTGAGTCGGCACTAGGTTCAGAAAGCCCAGGTTGACAGTGCTCATGGGGCTTTCGAAATTCGAAGGCGACCGCTGCACGACCCTCACTGTGTCCTGATATTCTGCAGGTACAGACTTGCTCATGCGGAACGAGGTCATGATGGGTCGGTCGACGAACAAGTCGGGGTGGTTGCACACTTTGCGCAGCTGCATCAAACAGTTGATGATGGACAGATAATTGCCAGACGCCAGCGTATCTCTTGTATCGCTGCGTGCCAGGAACCCATCGTACAGCTCGCGCTGCCGCTTCGACAGTCGGCAGAACTCGACATGCTCGTATTTGGCCGGCATTTGCTTCTCCACGTCGGCTTTGAGACGCCTGAGGAGGTAAGGCCGCAGAACTTTGTGAAGTTTTGAAATGATTGCCTTTGCCTCGTCGTCCATCTGGTCCCTCCCGTTCTCCAGAATCTGGGACTCGGGCTTGCGGAACCAGTCGTGGAACTCTTGCAAATCTGCAAAGCCCCCGACTCCATTCTCTGCGGGCATGAGGAAGAAGAGCAGCGACCACAGCTCCGTGAGGTTGTTTTGAAGCGGAGTTCCTGTAAGCAGTAGACGTGAGTGCGTGTTAAACCCTAGCAGCGTCTGCCATCGCTGCGATTTGAAGTTCTTGATATTGTGCGCTTCGTCCAGAATCATGTAGTGCCACCTCCGTCGCCTAAACACCTGCTGGTCTTGGAGTACCAGCTGGTATGAGGTGACACAGACGTTCCATACGTCGTCGTTGTTCCATCCTTGTCGTTTTCTCTTGCGTTCCTCCTGGGATCCGTAGTAGGCGAGAATTTTGAAGCCGGGACACCACTTTTTGAATTCCATCTCCCAGTTCAGCATGACGCTGGTGGGCACGATGACAAGATGGGGACCCCAGACTTCGTGATGACAAGCAAGATGTGCCAACAGCGCGATGGTCTGGATCGTTTTGCCCAGCCCCATCTCATCTGCGAGGATGCCGTTCGTATTGTTTGCATAAAGGCCGGCCAGCCAGTCGAGGCCCTGCCTTTGGTACTCGCGCAGTGTTCCCCTGAGGAGAAACGGAACTTCTACCTTGTGGCCTGTGAGTTGCGGCGTGGAAACCCGGGTTACGGCGGTGGACGATTCAGCCCGCTCAATCTCCTGTGGCGGTGGTGCCTCGGTTTCAGATGGCTTCATTTCTAGTTTGGGCTCCGCCTCCGCGGTGGTCGGTGACGAGGTACCGGGAGCGGTCTCGGAGTGAACATTTGCTGCTTCTACTTGTGGATGAGCATCCTGCTCTGGGGCTTCCGTGGCTGCAGGCTCTTCCGATTTTGGTTCTCCACTCGCTGCTGGTTCTGGGACATCGACCATTGGAACGTCCTCGTCAACGTGCTTCAGATCTGTATGGGCTGGTTCGGAAGAGGCAGCGTATTTCTTGGCTTGTTCGTCATTAAGTTGCTTCGAGCTTTGCAGACCGTTCAACTTGGTCTCTGTCGCAGGTGTCAAGGGACCAGCGTTATCGCCAACTTCCTTTGCGTTGTCACCGTTGACAGAATCAGGATGGTGGACAAGCGACATCTCATCGTCATCGTCTTCTTCCATCCCGAGGTCAGGCTGCTTGGTCTCGGTCCCGGATGCATCAGCTTGGACACCCGCCTCTTCGTCTTCCGGGCTTTCAGGTTTGGCTTCGCCTTTCTTCATCGCTTTCAGTTCTGATTTTCCGAAAAAGAGTCCCAGTAGACCGCCGGCCTCCTCCTCAGATCCCGATTCATCCGTCGAGCCTTCGTCTCCGGACTCGTCACTCCCATCAAAGTCGCTTGAACCAAGGTCGTCGTCCATATCCACCGATTCATCGCTCGTCTCGGCCTCCGAATCGTCTGCGTTACCCGGGGTTCGGCTCGCTTTATCAGCCGTCGATTCTGCATCTTCGCGTTCGAGATTGGGTATGTTGGCGTATTTGGCCCGTAACTGCTCCTGCGTCAGGCCCTCGTCTGCCGCGTCTTTATGATCTTCATCCTCTTCATCTTCCGATGACGACATCATATCGCTATCATCATCCCCGTCTCCATCTCCACTTCCATCGGTCTCTGCTGAAGAGAGGCGGGACTCGTCTCCTTCTCCTTCATCCTCACTAGCGCTGTCGGTCAAATCGTCAAAGCCATCCTCATCGTAGAGAGATTCCGAATCTATGCCTCCAGCGCGCCGAGCTTGCAGTTTCTGCTCCGACAGACTGACTGCCTGATTAAGCGCAGCCTTGACTCTCTTTTGTTCTTCTGCCTCCCACTGTATCAATCGCCGCCTGTTGACTTCTGCACGAACATTCTCCCAAGTACCGTAGAGAGATCTGAGAACAACCCGATAGTATGCCAACCACGAGGCTCTTGCTTCTGCCTCTATCTCTTCAGCAGTTTTAGGTTGACGCCGCAGCCATTCTTCGCGACAGGCTTCGGCCAGCTTTTTGGCGGTTGATCGATGTCGCTGCTGTTCGGCCACCATGAGTTTTCGGAAATTGGCGGCGGCCTTTGTCATATGATCCTGTCGCGCCCATTGCCTTGGCGGTTCCTCCTCTCCTTCAGGTACGAACAGGGAGCACCGCTGCATGGACAGTAGCCCTCCCGGCTCCACCTCCTTCTCGATACGTAGTATTATGCGGGCGTCATGCTGCGCCGCTTCGTCTGTGTAAGGTGGTCCATCTTCAGACACCATGAGGCCACCATCTTCCACTGGGATGTCTCCAGCCCGATTCCAGAAATCGTCAAAGTCGGTTCCTATTCGCGGTCGTTTGCGTACCTGGTCCGGATGAACCAGCGGAATCACACCAAGCCGAGACCCAACCCTCAATTTGACTCGGGGAGACTTTCCGGAGCCTTCAGAAACGTTGTGTTTTGTGGCATTGCCCGCAGCTTCTTGTTCAATTGCATCGCTAAGCCGTGTTCTTCGCGTTCGTGTAGAGTGTCTGAGAGGCTGCGGCGGAGGAGAGGGAGTTCGTCGGCGGGTCAGTCGCGATGATGACCGAGGCTCGGGAGCAGCAGTGCCTCTCTTGGAAGCATGCCTCGAATTCGATTCTGATGGCGTGGTGCTGGCTGATGTCGTCTTGCTCGTGGGCTTCTGTTTGGGTGCGCTGACTGCTGCGGTCTTGCTGGACTTGCCATTCGTCAGCGGGCTGTCTTTGGTCGTGCTCCCATTCGAGCCATTCATCGAATGCCGAGTGTTGCGCTTCGGATTCGGATTCGGCGGCTCGACCGGGGTGGACAGCAGGTTGATTCGGCCGGATTTGCGCCGTCCGTTCTCCGTGAACGATGTAGGGCCGTCAGCCTCGATCTTCTTCCACGGTGGCGAGATGGGCTTCAGCTTGCGGACAGCAGGCGGCGGCGGCGTCGCATTCCGCGTCCTCAGCCTCTTTGCAGGCCGCTCGCTGTCGTCCACACGAGCAGCGTCCACGGCTTCCGCCGGCTGCGGCACGTAGCCGTTCGTCTGGGCCGGCGTCGCGTCCTGCTGGCCATGGCCGTTCGCTCGAGCCTCGCCGGCGGCTTCCCGACCCTCGGGCTCGGCATGCGGCGCGTCACTGGATGGAGCGTTCAGCGTTCCGTCGGCGGGCGAGGCTGCCAGAGGATTCGCGTCGGGAAGCACATGGTCTGGCGACGCGGTCTCGAGCATAATCGCAACGTGGAGCTAGGGGACGTCGCAGGCGAAAACTCTGTGAGGCTATCATTTGGCGGGGAGAAAATGGCATCTACGGATTCGTGGCGATTTACCGAACATTCGGACAGAGTTTGCACATGATCAGAGGCCTGGGCGGAGCGCTGCGGCGGATTTTGCGAGGAATTGCAGTCTGCTCAGCAAAAAGTTTGGAACAGGAAGAATCTCGACGGCGCCATGGCAACCTCAGGTAAGGTGGTGCAAAAAGAAGAGTGGAGGGCACTGGAGGGGCTGGAGTACCTGCGGGTACCTGGAGTCACCGAGCTGCAGCTGTGCTTCGATGCTGGAACCGCGCCGGATAGCCTGGGTTCGCGCTGGCGGGGCCGTCAGCTGTTGTACCCGCGAGTACCGGCGTTCTGCTAGGCGGCCCGTCTCAAAAGCCGTGTCGTAATTCCCTCCAGCTACAGAGAAATCCGGGCTTGATGCCTGAGGCAGCGGCGCTCGAGAACGATTGTCGTTACAACCTCAAACCGAACCAATCTGGAAGTCTGTTGAGGTCATCACGGAGAGCAATCCCGGAACACAGCAATTGGGCGCCGCAGCTACGGTCAATCCGCCCAAGGTGAGCGCTGAGTCCACGTTACAATCGCAAGAGAGTTGGTCTCGCGAATAGCGAACCGCCCGACTGACCGTCCTTCGTCTCTGCAGATGCTCCCGCAACGACTTGTGCGAGCTTCGGCTCTGCGCAACACCCTGGCCGCCAGCCGACGGCTCCCCACGATCCAGCGACGAGGCTTCTTGCCATCCCAATTCTCCGATAAGAAAGTTATCGAGGAGAAGTATCCCGACTTCCCGCGACTCAGCGAAGCGCAGGACCCCGAAATGGTTCGTGATGATCCAGTGTTGCTTGGAGAGGCGCTGCCGGAATTAACTCAGTTTTGCTGTAGAACGGAGGCTACATCAACCCGCCGAGAATCAAGCGACAGTTCCGCGACCCATATGCCACCTGGTGGGACCCCCAGGAGCGACGAAACTTTGGCGAGCCAGTCCACGAAGACAACGACGTGCTGGGCATCTTCTCCCCCTGGGAGTACACATGGACCACCACGGGGCCTGGTCTGATCATGGTTGGAACGTTTATTGCCACTTTCTTGGGAGTCTCGGGACTTGTCTATCTCAACTACCCTGACCGGGTTGCGTACCCTAGGGAGTTTGAGAACGGCCTGGAGCGAGAGTTGGGCGGCCCAGGCGCCGTAAGAGTAAGTGGCATCTTGCTTTAAGATGATATCCTCAATGTGAACCTTGCTGATACTGAGGTTGCAGGCACGAATGGCTGGTGATGAGGACCCATGAGGTTTTCTATTAGTCTGTACATAATCAAGAATAAAAGCTTTTTCCAAGTTGGGGCTTCTTCCTCGAAGCAAACATCAGCATGGCATGATCACTCAGGTGGTGAAGCAGGCAAATGAAGCTCTTCAGTGCGCTTAGCATAGATGTCACTGCTCTGAAACACGCCCTGCAGACCGATATATGCGATGGCGCGCGAGTCTGGATATATGGGCTGACTCGGCTCGTTTCACCCCCGGTTGCTTCAACCTATATCATTCAGGACTGAAAAGGGTTTCTGCGTATTGGATAGTTTGTCCTTCGTAGCTGTCCTCGACGTAAATGGGATGTGATGCGCCTCATTTGAGTACTTGGTCTGAAGTACCGTACGTTTAGGCTGATATCCGATGCGATGACCCAAATAGAAGACTCGTCAACCTGATTATGAGACAATTTCTTCATCTACGTCAAGTCAAGGTCATTCCTTGCAAGGAACACGATCGATCCGTCTCTCAGGAACCGGTCTTCTTCCCGCTGAGGTCATTGTGCATCTGCTCAACAGGTACGGCAACCCTTTGGCTACCTCCCCCATACCTTACCCTTCTCTCAGGGAGGCGATCTCCTTATCAGGGGACTCCCACGTGGCAGCAATACTCGTTTTGCAACTAATTCCTTCCTTGCTACAGTAGTTTCTTCGTTCTGACTGTCTTCCGGTTTCTGCTGGATTCTTCGGCAACCAGAACGATCGGTGTAGGAAGCAGCCAAGAAGCGAGCTTTCAGGAGAATAAGCGAGTCCATACTCTACCAAAACTCTCTCGCATGTGCAGCTGCCGAACCCCAGGCGACTCGCTCTTTGCCGAATCAGATCCAAGGCGGCCCTACAGATATACCGATAGCGTTGCCCTGGCACCTGATCAATACTCGCCTATATCTCGAGGCGTGATTGTGTTCAGCTCTGCAACTTGGATTCTCGCCTGCTCAGAGCCAACCTTGGAATAGCAGAGGGCGCACTTGGACTCCGCAGCACCGCTCTTTGACGCGTCATCTTTGCATTCGATTGGTTGTCCGTCTTCTCTTTTTCTATACCTCTTCTTGACCCTCTGGTTGCGTTCTCGAGCTCGTGCTCACGATGCGGTTCGACGACTGGGACGTTTTGCTCTTCCCTCGGGACTGCAAGGTCCCCGTGAAAGAGTTCAAAGTGGCCTGCCACGTTATCCACGATGCCGGTATGTGCCCTCTTCAGAGCTTTTCTGCGCTCAAGTTCATGGCCCATCGGTTCCCTATTGCGAGGCTAACGCGGCGAAGAAATCACCAGCCCTCACGGTTCTTTCGGGCTGCCCACGGTCTGCTGCTTCATACCAAGCCTGCCTGCTGGGACTCCCTTCCAAGTCTCGATCCATTCCTGGTCTTCGCCCACTCTCAGCCAGTTTACCAGATGCTATAGCAAGTATGGCGACGATGCCAACTTTGAGGCCCGCGTCTTCATTGACGGACAGTTGGTTGCGTAAGTGCTCAATCCTGGCTCTGCTGCTGCTGCTGTCTCACAGTGATCCGCCCCTTGAGTGCAGATTCTGCATGCTAACGAGATCTGCTTTTAGCTCTGCGCCTCTCGATCGAGAAAAAGACTGGCCGCACATCATCATTCACAGTTTCGGTAGGAAGAGCCACGCCTGTGGTAGACATGGCCTTGATACTCATATGCTGATGAACTGCCATAGGTGTCGCGAAGAACGGAGATCTCGAGCCTCTGAAGTTCCCAGGCTTTCGCCAGGAGCTTCTTCGACAGAATCACTGGCATCCCGCGGACAATTTTGGCCGCATCAAGATTGTGATTAGCGAAGGCTTTCCGCGCGATTCCCTCTCACTGCCCATGCAGCGGGTCAAGAACGTTGTAGCATTCTCCTTTCAACATGCGCCTCTTGGTACGCTGTCTCCGATTCAGTGCATAGCAATAACAGACATTGACATCCTCTGCTAGAAATTCTGGAGAACTCTTGCATCGCGTGGCCGAATCCCAGCATGTGGCGACGGATTCCAGCCCCTGCAGCGAGGGCGGTTCAAGCCTATCCGTCCGACGATATTGACTCACATGCCCATTCTCCGAGAAGAAAATACACTCGGATTAACGCAAACCCTGTCTCCTCTTTGACTGAGAGCCTCCGTGGCACAATGGACAATCGAAACACCCGGCAAAGTCAGGGCACGTCTGGCTACCAAAGCGGCAGCACTCGCGCTGCTTCTGGAAGCACCAGCACCGGCACTCTGGAGACAATCAATGACTCAAATGCCTATTTCGAGTGGCTGAACGGCATGGGCACCGGGGTGAATGATACACATCAGTTGTTTGAACACGATCTCTTTGCACCCGGTCAGAACGGAAGACGACTTCCCAGTGGTGGTGTGCCACCCTACATGTCTCTGGGTAACAGTATGGGACCGTATCTCGACCAAAGTCTCGGGTTGCAGAACTTCCGAAACGAAGATGGCCGTGACCAATTTGACTATATCAGGTCTGCCGCCGAAGTTTCGGATGTCGAAGCCGTCTGCGGCCAGGAGACGCAAGGTATGGATGAAGAGACAGCGCTTGTTCTTCACAATGGGCTCTAACTTTGGGGGCGTAGATCTTTTCGTGCCTCGGCTGTCCCAGGACAACATGTTCACGATGGATACACCCACTTCATTGGCTCACTCGCTGCTCAATCAACCGATGCCAGCCCACCTCCTGGGCGTCAGTGTTCAAACTGTTCAACCTGAAGTAAGGCCGCACCAAGCAGACGACCTTCATCAGGCACCAGATCCGTCTCCTTCAAGTGCATCTACGTCGTCCACCTCTCACAACAATCATGCCGGAGTCAGAAGGACTGTTCGCCGGCCATCTAAAGCGCACAATGTCAGCGGGCAACCAGGGTCAAGCAGCTCTGGTTATAGATCGTCTCTTCCAGACGCCAACCAGCATCTGGCCTCGGTCGAGGACTATGTTTCTGTTTTGGAGGGCCGTTTGATCGAAGACGCGGCTGCGAGTAATGCGGCACCGCCCTCTACCGACAAGGGAACAAAGAGAAGCCACGATTCTGCTTCTGGTCCCGGAAGCGCTGTGATGAGCGACGAGGACCAACGGCGACCAAGCCCCAGAGCTCACATTACAGCCTTGCTCGCGCAGAGCCCAACGTTCAATGGCCAATAATGGGAGCTTTTGCGGTCCAGGTTTGTATCCTTTCGCACTGCAGTGGATGAGCCCCTGAAAGTAATGAAAAGCATGTTTCCGTCAGGGCACATGCTTGCAAAGGTATACTGGTTTTAAAGCAGCCACCAATGTACGCTCACCGAATGTTTCATCTTGCTTTGTATGTCATGGACGCATACATACTTATGGGAACAATGAAGAGGAGACATTATCATCGCATGTTTACATGTTACACTAGCAAGAGATAGTAAGGGAAAAGCAAGATTCCAATCGCAAATTCTCATTAATCATCAAACCCGAAATACAGGCACCTCTAATAACAAACGCTCTATTCTACTTTGAACGGGTCCCAATACAACACCTCCTATCCTACTTCTTCTCCAGAATCAACATATCCAAAAGGAACGCCTCCTCCCCTTCTACTTCTTCTCCGGAATCAGAAACCCATCGTCGTCAAGGAATCGAATCGGCCCATCTTCGTCAAACCGGGCCAACTGCTGCCTCCAAGAGGGAACCTGGTAATCCAATCCGAGAACCTTCAATTGTCGCTCCCAAAGGGGGGTATCATTCGTCTCCGACTCCCTGAGCACGTCCGTCGTCACTTGGCGATAAGCCGCCGAGTCGCGCGTGGCAATCTCGACAATCCGACAACAAAGATCTTTCCAACACACGAATGAGTCAATATCGAAACTCGCGGCCGGGTACCTGAACTCGATCGTGGATGGCGTGCCTTCGAGGTTGTCGGACACACCATGAACAGGTTCCGAGGCCGAATCGCCGTTCCTCTCGCGGGTACACAGGACCAGGCTGGCCTTTTGACCTCTGTCCGTTTCCAGTCCCATCGAGAGCTTCCAGATACTGTCTGTTAGCCAGAGCTCATTCAGGGCAAGGTGCAGTCGATTGGGTTCGTTGCTGTTCCACTCAGCTGGCTTCTCCTTGGACAAGTCCGGCAGGTGCTGGCGCATCTCGGGACTTGTGTTGGCGTCTGTGAGTTGATCGTCGCACATGCGGTCTGCCAAAGTGTTGAACTTGGACCTTGTAGAGATGGGAATGAACCAGCGCCGCTCTTCGGAACGCTCTTCGGAGACTAACTTCTTGAGCAGGGACATTTCGAGGAGCATGACCAGGGTGGCGGCCTTCTTGGCGATGTTGAGGGTCATGCCGCTCTTGACACCAACATGGAAGTGGAGGCCGCATTCCGTGTGCGCCGAGATGGTGAGGCCCGAGTTTCGAACGGCGCTGAGGATCTGCTTCGTCTGGGGAAGGCCGGCGCGGAGTTCAGCGTGGGACAGAATGGGGGAGGTGATTTCGAAGCCGTGGGCCAGTCTGTCGCCGTTGTCGTCCGTGGGCACTCTGAGCCATTCTCTCTCGACGAAGTAGTACAGGTCTTCGATAGGGCCATTGGGTCTACGGATGGGAGTGGCCGGGTTGAAGACGCGGACGTGAGGGAGGCGGTGCTCGGCGGGGGCGTCCTCGCAGATGATGCAGGAGACGGACGGGCGATGGATGCAGTGGGCGGCGATGGGCAGGTTGGGGCACTGTTCTGCGATGGTTAGCGCGAGGTCACGGAGTTTGTGGGCTTCGAGGGCGATGCCGGATTGTTCGCCTGGTTGGAGGTGGACGATGAGTTCGAGTTCCCAGCCGAGGGTGATTTCATGGCTGGAGGTGGACATTGTGGTGAATAAGGGGAAGGGGGAGAGGGTGTAAGTGGTGCTTGGGAATGTGTGAGTATTGTCGGAGATGGTGGTTGGAATTAGGGATTGGAGGGTGACATGCCATGATGGGATAGATATAATTGAAGCCTTGTTGCGTGTTGCAGTCATTTTTGGTATGTTGTGCGAGGTTGGTATGTTGTACGAGGTAATGTTGGTTTCTGGGCGAGTTCGCGATAGTTTGAACGTGGTGTTGAGTTGTGGGAGTTCAATGGAGTAGGGAAACATGCCGATTACGTTCATACATCAAGTACAAAAAGTCACCCTTTGAACGGTGTACTACTCTACTGGTAATACAGAGGCAAGGGCTTTTTGGCTTTGACTTGGATATGAATACTCCTACACAGAGAATGGGATCAAACTTGACTTTGACATCTGGGAACTGGACTACTACGCACAGTCAGGCAAGTGGAACGTATTAGACACCTGAGCGTATCAGAGAATTGAACGCACCTGACAGTTGGTATCAAACAATTCAAAGTATCAAACAATTGACGGTATCAAACATTTGAAAGCATCAAACATCTGAAGGCATCAAACATTTGGAAAGCATCAAACATTTGAAATCATCAAACATTCGAAAACATCAGACAGTCGCACTCCATCAGACTGTTGAATCAATAAACAGTTGAAGGGCGTGATAATGGTTGAACGCATTGGACAATTTGAACGTGTCAAAGTCGAGCCGGGGTTTTTAGAATCAGTTGAGCAGGAACCACATGTTGCAGATTGACAAAGAATAGTCAGATCAGATCGTGAATGTCATTAACTGTCTGAAAATTGCAATGTAACTCTCTCAGTAGATCTCCTACTACCCGAAGGTACGTGTACATGTCCAATCTTTAGCTTCCAGCAGTCCATATTCCCAGCTTCCAATACGCCATAGATTCCCCAAGCGGGTTCTGGTACAATTCCATCTCTGGTTACAGTCTAATTCTAGATCCCAACAGGCGTCTCACAGAGCAAATCTTGGCCGGCCTGTTCAAAAGCAGTGAGCGTCAGATCAGATCAAAAGGGTATGTCAGGGCACATCCGCAGGGGTTACTCACAACAGGAATGGCACAGCAGCGAGCACGCTGTCCTCCAGCAGCACACACGGTCTGAAAAGTCTGGGCATCGGGCACAGGGCTCGAAGCTACAACCCCAAAGTCAGTATTCTTTAACGCTCCAAGAAGAGGTTCATTGCTTCACTGGAACTTCCACAGGAAATTCACATACGATTCTGGCAGTCCAGGTCTGCGACGCCGAGCACGTCGGTCGAACAGCACTGTGGGGTGGACTCGAGGCCGCTGCAGAGGGGGCTTCTGGGTTGAGGGGCGGCGAGGACGCCGGCGATGAAGAGGGCGATGGCGAAGGACTTCATTCTGAACGGGGGTGAGTTTGAGTTGGGTGGCTGGCGATTGTGAAAGCGAATGTGTTCAGCGGAATTTGGTCTCTTGGGAGTGTTGGTTTTGTGAGTCTGCTTTGTGATGTTGAGACAACTTTTGAGGTTAGACAAGGAGATATTTATATCCAAGTCATCTCTATGACACGGCTCTTTCTATCTGCAAGCAAGCAGGCTTTACCTCCGGAAGTACTGGGTTTCCCAATTGGCTACCATCAGTTTCATCTAGATACTCAACTGTTGTCGTCAATCGTCAGCAAAGCTCTTCGCATGAAGTTGTATCATCATATCTCAATCATCCAGCAGGGATGCATGCAGAGAGTTTTTAGGTGAGGACAGGGAGTGTACCGATCTGGTTGGTAGAAACGAGCGACGATCTCAACAGCGGTAGCTTTCATGCTGTGTTGGCAAACCAATTGCTGTCTTCAATTCGATGCCCCAATTCGATCATCTCCAGGAAGGATTTATTTATAGACAAAGTTCAATTGGGTTTCGTTTACTTGCCACTTTTGAGTTCAAGTTTCCGACAAGCCGCCATGAGACAATGCATGTTCAATGCCTCAATGAGTTGGAGTCTCTACATACCCTCCTGCCATCAACATCAGAGCCTGTAGCATTTAGGAGTCTAAGTAATACAGATTTAGGTTTAGCTCTTCAGGCGTCTTGATTGATGTCTTCTCTCCAGAATTGGACTCACAAGACGGTCGTCATTTGGGCCGGGATCTTCGTGGCGAATTGTGCTGGGCATGCCGACGGCCCGACGACAGGGGGCGCAAGAGGTCAAAAACAGGGAACTTGTTCTTTTCGAAACCGTCCAGAAAATAACCCAATCAATTCCATCTCGGCGGCATTCGCATGTTGATCGCGTCGTTGCAACTGGACACTGCCTTTGGTGTTGGAAGCGGTAATACATACTCCATAGTGTTATAGCGTGTTCAACAACTGGAAACTCGTCTTCTGCAATCAACTTGTGTCCCAATTGTATCTCATTCAATCTCCCAACAGGAAAGACCCGATCTCTGTTCTCCCGGTATTTTGAAGCAGGACGTACAAGCAAGACAGCCTCGACATAATGCTCCAACATCCCATCAGTGAAACATGGCGCTTCCCGGTGCTGCCGGTTTAGAACAGCCGCTCACCTCTCTCTCTCTCTCCGTGTTGCACTAGAACGTGGAATCCTTGCACATGCAGGTACGCTTTACCTCGATGCGAGGAGTGACCTGGCTGATCTTGTGGCTCAGCACTGCGCACTCGCCTCTCAAGCATCATCATGGGACGGCTGTGGCTGTCTCGATGCCCACCTCTTCTCGTCAGAATTGTAGCCCGATTGCCCGAATAAGTGATTTGAAACAGACTATTGTACCACCGACGTCAATGTGCATACTCCGTAGAGGGAAGGCCTTTTCTTTTGACTTGCAAAGAAAACGAGAAACAGCGTTGAAAGCACTCTGTACGAAGTGTATCCAAAAAAGCTCGTATCCGCCGGCTCATCGGCTTGTTGCAGGGTAGATCCGTCAGGCACGATGACATCTGTACAGGCCAATTATTTGGCATCCATGCAAGCTTCTAGCCTTCTTTCCACGGCTTCCTTCCTCCTGGGCCAATGAGGTAGAAATGCAGCATATTCCTCTGCAATTCTCCTCCGGGAATGTGGCTTGTTCTCTTGGAGGCGACCTTGTGTGGCGCGATATACTGTACATATTCGCAGATTTCAGGATTGCTGGACAGGGGTAAAGGAAGTGATTGGATGAGCTGAGAGACTTGGCAAAAGTACGCATGAATTGATCTTCGCCAAAGACGTAATCCTGATATACTACCCCAGACAGCATCTCGTATGTTGTCGCGTCTCTTCCGACGCAGAAAACGGTCATTTGATGACTGTTGAATGAGCTGTCACCTCACCGCACCTTAATCGTCCCGCCTCAAGCTTTCCCCAGATCGTTGGAGCTGGAAGAACTCATTTTATCCGTGGAGCTCCGTGGTCAAGCATGAAGCTACTTGTATGCCGATCGGCCATTTGCCACCGAGCTTCCAGATCATCGCCCAGGGGCAAGTCAGGGTACGAAGATGTTTCTATATATATCCCAACTTGACCAAGGTGAGTGCCGTGAAAAAGCAGGTTACACAGCGAAGATGGCGTCGTAGACGTTGAGTGTCTGTTAGTCTATATCTTGCCGTGTTTCCTTCTCTGGCAACAACGTTGCATATGGGGATAAAGATGAGACGACATGGATAGCCTCTGGCCAGTTTGACTGATTGACATACTCTGTCAACGTTAAGTCTACCTTGTTGGAAACAAGGGGGCGAAAGGACAAACAGGAAGAAAGAAACAGAGGAAAACACCGAGAACACAATCCAGCGTGCAAAAACTCCTGTCAAGCAGCTGTGAGCTGATTTTTCCATCGCCCTCTGTCGGACTCTTACTCCCTGATGAATCCAGGCAATGCCTCCTTTTACAACAACGGCTTCCGTCGAGCCTTGAGGGTGTCCGTGAGTCATTGCATCGGAATGATCTCTTCAGCTGGATCTCAAAGACGCTGTCGTTGTGCCTTGGTCAGCCACATCGCGTTGCCCTAGCCCGCAGAACATCCACTACCCCTTTCTCTTTGCGGTCGTCAATAACCGTTTACCTACTCGGCACCAACAGGCCAAGGACAGCCTACACCGTCAGGTAAGCAAACTATCCAGTATCTACCATTTCTGTCATACCACGGGATCGATGTTAGTCCAGACATTCTCGTAGTCCGAGATCTCCAAGCCATATCCATACCTAGTGACTACCTTGGTCTCGGCAGCGTTTCATCCGGAGGATTTGGAATTCTACTCCAGCCCACCTCGGCACTCTACATCCCACAGCCCTGGCTTGCTTCCGTAACTGCGTGCTAGTATCACAAAAGACGGATATGAGTAATCGTTCAGGTCACATGCTGTTCTCCGCATGAAATAGACTACTTGCCAACTTTGCCACATTTGTGTCGACGCCGAGATGTTCGTCCTCTTTCATGGCGGTAGCGTTGTTGTGCCTGAATACATAGCCACCTTTCAGCCGAACTTGGACGACACCAGGACTAGAAACTCGAGACAAACTCGTTTACAACGGCGACGAGCTTGTTGCAGATTGAGTTTTGCTTTTGGGTGATTGCGGCCGTGCGGTTCATGGTTCGGCAATCTTGGTTGTAATAGATCTGTTCCACCCTTTTGCCTCTGTCGCCACGCTGAAGACATGGGCTTTGGTGTCGATTGAAACTGCACGAAATGCAATAATTTTTTAATCAAATGCCGAAATCGAAAACGACCAACAAGACATTATGAAATACTACGATGAATTGTTATTCAAGCTTCAGCCCATCACTGGTGGAATCCTCAGAAAGCAGGTCATTTCTCCCACATGCAAAATCGCGTCTAAGCCAGCGTGAGAAGGTCCCTCCAGCCTATTGGCTCTCAACGCCAGCGAATTACCCGATTCGGGTGTCAATAAGCCGGGGCCCTTCAATAGCCACAATTGATGATTTGCGCAGCCTCACACAACAAACACGGAACAGCAAGCTTGTCGCCTCAGCTTTGTTACCGCCTCTAAGCACCTGCCTGCGCGGCTGCTCTTGTCTGTTAGAATGTGTAGAATTCCAGTGCGTTATTCGTTTGTTCGGGCTTTTTTTCGTCTCAAGTCATCGATCGCTGTTGGTTTACTTTGAACTTCAGACTACTATCGGCATCATCTGCCCAATCTGCGTATAGAGTTGCTGCGCTGGTCTCTCGCATATGAAGAATTCCGTAGGATCGGATCGAACCGACCTTTGACAATTCTCAAACGCAAGCGTAACCAGTAAAATCAAGAACGGTAGCCATGTATCTCCTCGATTCAGCCGCACTCTCTGCAGAAAAAACACCAAACATGTCCATCAGACCCTCGCCAAGAGCCCCGGCTCGATCCAGACAACAACGCCCCCCCTTTCCACCAACACCTCCCTTCAACGTCCAGCTGAATAGCACTCAACTCAACGGCCAGTCCGTGTGTGTTATGTAGCGTAAGAGAATTAGTCAACCTGGCAAATGCAGAGGCCGTTATCCAATGTGACAACGACCGCGGTCTGCAAAAGGGCTTATTGACCAACACCCGTCAATAACACTGCTCAATAGCAGACGAAGTGGACTTTGGGCTCACTTTGCCCGCAAAGCTCTATTGATCCGAGCTTCCATCGCGAAGATGGGGATGGAGGCAAACTTCTTTCTAGAGACAAGAAGCCGACTGAACATATATTCCTCCCTCGTTCGCATCTCGTTCATCCATCTCGTCCCTCATCTCCATCGCCTTCATCCCCTTGTCTCCAAAACCACACACAACCACAAGTCTTCACCATGAAGTTCCTCGCCGCCGTCACCCTGTTCGCCTCCGCGGCCATGGCCGCCCCCAACCCGGAGCCCTGGTGCTACCGAATCGGCGAGCCCTGCTGGAAGCTCAAGCGCACGGCCGAGGCCTTCAACCTCGCCGTCCGCTCCCACGACCTGACCACGCGCGCCACGGGCGAGGCCATCCCCGACGAGGTCGCCCTGTCCGCCATCCAGGGCCTCGACCAGCTCAAGGCTCTGATCCTGGTCTCGACCGAGGACCCCAGCGCCCTCGTCAACGGCACCGAGCCCGAGTCCAAGCGCGACGTCGAGGTCGAGGAGGACAAGCGGTGGTGCTACCGCATCGGTGAGCCCTGCTGGAAGGCCAAGCGCGAGGCCGAGGCCGAGGCCGCCGCCGAGGAGGAGAAGCGCTGGTGCTACCGCATCGGCGAGCCCTGCTGGAAGGCCAAGCGCACCGACGAGATCGCGGAGGAGAAGCGCTGGTGCTTCATCCTCGGAAGACAGTGCTGGAAGACCAAGCGCGTCGCCGAGGCCGTCCTGGGCGCCACCATTGAGGGCGACGAGAAGCGCAGCGTCGAGGCCGAGGGCAACGCCGACGAGAAGCGATGGTGCTACCGCATTGGCCAGCCTTGCTGGAAGGCCAAGCGCGACCTCGAGACCATCCAGGATGTCGCTCGCAGCGTCATCGAGTCCATGCAGTAAATGGTTGGGTTTTCCTGTGTAAGTTCCCATACTCCTCGAGATGCTTTGACATGAAGCGGTTGCTGATGATCTTCTTTCAGAAATTCAACACAGCCAGTGAGGCATCACATTGCTCATGCATGCTTTTTCTTCACTTCTCTCTTCGGTGTCCGCAACGACGCCACGTACATATAAAGAAAGGCGGGATTCGGTCCTCTGCAAAGAATTTTAGAATTCCGTTATTATTGGGTACACACCTATCGCCTGGGTCCGTGGTTGACTAGGCCGGCATGAGATTACACGATGGAAATGGATTTGATGTATTATATGAGTGAGATTTCAAAGACGAAAACGAATAGTGGTATAGTTCTTTGAGAGCATGGGCCGCTTGGTGAATCATGTTGTAGATTGAACCGTGACATGTGTGCGATGGAACGTGAAGTTGCTGGATCTGGCTGTGCGACTGTCTCTTGAAGACTTTTCAGCGTCAAATACAGATTGGTCATTTGAAAAGTTGACCAACGATATGTACGACAAGCTTTCGTCTCTTGGACACGTCGCTTGCAGAGAGCATACATAGCGTCAAGGCTCAGCCAAAAGGACACAACAAGCATCCTGCGAGTTGGCTTCAATCGACAGAAACCTCCCCGTCACTCTACGCAAAGCATCAGCTTCGATTTATAGCATTCAAACTCAAGGAAATAGATCCTCAACCATCACCAGATGACACACAATGGCATGTACGTTCAATCATTGCGGTCCTCTCCATTTTTGTAGAGGGAGCACCGCACCCAAGATTGCTCGCTTTCTTCTCCGTTTCGTTCCTCAGGTCCCCGGCAGTCGTGAGCTCGCGCCTCGTGCCAGGTTACTTTTTACAGTGGTTTTGAGAAACCCGAACGTGATTTTTGCGTTGTTCATGAAGAAGAAAAAAAGAAGAAAAGAGGAAACAGAAAATTGAAGTTGAAAATTTTCTAAAATAGGTAGCGGGTCGTCGAGAGTGGGGCGGGTTGGACGCCTGGGATTTGAGGCGGGAATTTAGTGGTTTTGACGCACGGGCGGATATTGTATGGAGAGGCTGAGGTGACCAGGAGGTTGTTCGCGGTTGGTGCCCAATTTTGCGGGAGTTTATCGTGAAGCCGACACATTTGTCAGTAGTATCAGCAACTCAAAGCACCGAGTTACACGAGACTAGCTAACTACAAGGAGAATGTGCCAAAGGAAACGACGACAACTCCTCCAATAGTCCCAGCGAAATAGCCGCATTAAAATCGCACACAACCCCCTGCCCTCCAGCTGAACCGCCCAAGAGAGCGAGCGACTGGCCAAAACATGTGACGACTAATCACACGCGAATCGCATGAACTGGAACTGCGCATGATGCAGGGGAGCCTAATGCCTGTTTTTACTCATGGCATGCTCGTGGCGTTGCGTCCGGACGAACCTGAACAAGGCTCTCGGATGGCCTTGACTTGTCCTTTTTTTCTCCGATAGATCAGAAGGCTGCGGGTTTGTTGGTTCTGTTTTGCTTGTGGTTATCGTCGCTCTCTTTGTTCGCACGAGGCTGCAACTACTATCTACTCCTTACATGTAAATCATCCAGCAGAGAGAAAGACGTTTCCATTGACGATGCCAAACGCCCTCGTCAGCTGGTTCAGGCGCCGACGCGTCGCAAGGAGCAATAGGAAACGAGCGTCGTCGGGATCATCGTTGACGCTGCCGCCGCTGCTCATCATAGACGATCCCCCGATCCCGCCTCACCCACGGCTGCCCTCCCAGCGCAGAGGCCGCCTCACGCCCACCCCTTCCCACGAGAGCCTCGTCGCGGCCACCAATGCCGCCACCGCAGACAGCCCCTTCTTCACCAGGCTGCCGCTGGAGATCCGGCGCAAGATCCTGGTCGAGGCCTTTGGCGCGCAGACGGTCCACATGGACCTCATCTACGACCATCCGGCGCAGCAGCAGCAGCAGCAGCCGCTCCAGGGCGTACTCCGGCCGTCCGAGTCCGAGTCCGGGCCCGGCGGGAGGCGGCGAGGAGACGCGAGACGGGCGCACGGCAACCTCAGCGTCAGGCTCAGCACGGGCGTGTGCGACGCCAGGAACCTCCGGCTGGACGACTCGCGGCCCAAGGAATGGGCGTGGCGGAGCTCCGTCTGCCACCGGAATCCGCCGGGCCGGTGCCGTCCCGGCGAGGAGGTCCAGCCGGCCGAGGACTACTGCCGGTTCGGCCAGTCGCCGTGGCACTACACGTGTCGCCACTGGCCGGGCGAGTTCCCGACAAAGTGCCTCGTTGGCGCCATGGGGTGGCTCTGCAGCTGTCGCCAAGCGTGAGTTTTTCATCTCTCATCTCTCACATATCACTTACACGTTGTGTCAGCCTTGCTCAACGTACATACCATATCTAGATATATCGAGGGCATTGACGTCTTGTACGCCACGAACACGTTCCACACAGCCAGCAAGGAAATGATCCTCAGCCTCTCGTCCATCCTCCTCCCGCAGCGCCTCGCCAGCATCACGTCGGTGGAGCTCCTGTGGGACTTTGCGCCCTTCCCCAGCATCCACCCGGAGGTCGTTAAGCCGCCGCTGTCGGACATGGCTAGCTTCCGCCTCTTCCTCGACGCCGTCCCGGCCACCTTCCCCGCCGCCCGGAAGCTGCACATCTCGCTGCAGGGGCGGCTGTACCCGACCCGGACGGTCAACGGGCTCACCCGCTGGGACAGCAGCGTCGACCGCACCGACGAGATCCTGCGGCCCGTGGACGACCTGGTGTCGAGGCTGGGGCCGCACGTGACGGACTTTTCGCTGGGCATCCCGAGCTCTTTGTATCAGGACCAGAGAGACAGGGCCTTGAAGAACGGCGACCCCGTGGAGCAGGCTCACAAGGGTCGACATGAGCGGCACTGGCGGCCGCTGGAGGGCGACGGCGAGAGGAGGACGGGGTACTGGGTCTGGTTGGGCAAGAAGGACTTTACGATTCCGTATACCTGTTCGATAGGAGAGGGTGCGCATGATGTTATCGGGGAAGAGAACTGGGTGCTCTACAGAGTCTCGCCTTACTGACGACTTGTTTTTTATCTTTCTTTTTTGTTGGGAGTAAGAGCTGGGTTATACCATTTCATTTACACGCGTAGCTGTTGTTTATGGTCTTTGCAGATATATTGATTCCCTTTGGTTGGAGCTACCCTACGGCTGACCTCCGATGCTTCAACTTGCAGTATTAAGTCATGACTTTGTATACCAAGTTTGTCTCTGTCTCTGTCTCTTCACACAGGAACCTTTGAACGAAATAGCGTACATATATGCAATGAGCAATCCATGACCGTGAGGCGTTACTGGCATGGCATGTTGCTGGTCTGATGATGGGGGTGGCTATGCTAAGGGTTACCCCGCCATTGCGCTCAGCACCCTCTTAAAGAACATCAAAGCTCATTTACTCAACCCATAAGCTTCGTATTCCGACTTCATCTACTTCGTCCATCATATTAGTTTATACCTCGAAATCTAAAGTCCGCCGAAGCTATAGTCTCAGCCCGGTGAATCAATCGATGTGCTGAGCTGCATTCAGGACTCTAACTCATCGTCACACGATACATAGCACACATCTGAGCCCGACTCACTCTCGCCCGCCTTCCTCGCATCTCGGACTCATATAAAGAAGATTCATAATGGCCGACCACATCACATCGCGCCTCGCAGGCCTCAACCCCTTCAAGCCCGCCGTCGACGACGACGACGACGACAAGGGCGACCTCATCGCCCCCGAGCCCGGCCACCTCTTGCGCAAGTCGGACCACGGCAAGGCCCAGCTCCGCGTCAGCCACG